TTTATTGATATCAACATCTATAATCGTTAAATTTGAAATTTTATTTACTAATAAAGCCATACCAGTTTTCCTTCCTCTTCCTCCATCGTATTTGAGGTAGTTATGTAAATCAATCCTGTTTTCACCAATTCTTTCGTTGAGGGTTTTAGTTTCTGCCACAACTAATTCCTCAGCTAATGAATCAATAACTTTTTCATCAGAAACGATATAGTTGCTGTTGTTGTTTGTTGCTGTCATTTATATAGGAATAAAAAAATAAAAATAATTTTAAAACTAACTTTATTTTTGGACTGCATCATATTTTCGTAAATGTTGTCAAAATGTCATGTTGTCACACTTTTTCAGAGAAGTTAAATGACCTGGTAGCACATGGTAACATGGTAGCACCTTCAGTTCTTCAAAAATAATTCATAACTGCCTTCCTCCTGTGTTGTTGTCAAAATGTCATGAGGTTAGAAATGAGGTTAGATCTAACCATCTACCCTAAAAATTATTTTTGGTGAATTCAATAAAAATAAATGGTTCATTTACTCACAATATTTTTGTACAAAACAACCCCAAGCTTTTAACTTCTTTTCTGCAGCTTCTAATGCTATCTTAGCGAGTTCATATTCTCTAAATTCTCTCTTTAAATTTTCTTGTTCCCATTGGTCTAGTTCGTATGGAGAATCTCTATAACCATAACATAACTCACGTTCATGTTCTAATTGTTTTTCGCACATTTTTCCAACTTCTTCTTCAAACAAAGGTTTAGCATTCTCTACTGTATCTTCAAGTTCTTCTTCATCTAATTTCTCATGAACTTTCTTGTCTATGGAGTCCATAATATCTTTGACATAAAATGCATACTTTACAGAGCACCATTCAGCAACAAAATGAACGAGGTCAGGATGTATGTAAATACCTTTGAATTCATTTATAACACCCTTAGTAAGCTCATAAAATGCTTGTTTTGAGGTCGAGCCACTTTTGGCTCCACCGTATTCGTTCATCCAAAACTCAAGAATTTCCTGTATTTTAGCACTATTGAGAAATCTGTTTAAATGGTTTAACTTTCCTGCTTCTCTTGCCATCTTTGTTGCATTAATGTAACCATCCTTGTCTCTACGTAAGACTTCAATACCGTTATAAGTGCCTTTTGTGAATGTTTCGCCATTAGATTTGTTAGTGAATGTTTTTGCTTCGACTGACATTTCTGTTCTTACATACAAAATAAAAAAATAAAAATAATTTTAAAACTAACTTTATTTTTGGGTCATTTACACTCATTCCGATGAAGTCATGACAAATCATTTCCTGTGTTGTTGTCAAAATGTCATGTTGTCACACTTTTTCAGAGAAGTTAAATGACCTGGTAGCACATGGTAACATGGTAGCACCTTCAGTTCTTCAAAAATAATTCATAACTGCCTTCCTCCTGTGTTGTTGTCAAAATGTCATGTTGTCACAAACTTTAGAACGGCATAATTTAAATTTTTATTTTTATCATAAATGGATACCCCACAAGCTCAAAATTTACCACGAATCATAACAAGGGAGGAAATGATAAAAATGATGCAAGAACATGTTAAAAATAACAAACCACTAAAATTGAGAAAATGTGGTTATGCAGTAATGATGGAAAGAGAGATGTTGTCAAAGAGGAATAAAAATTAAATTTGGATTGAGTTTAAAAATTCATCTTTATTAAATTCATCTCTTCCAATCAATTTATTTATTCTATTAAATTCTTTTATTTTTGCTTCACTCAGTTTAAGGATTGAACGGTAAGTTTCTAATTTTTCGATTATTTCTTTATCGTTTTCAGTTCCATTAGTTTTATGGGCATCAACCCCACCGCATTGTGGCTTCTTTTTGTAATAGCATATTTTTGATTTAATTCTGTTTAGTTTCTTTTTATATTCATCGTCTGGACTCTTGGCTGCTTCGTTGTCACTCATTTCTTACGAAATAAAAAAAATTAAATATTATTTAAATATAATGGAGTAATAAAATAAATCGGAATTTCTATTAATTTATTGTCAACTTCAACTAATACATTACCGTTAATATATCTAACAAATTCAGCTATTGTGTCAAATCTTCGTCTTCTTTTTGTCATTGATTTATCAGTTTTTCCATAATCGAGATGAATCAAAACTTTATCCCCTTGTTTAAAATTCATGAGCCCCGAATTAATTTGTTCACGTTTAACATCATTCAACCTTTCCATTTGCTTTCTAATATATTCCCATTCTTTTGAAATATCATTTTTCATTTCCACTGGTTTCATGTTTATAGTTCTATGCCATGTATTATTATAATAATATACTAACTGTTGTATGATGGAGTCATGATTTCCATCCCAGTATATCTGACCGTTAACCCTTAACGCATCTCTAAGAGTTCTCATTACTGCATCAACTATTTTATTATGAAATGTATATGGAGAGGATGAAAAGAAAAAATTAATTTGTGGGAAATAATGAGTCATAGCTGCCTGAAATCCTTTATCACCATCACCCCTGATATTATCTACTCTTTCATGATCTAGTAAGTATTGTATAGCTCTTCTTGTTTCCTGTTCTGTTTTCCCTTTCACCGGAATGCAATATAAATATCTAGTGTTAATGTTAATGGCAAATAAATAAGTAACTTTTCCTTTTGAATATTCCAGATGATCGATTTCGTATGAATATGGATATGGAGCAAATGAAGGGCGACTAAATTTTTCCTTTAACGGTTGAATTTTCGGGTCAATTGGTTTATTTAATATCTTGAAATCCTTTTTAAAATCTTTTTGCTTCTTTAATGTTTGAAATGGATATAATAAAGTGAATGATGAAGGATTAACTGAAGGAGGAGGCGGTACTGTCGTTGGATTTTGGTGTTGCAGGTGGTTTAATTTTATCTGCTTTGATTTTGGATTTCATTCCCCTTCATTAATTCTGGATGTATTCTATTCATTTGTTTTAAATATGCTGTATATAAAGGTTTGATATACTTTCCCGCTTCGAGTTTATGTTGAAGGATGAATTCCAAAAGTTGATCTTCATTTAAAAGTCGGGCTGAATATGGTTTAACTAATGAATCATAAATTAAAGCTTGTGCATCATTTATGGTCTGAAGGACATGGGTGTTTTGTGGCTCAGGATTATATAATTTATATAATTCATCAATATCTTCTTCTGTTAATACTTTATTTTTGAAATCTTTCAACTGTTTAAGTTGTGATTTAGTTTTTCCCTTTGAATATTCATTATTTTTAATTTTGTCTTTAATTTTAGAAATTATTTTATCATGATATTTCAAAATTTCATTTTTATAATATGGATAATAATATTCCATATCATCACCCGTTATATTGTTATCATATTTTTGGAGATATGCTTTTAAATCATAATAATCAAGAAAATTTTGATTAAATACTAAATCATCAATTAAAATTTTTAAATCTGTGTTATCCATTTATATAAAAATAAAATCAATGTTTTAAGGGTGCCCACCTCTTTGTCTCTTCTGTGGCATTTTATTAAAAATAAAATTTTAAATTGTATTAAATAAATGGCATACAACATCCATTTTCACAACATACAGCCTTAGTGTGTGCTCCTGTTAATGCAGTCTTACCAATTGTTAAGCGAGTCATTGACCCGTTTTTAAGTTGTAAATTAATATTCTGACCATCAAATATCAATTTATCATTTATTATATCCAAATATTTTTTAGGTGTTAATTGTTTATTTTGTCGTAAACTAACACCTTTCATTTTTTGTGCAATCTTTTTAAAATCACTCCCATCAATTGAACCGTTGAATGATGTATAACACTTAGGACATAAAGCAACCATGTTATCACCTTGTTTCTCAATTGCTAAACCCAATAATTTTTTCTCATGTGCTTTTTCTTCAGCTTTATTCTTTAATTTAGGTTTAAATTTCTCATCAAAACAGAAGAAATCAAATGGTGCGAATTTGAAAATGTTTTTATCATAAAATTGTTTATCAGTAACAATTGCTTGAAATGCTTGAGTGTTAGGAAGATTTGGGTCGCCAGCGATTGCCCAATAAGATGAATCAGTATCACCTTCAATGAAATGAAAACGATTAACATTCATACATTTATACATAAAATCATAAATGAAAACCAAATACCAGTATTTAGCATTATCTAAAGTGAAGAATGCCTCTTGTAAACATGTATCACATCTATAAAATCTATCTTTAAGCATCACTTGATATGTATCTCACCTATTTCTCTTATGTTTTTAAACTTATTTGACATACATGCAACGCGTGCCTTCTGTGCATTCATTATTTTAGTCTTTGCGTAATTTTGTGTATTCATTGCATCGTAACCATATGATCCATTAAGTGAAATTTGCAAAATAAACTTTTTCCTTTATTTCCTTCTAATTCAGCCTTTTGTCTTTCGTTCATAAATTTGTTCGCAAATTCATTAAAACAAGTGTTTTTCGTAAATGTTAAAATTGATTGAATATCATCGATGATAAAATTAAACCTGTCTATTAGATACCAAAGATAATAAGAAGAAAATGGTTGATATTGGTTGTGTGTTGATGCTAACTGAGTTAATTTCTCTGTTTCTGGTCAACTGGTAGATTGTTTGATTTCATGTAATTATACATAAAACTGCCAATTGTTTTTTCATCTGTGATAATATCTAAGTTTCTTATTATCGGTAAAAAGTTTATGTAATCATTAATGTATTTTTCATCAATGTGACCCTTTACTTCAGCCACGAATAAAGTATTTTTTTCTTAATTATTCCCAGTGCTTTTGCTTTCTTTGTTGCTGTATCACAAATGATAACACCATTCAATCTTCCCGGCATATACATTTTATGGTCAGTATATTGAATGAAATCATGAGGATTAGATGAAAATGATGAAGGATATAATGAATTAAAGTCAACACCAACGAAATGAGTCATAATGTTGGGTGTCCTCATTTGATACAGTTTTAGTTTCTGGATTATATGAAAGTTTATTAATGTGCGTGATTCCTTTAAGATTTACTCTATGTTGAACATTTGATAAACCACCAGTAATTCCATTACGGAGAATGTGATAAGCTTCAACTGAATCTAAAGTCATTGGTAAATTATTTTTTAATGCATAATTTCTTAAATTGATTCTTAAACGTTGAACATCTTCATCTTTATTTGATTTTACGACATTGCAATAACAACACATTAACTGACAATTTTCTTTGGTATGTGGTTTTTCATTATCGATTCTATCCAATGTTGGTTTATTTGCATATGTAAACGCTTTACCACACATTTTGCATTTAGATGAAAGGATTAAATCGTGATAGTATTGAAAATCATCCATTGAAACATTATTTTTAGTATCCCTTTCTGCTTTTTCATCTTGTTTCTTATATGATTCAATTTTATATTTCCAATACTTTTTCGTTAATTCAAAACTTGATTCTATCTCTTCCTCAGGATATTTTTCATTAGGATTAAAGTCTTTATATGCTAAAGCGTAACGAATCATTGAAGCATTCGATGATAAAGAAAGATTATGAAGCATGTCAATTTTATAAACAAATGTTTCTTCAATAATTTTATCAATTGGGTCAATCATAATTTCAACATCTTTATTGCAATAATGAATAAAATATTCTAATCTATTCTTAAAGTTTTTAGCATCATTGAGATATATTTGATAATCACTATCTGATATAGTTTCTTGAGTTAATGCTGAATAAAATGAATCTTTCGTGAATGGTTCCACTTTATATAATTCTTCTTCGTAATTTTCCCACGTGATGAATTGATAAGGGAAAAAGGATTTAACACGTGATTTATTGTTTCCGAAATCTTGAGTGAATTGGTCTAATGTCCCACCCGCTATATAATTTCTGATGTCAATAAATCTCAATTCATATGGAACGTTTGTTTTCTTTACAATGATTTGCTTAAATTGTGAAGATGAACCCAGCATTGATTTTATTTTCCATTTTGCAGTATTTAAATCACGAAGAATTAAATTTAAATCAAACTTTCCTGAATTAAAACCAATGATATTCACTTTATTGAATTCCTCATCTAGAAGTTCTTTAAATGCTTCCTTCTGTTTCTCATTTAATGTTTGCAACTTCATTAATTCTTCATATTGTTCAATATTTGATTTAGCAACTAATGAACAGGTTGAAAATAAAAACTCAATCCAATCAGAAATAAAAGAATCACTCGAAGTTAAGCAAAAATTCCTCGTATATGTTTTATCATTTAATTTAACCGTTGATGACACCATGAATGGTTTTAAGTAAGCATTCAAAGTTGCACACTCAGAAAGTTGTAATTCTTCTTTAGTCTCTAATGTTTCGAAGTCAAAAGTAATATAATATCTTGTCGGTTTATAATATTCCTGCAAATTATGTGCTAATAGCCATTGATGTATCTTCTGTTTCGTGATATGTGGTGTATATGGTTGTTGTGTGTTTTGCAATTGAACGTCTTGAATTAATCTTCCATTATTTTCTTTACATTTCTCACAATGTTTTAAAAATCTTCTTTGGTTTTTCCTTTCTGGATCATCACGGATAGAATATACTTCTTCTTTGCAAAAGGGGCAAACTTTATATCCTGTGAGTGCTTCAACGTCTGTAATTCTGTCAGCGTGAAGTTTTCCACATGGACTCTGTGTTAATAAAATATTTACTGTTTCAAATTCTGGATCTATCATTATTGATTCCACTAATGGAAAGTCTACCTTGTTAATGTCTACGTCTTCTGGTTGAGGGTCACAATAATAAAAATCAATATTAACGTTTAACATTCTTGCTAACCTCTCACTTTCTGATGAAATGTCAAATCCTTCATATGCATCTATGGCTTCATTTAAATAACTTCTACGAGTTTTAGGATTAACACCATCAGGAATGTTATAGAAGCGTTTAAATAACCTTCTACCTTCTGCTCTAATTTGATTATCATTCATTTTAGCTGTTCCGTTTTTGTTCATTTATGTAAGAATAAAAAATTAAAAAATAAATAAAAATAAAGTTTATTTTTTAAAGCCCATAAAATGAATTAAGAACACATAAATTTTTATCATCTGCGACGTGACGAATACATTTTAATTTACTCAAGAATGCGTACCCTGATACATTAAATCTAATTCCTGTCTTATTTAATTTCACAACTTTGAAAAGGAATGTATGAATAGCTATAAAATGATGAGAAGATGTTTTATGGGTTGCTTCCATTTTTTCTGAAATAAATGAATAAATATAATGTTTATAAGTTTTCATATCTTTTATGTTCTTAATAACGAATGGTATAGACCTTTCCACTTCGTCTTCCTTCGGTGCTGTTCTTTCATATGAAACATTATTGGTATCTTCAATAATGAAACCACAATCGCATAAAATTTTATATGTACCAATTGTTTCTTTTGATATTTTATCTAACAAATCAAAAACTTTATCAACACCTGTACATTTATTTAAATAATAATTTGTGTAAATATCATGGTCTTCTTTCTTAATCGTATTTGTTGCATATGTTACATTTTTCAATGCTTTTTTGAATTTTTCAGAATCAAGAGGAGGTGAAAGTAATATACATGGATAATCTCCATCGTCAATAAACTGAAGCTTATGTTTATGAATAAATTTTGTGCCTTCTTCTGAAAGTGTTTCGTCAATATCACCATCTAATAAATTTTTAGTAGATTCCAAAAAGTAATTTTTATATCTTTCCTCATGTGATTTTTGAACTTCTGATTCTGAAGCTGGGATATTCATTAAACCCTCGACTTCATTCTCAGCATTTCTCAATTCCTTAATTTTTTCATCTATTTCATTTCTTAATTGTTCCAATTTCTCAATCTCATCGTTATAATATTCATCTTGTTTAATTTTTTCTTCAAAATATTCAGGAGGTGTTTCAAGGCTCTCTGAGCCCAGGTCCTCTGGACCATAAAGAGGAATATTCTTCTGTTTTTCAACTTTTTTGGGATATAAATATCTCATTATAGCCTTTTTAGTAATTAGCCCGTTATATTTAAATTCATTCAACAATCTGGAAAACTCTTTCACATTCTGCATATATGTTGGATAAGAACCGTCTCCAAAATTTTCTAAAATATTTTCTAATTCTGAATTAGTGAACTTTAAAGATTTCAATGAATTAGTTGTTATACTCATTTATTATAAAATAAAAAAATAAATTTAACTTAGTTTTAATTTTACGTAAGAAGTCAATTTTTTAAATCTTGATTTATTCAAAAACGTAAGAATAAAAACCGTAAGAATCATACATTTTTTACTTCATATGTTAAAAAAAATGATACAAAATCGTTCAATATTGTATGAATTCTTACGTTTACAAAAAAAGTCACACAACCCTTCAACATATACTACTATTAAGAAACATTTAGTTTATTCAGAGGATTTTGTATTCTAATGATTGGTGATAAGAGGTTTCTTTTGGTATACCAAGGAAACGAAGAGATCATTTGGTGAGTAGATGTTCCCAATTTTTTTTATTGTTTTTACAGGTGCGAAGTCTTCAAAAAAAATCAAGGCGTAATTATCATACTAATAACTATTTTCCATTTTAAATAATTAAATCAAAAATAATCGATTTTCGATTGTATTCAAATTTTGAGTTTAAAAATAAATAAGAGCTAAAATTTCTTGAAAAATGATGCTGGTTAATAGATTAGGATAGGAACAATTAGCCCGATTAAATCATTCAAAATTGAATTGAAATATAATCCAAATTTATTAGAACCTATATCTAAAAATGTATATAAAATTTGTTTATGATCATTATTAAATTGGCATGACTTAACTTTTTCAATCCAGTCGTTTTGATACCAAAATGAGTATACATTAAACTCAAATTAAGCATATATTCATATGAACTATGAAAAAAAATCTGTAATGTGATTTTTGACTACAAAAAAATATTTTTCAAAGATAATCTATGAAATCTCTATGGAATTATGTCATGTACTATGGGATTTCCATCATCGTATATTACATAAGCAGATATGATCAAACATCAGAAGAAAAACTGAAATTAAAGGCGTTTTTCACATTAAATATAAAATTCGCTATATTCATTACTTGGTTTTTATCACATTTCCTTGTTTTACTATTTCATGAAATATTCTATACAAGCAACTTCCGAATTAATATATTTTTAATATTGCAGGTATTTTTTGGAATTTTAGGCGGTTTGATTCAAGAATTACCAGAAACAAGTAACAAAAAACGTCAAAGATTCTCAGTCGCGTACCAAAGATACTTAATTTTTGAGTCAATTGTCTTTATTACTGTTCTCACTTTAATTATTTGCTTTTTCAAGAATGTATATGAATCACTTGGTCCTGTTTATGAAGACATATTCTTAAAACTCATTGCACAAGGCAAAGAATACAAAAACGCTTACGAAATAATTTTTTTCATTCCTTACCAGATATTTATTTACAAATTTCGTACCCACGATACTGTTTACAATAATTTACTATAAAGTTACCCAAAAAGAATATTCGATTAGGAATACAAAAATTACGTTTCAATTACAGTTTTATTATTTACAGTTAATTTTTCTTGCATCAGCAGTCTATTTCCTATGGCAAATATTCATTCCTTTGCCAGTTGCGAACTCATCATCCTTATACTTCCAGAACATAGTTTCTTCGAATTCAAAACTCCTTCAATTTCCTACGATAAAGAAGAATATCATCATGATTGATATGGAATCTTTCGAGACAACATTTTACACAGAAAAGAACGGTGGTTGCATGGATGAAACAGTAATTCCTTTCCTTGAAAGTCTCGTGCTTGATGAAAACAATGTCCATTTCTCGCATTTAAAGGAACCTCACATTGGAGGAATGTCATCAGTTGCAAGAACTGGCTACTCACTCGGAAGTACATTTGGAGCGTTATGTGGAGTCCCATATATGGGTGCAGAAGGAATTAGTGAAGAAAAGGGATATTATGTAGGGTTCAATTGTTTGAGTGAACTTTTGAATGCAGAAAATTATTTTACATCTGCAACGTTCGGAGCGACATATAATGATTGGGGATTTGGAAGAATATTTGGTTCTCATCATTTCACAAAAATAAACTCTGTTTATGAAATACTACAAAGCAAAGGCACATTCTGGCTTCATGATTATCATACATTTAAATTTTTCAAAAAAGAAATAACAAATATTCACAGTCTTGGACGACCATTTTTCACTTTCCTGACTACATTAGATACTCATGAACCAGGTTTCGTTTGTCCTCGATGCCCTACTGGAAGTAAAGACATACTTAGAGCTGCAAAATGTACTGATAACCAATTGAGAGAGTTCATAGAATGGTCGAAAACACAAGAATGGTACAATAATACAGTCTTTGTCTTCTACGGAGATCATATTTCAAGAGATGTAGTCCTTAGAACTTATTCTGAATCTCATAATTTCGATAGAAAAGTATATAATGTTATAATTAACTCTTAAGTAAAACCTATTCGTAAATATGAAAGAAAGTTTGTTACATATGATCTTGTACCTACAATTCTTGCTGCTGCTGGTGTTAAGATCAAAGATAATAGATTAGGACTTGGTGTTAATTTATTTTCAAATGAATCAACTCATTTTGAAAAATATGGAAATGAATTCGAGAACAGCTTTAGTGATGCACTGTATTGGTATGATACAGTGATGCTCAATAAGCCTGCTCAATGCGATGGCTATACACCATGTGTTAAAGTAGAGAACTTTACAGAAAAATATTAAATAAATATTATATTAGGATATATATATTAGATTAAACAAATATTAATTATGTTTTGTATATAAGAATATATGGAAAATATATTAATGTTTATATATAAAGTACTCACAAAATCTAGATTGAGAGGCGGTCAATGACTTTTGAGGGAAAATTAACGCATGGAATTTAATATTATTTAGGTTGATATTCTTGCTTATGATTTCAGAAAAAAATCTTAAAAATTTCAATATGAAAATTGAAAGCAATTCAAAAAAATTGCTAACATGTAAATTTTAATATCCTATGCATAATTTCATATTTTGAACATTTTTTATTTTTGTTTAAAACTTAAAATTTTGCGAATTTAATATAATTTATAAAATATAATACGTATATATATTTAAAATACACTAAATTTAATTGTTAATTGACGTTTTTGGGAATGAATTTTATCAAAACATGCCTGAATCCGAAAATTTGAAAGAACGAATTACACAATCATATATGTAGAATTCAAAATACAAACTTAAAGATTGTATACGTTTAAAATTATTCAGATTGTGTTTGTTTTCCACTCATTCTGTTTCTTTTGAACTCTAACACTAACATTTCATGATGATTACATGATCCATTTATACATGGTTGAATTGTTCCAGATTCTACCAGAAAATCAATCCAAATTTCTCAAAGCATTCATGTTGATTGGACAAAATTTAAAATTTATCAGCCTGTTTCCAGAGAAACTCATATATTCCCTAATGAAATGTAATTTTTGCTACATTTATTTCAATCAAATTTCAAAAAATTGACTGCAGAGCTTGAAAAGGTGATGAATCATGTTGTTATTAGATGTACATATTAGATTTACTATTTCCAAAAAAATGCTCAAATTTGAATAGTTTTTAGAAAATTTGGAATTACACTCCTTACATTATATATAATTAAATGTTTAAATTTTATTTATTTTTCCCTTTTAATTTTATAACTTGCTCTATCAAAACTAACCTCTCAATTGAAGGCCACAAAATCTAAGTAGTGAGGGTACACAAATTTTGTATGGAGTACGGTTCAATTTTTGAGAGCCTCACTACTTAGATTTTGTGACTACCTTATTTATAAAATATATCTTTAATTTATATTAATCGAATAGTTTAAGCAAACAAATATCATATTTATCCTTAGTTTGATGTTGGTTTCAAGTATTTTCTTTAAACTCCGTTTAAAGAAATTTATTCAATATTTCATTGGCAAACCCAAATTTTAGCTAAAAGTGACAGGGAAAAAAACGTTTAGTATTAAAAAAAAAGACCGATGAGAGCTTCGTTCGAAATATAGAGGGAACTGAGAATGCGCAACCATTCTCAGGGAATATTGGATGCTATTCCCGTTCCCTCTGTATGGAAAATTGAGGTTTTCAAAGGGAGTTAAAATAATATCAAATTTATACTAATTTACTTCAAAATACAAAAGTATTTGACAGCTAAAATTAGTTACTTTAGCAAGCCTATCAATACCCTTTTACGATTATTGTTACTTTTTCGAAATAAAAGTAAAAACAAATTTATACTAATTTACTTCAAAATACAAAAGTATTTGACAGCTAAAATTAGTTACTTTAGCAAGCCTATCAATACCCTTTTACGATTATTGTTACTTTTTCGAAATAAAAGTAAAAACAAATTTATACTAATTTACTTCAAAATACAAAAGTATTTGACAGCTAAAATTAGTTACTTTAGCAAGCCTATCAATACCCTTTTACGATTATTGTTACTTTTTCGAAATAAAAGTAAAAACAAATTTATACTAATTTACTTCAAAATACAAAAGTATTTGACAGCTAAAATTAGTTACTTTAGCAAGCCTATCAATACCCTTTTACGATTATTGCTACTTTTTCGAAATAAAATAAATTTATTATCAAAAACCTTTTTTTTCTTAGTAAAAATAAACGAAATTTTTTACCTTATGAACTTTTGATGGAAATATGCAAATTTAAAATAATAAAGAAAGCCGCGAGCGAAGCGATCGGCTTAGTTCGAAGATTTTGATTCAAATCTTTGCTGATCTGTAATTCGCGGAAGCCGCGAGCGAATCGAGCGGCTTAGGTCTAAGATTTTGATTCAAATCTTTGCTTATATTCCTTAAATTCTTTATGAAACTCGCAACAGTTCCATAAAAAATTTTAAATTCTAAACTGTCGAAATTACCGATCGGTAATCACACCCTTCATGGATGTGTCACTTTTTACAGGCGTGTCACTTTTAGCTAAAATTACCCCTACTCCGAAAATTCAATTTTGTTTTAGAAATTTTCATGTATGCGAAGGAGATTGAAGATCTCTTGCTTATTCAGAAAGATTTTCGAACCCTCAGCATAGACACTATTGATCAAGTATGTGATGATATTTTATCCACTATATTTCCTTCAACACCTCATGGGGTTTATACAATTACGCAGGAAATACGAAAAGTTGTAAGAAAACATCCAAAGAAAGTCGAGTGTTTTGCAAAACTTATATCAAATCTATATGAACAACGCGATGAAACAAATTTTCTGGGAAATTTTCCCGATCTTTTTGTCGATTTAAATAGCGATTGCACACTTTATCGATTAGTACGAAAATTAGTACAAAACAATGTCATGTCAGTCGAAAAAATCACGCAAATTTTACAATCAATTTCCAGCGCAGAAAACAGCATCTTTTCATTTATCTTTTTTGCAGATTTTGCCAAGAAAGCACTTGTAGAGCGCTATGAACCATACAGGGATCGTATCTTGCAAGCTTCAACAACATTTTACATGATAAGTGACATTGCGAAGAACTGGGCTAAGTACGAAGCCAACAATTTCAAACTTCTAGAGCCTATTTATGAAATCGGCTGGTTCCCAAATACAGTTCAATATCACATAATTTTAGATGACGTCAAATTCCTCGAGAACTACTCGCAAAGCAGCAGATTCAATCCCATGATGAAAATAGAGCTCGACCAACTCTATTCCAACCGCTTTTCCACTCATTTTTGCGAAGAATGCACTTTACCAGAATTTGCAGGTTTCTGGGGTTCTGTCAACTGTTTCAAGTTCCTTCTTAAGTGCGGTGCTACAATAACACCTGATATGATGTCTCTGATCTTTTCCGGCGGTTCTTTGGAAATAATCAAAATTTGCTATGAAATGAAGATAAATTTCGGAAAAGGGTTCCAAAGAATGATCAATTTCTACTATAATGACATCTACGACTGGTATATCAAAGAATTCGAGACCGGCTGCAATTTCCGAAATTACGCATTCACTGTTGCAGCTGTCACCAACAATTTAGAGCTTGTTGTCCGTCTTATGGAGTCAAATGTTGATTTGAGTAAGGAAGAACTTCCAAAGAACATTGTACAATGTGATTCCCTCGAATTAGTTAAATTATTTGAATCAAAAGGAGTAATTTTCAAAAGAGTTGATTGTGTAGAAGCAGCAGCATCAATAGGTAATGAAGACATCCTCAAATATCTCATAGATATAGGAAGCCCTGTCAATCCGCCTCCTGAAATCAAAAACGCAGAATATCCTTTGATTTCTGCAATAAACCGCCAATTTTACGGTTGTGTCAAAATTTTGTTAGAAGCCGGTGCTGGACCAAACACAGTGACTGATTCGATGACAGCATTGAGTCATGCATGCAATAGGAAATCTACTGATATTGTCAGAGTTCTCTGCGAATACGGCGCCTACGTTAATTTTTCTGCGAGTGGAAAATACAATGACAGACCAATTATTTTATCATGTATCAAAGGAAACATTGAGCATGTCAAGACATTGATTGAGTGGGGAGCAGAATACGATGTTACAGCAATTACAGAGAATATCAACAATAAGATAACTGTGACACAACTCAATCCTTTGTGTGCTGCTTGTCAAGTTGGAGCAACTGATTTGTTGCAGTATTTGATAAACATCGGTTGTGATCCGAATGAAAACGATGCATTGCCATTAGTTTTGGCAGGAAACTACAACAGGCCGAGAGCTTATAACCTGTTGACTGAGTTGCTTCAAACTGGATCTAAAACATTGTTTGACATGTTGATTGTTGCTATCAGACAAAAGAATTTGGAAAATGTGAAAACATTAGTGAGTAAAGGAGTTTCTTTGGCAAATAGAGATGATGGAAATAGAACTCCTCTTCATTTGGCAGCAAATCATTCTGCAGAAATTCTTGAGTATTTGTTACATGTTAATAATGGATCAGGAATTAACGCGAGAGATAGCGAAGATAAAGCTCCAATACATCATGCTTTGGAAGCAAAGAATGTTGATTCTGTAAGATTGTTATTGAATGCAGGAGCAAATATTGACATGCTCACAAACAAAGGATATTCATGTTTAAGAATTGCATGCCAGAATTTGGATTTCGAAAGTGCAGAATTACTTTTAGATAAAAGGAATGACCCGAATGTTGAAGACTTCGAAGGATCAACACCTTTAATTGCTGTTTGTAGATTGCCAAGAACAAAAGAACGTCTGAGAATGATGGAAATGCTAATTGCTGCTGGTGCTGATTGTAGAATGGCTGATTCTTTGAATCATACTGCTTTGCACACTTTAGTTTTGCATGATCCGACATTGAGTGAATTGGATATTTTAACAAGATCAATGAAAAACATCAATTCCTTCTCAAGAAGAGGAATTCCAATGATGGGAGATGCTGTGAGATTGGATACTGTTTTCTTTGAGTTTCTGTTGTTGAATGGTGGAGATCCTTGGGTTACTTCCAATAAAGGAGAGACTTTGTTACATATTGCTGTTGAAACAAATCACACGAGAAACGCTGAGTTGCTGTTGTCTGCTGGTTTGAGTCCGAAGAAAAAGAACAGATGGTTGAGAAGTCCAATGTTTAATGCATTCAAAGGATCAATGAATGAACCAATAAATATTTTGAGGTCGTTGACAATGATTGATTTGTTGATTGCAAAAGGAGGAAATGTCAATGAAACTGACAGTAGAAACTCAACACCTGCAATTGCTTTGTTCGAAAGAAGAGGTCATATCCCTGTGGAATACATCAAAATTCTTAAAGAAAAATATAAAGTTAACATGGATAAAGTTAACTATGAAGGAAAAACTGTTCTGTTGTTAGCTGATCAGCATGGTTTGCAGGATATTGTTGATTACTTGGATCCAGAAGAAAACCATCCTAAACTGGCTCATGACAAGAAGCAATTCCAAAATTACAGAAGAAGAAATAAGGATATCCAATAATTTTTTTAATTTTTATTTGTTTTGTAAACATTAATTATATTTCGAGTTTAATGTGCAATCATATTGATTTTTTTATTCATTAGGAAAGTAGGTAATAAGCGAGCAACATATGAGTTATTTGCCAACATATAAAACCTAGATAGCATATAAAACATCCAGGTTTTTTAGAATAAAAATTCAAAAGTTTCTTTTACTGAATTTGAGATTGAGTAAGCCAAATAATGAGATCAATCAATTTAAAACAATACTTATGTTTGAAATTTAGGATAATACGCAAGAATTACACAAGGAGAACTCTCAAATTCTTCTGATATCATAATTAATAAAAGTTTATCAAAATAGAATGCTGAATGAATAAAAAAGTCTTAAAAATGAATACACTTTAACTCAAAAAAAGTTTTATCGCTAAAATAAAAAAAATTAATTTTGATCTATTGCTTGGCGTGAACGTAACATTGTAGAAGACAATCTCTCTCCATTTTCAGTAATGAGAGGTATAGAAACGATATCAATTGGTGGAAGATTCTTCTCTTTTCTCAATTCTTCAACAGCTTGAGCTCCGCTTGTTGTTTCTTTTGAAACTACAAGTAAATCGAGGTCCCCTGGTCTTCCTACAGGACCAGCAACATCTGTAATAGCCTCAATTTGGAGGATGACACTTGGATTAATCTTGAAAATCATTTCTGATGTATTTGCGATACGTTTATGAAGTGGTTCTATCTTTTCGGCAAATTCTTTCTTAGCAACATTTGTAGAAACGCCACAAATAACTTTATTCTTTGCATATAAAGCTGTGGCTGTCAAAAGGAGCTTATGACCATAGTGAAGTTTATCAAATGTTCCACCAACTGCAACTATGTTAACTCTATTCGAATTGTATGGCTCGAATTCGAATTCTTCATATTCTATTGTTTTATCATCAGGAACAAGTCCATATGATGGGATTAGGGTGAGACTCTCATTGTGTAAGTTAAGTGCTAATTCGTAAATTTTGGCAATAGTTGGTATTACAAGTTTATTATACGGATCTTCAAAGGCAATGGTAACATCTGTTGGTTGCTTATGGGTGTTTATAAAGTTTGTAATGTTTTTGATTGGTATTCTTGCTTTGTTGTCTTGAACGTATACGAAAAACATAAATAGCAGATAAAAAAAATGATTGAGAGGAAAAGTGGCAACTCATGTATCGTCATGATCGGAATGATTCTCCGGCCATTTACTAAAATTTTTCAAAAACTTTATAAATTGATGATATAAATCATTCCTTGATAATGTGGAATCGCATGTTGTTACGTAGATAGCCAAAATATATCTTTATTTTACCTATTACTCAACTGATAAAATTTTTTGATTTGATTTCAATATTTTTGTTTTACCTAAATCAGACGTATGTAAATATCTATATCCATTGTAACTCAAATGACTGGGAGTTCACTTTTCTTTCTATTATAATTCTATAAAAATTATGATTTAGCCTAGTTCAGAGTAATTTAAACAAATGTGGCTTATAAAAAACATGTTGTTATTTCAATAACATTAGCAATAATAAAATATTTAATATTATATAAAGTTATTTCTTCTTTTTTCCGCGTTTTGGCTTTGGAAGAGGTCCTCTAATCTTAGAATGCAACAAATAAAGGATCTTTATCTTATTCATCACAGTTGTCTGTGAGTTTCTCATTTCATTCTGCTTAGCTCTTTCTTTTGCTCTTTCTGTTTCCAAATGCATCAATCTCTCGGCTTCTTCTTTCTCAGGCTTCAGTTCATTGTAGTCTGTTGTAGCCGCATCAATCCTTCTCTTGAATCCCTGGAGTTTTTCTGTCTCTGCTTTGACATCTGTTTCGTATTTGTCAGTCCATTCCTTCATCATTTGGTTTATGTGTGCCCTGCGTCTGTCAAAGTATGAGAGAGTAACAGAATGAACGTTCTTTTCGTTCTGAAGCTGTAATTTAGCGTTAATAACTTGTTGCGTCAGTCTAGATTGATTTAATTCGTTCATATTCTGTTGCGCTTCAAGGCGGGCTTGACGTTCATCATCTCTGTTTGCTTTGACATCTTCTATTCTGGCTTGAGTTTGTTGTAATTCTTCTTTACTGGCTTTGATCTTTATATCAAGATCTTCAAGCTGGCGTGCCATTTCTGCCTCTGTCTTGCGGATCTTTTCATCGAGATCTTTGATTTCCTTTTGCATGTCTTTGTCTTGTTGCATAATTTGCATCATTTTGTTGTAGGCAGTAGTACGACCTGATGCCCATTCGTAGATACCCTGGAATGAATATGTTGATAATAGTTCCTTTCTAAATGATTCGAAATGTGTAATTAGATCCGTTCTTTCTGTTTGGATTTTGAGCAAGTTTTGAGAAACATTAGGTGACTCACGAAGATGCTTGCATAATTCACGTGTTAATTCTTGAAGCTCATGTGCTTGAGCTTCGATTTTGTCTTGATTCTTTTTATAACGAGTTTTGTTTGAGAGAGATTTAAGTTCAGAGCGGCGTTTAACTAAAACTTCATACTTCTCTTCACATACTTTTTGTTCTTTGATAATTTGAGCAACTGTATTTCCGAGAATATTTGATAATTCGTCTCTCTGAGTAATTACAGAAGGAGTGAGACTTTGTAAAACGCGTAGCCTATCTAAGCAATCTTCTACAGCGCCTGCCACGCAAATAGCTTCAAGTGGGCGAAGCTTGCACTGCATCGAATTTCTAACGTTTTATTTTTTTTTTCGAATTCATGCAAAGGTACATTCACTAGGCGATAACAGTAAAATGGGATGAAAATAGGATAAATAGCATCCCTATATAGTGCCTAACAATATTTATACGGGCCAAAAAAATTTGGCTAGAGATTTGGCGAGTTAGAAAATTTAGAAAATTGAGAGGGATTTTTATTTTTGAATTTTTTTTGGAAAGTTAAAATTGCGATTAAAAATCGATTTCCGGGAGAACTAAGCATCTCATCATATATTTAAATCGATAAAAATATTAAATAATAGTTGAATAGTATAACTACGTGAAATTATGGCTGAATATACAGAAAAAATGAACATATTTGACATTTTTGAAAATTCATACGTTAGATGGTGACAAACTCATAAACTATACTTTAGCTAAGATTGATATATGGTTTCAACAACACATGGTTAAAATCGTAAAAATATTTTAGATTTCAAAAAGATATATATGGTAATATAATGGAACAAAGTCAACAAATAGCATGTAAAATATGTTATAATTAACTTTTTATTAGATCTAATAGTATATATCGAATGGTTTCCAGCTTTATGGTTAATTATTTTCTTTTCGAGCTTCTCTTTAACTGTTGTATTAAGGTTGTAAATTTTTGATGCTAGAAACTATGGAATCTTCTTTGCTGCTGCATTTTTCTTGAGAGTTCTTGCAATTTCGAATAGATCTGCGCATTGTATGAAATGGGGGCTTTAAAATATCTTGAATCATAATAGGACTGCTTTTCCAAAGGAATGCTTATTTGTAAATCAGAGAGTTTCAAAATTGAGTGCAAGATTATCATCATAACTTAATAATTTTGTAGCGTTTTTTAGAAAAATGCTACAAAATTATCATTCTCAATTGAATGATGAATCGAAAGAATTTTGTAGCGTACAATTATTTTCCCTTGAAAAATAAATTAAAAATTTTTGTATATTTAATCATACTGTTTAATGAGCATCCTAATTTACTAAAAATAAAAAGACGATAGAAAATATTCAAAAAACTTGATGGCTTTAGATAGTCTTTTCGAGGAGTAACTTTTTCAGTGAATCGTCGAACGCTATCCACTCTCATAACATGTCCTCTTAATGTCCAAGGATATGCAACTTTTATCCTCATATTCATTGATCTTCCAAAATTTCAATATCAAATTAGGCTTCAAAGTTCCTAAAACTTTAGCCATGAATAGGATGTCAATCTTAAAGTCATTTCCTACCTCCTTCATACATGAAATTAAGAATAAAAGTTAATTTTTTAAAGTTTTTTAGTGATAATTTTTCAATGGAAAATAATCATATGCTACAAAATTTTCGATTACTGATCGGGTGAGAATTTTGATTTTGGTGCAAAAAGGAAGACAAGCTATTAACAAATCATTTACTGTTGTTCATCAAAAGAAGAAAACTTTGATAACAACTAATGATGATAAAATCAAGCTATCTTTTAATATTTTAAATTGATAAGACATTCAAAATATTTGAATGGTTTAAAATATTTTCTTTTAATTTCTCTAAGATATTATCATGATTATATAATAAAATTTAAATTTTTATTCAAAAAGGCAATATTTCAAACTTTTAATTTCAAAAATCTTAATTCTGCAATAAATGTATTTAATTGTAGCAAATTTAATGATCCTTCGTCATGTTTAGCAATTTGGAACTCATAAATTAATGATTTCTTCAAGTAAAATTCTGCATTATTTCAAAAGTCAATAATTCTCTAGTAACTTTTCTTCAAACCCTAACCATTATATTATAGGTATAATGGAGAATAATTGTAAAGAAAGATAGCCGAATTTACTGGGTAGTTCTTGTGATGCGAAATAATTGCAAATTAACACCTAGTTTTAACAGTATCAATCTCTTTTTGCTCTCATTTAAATGCATTCGCACACTTTAATTTTGAAATATAAGAGTTTTGGAAATTATCAAATTTATCTGCTCAAATACTATAGATCTTCATAAGTGTTAATAGAATCATTAGCCTTACATATAGTGTTTAATATAATGATGCACATTATACTGGGATTCATTCCTTATTCATCTAGTTATTATAAGATTTACAACCCCATGAAAATTTAAAATTTTGTCAAAAATAGTGAATGTACCTTTATTCATGCAAAGATAAATAAAGCTAATATCATAAAGAGCATCTTCTGGAACATTCATTTTTTGTGTTGAACTCAAACTCATTTTATTGAATGTTGAAATCTTCCGTAATCCTGCAATTTTTATGATAGCATGTAGGCATGCAAAGGCCATAATCAAACATTATATGAAATGTGAGAGCTTGCAGTGTTTGATGCAAGCAAGACTTTCAATAAGTTAATTTGCTCAAAAATCATATAATCTTTTATAAACAAAAACATAATAACAACATTTTCTTTATTGGATAACATCAAAATTTGACGATAATTCGGTATTAAAACAAATAAAAAAAACAATATTAAATTATTTTTTCCCTAAACAAGTTAATAGAGGGAATACTATATTTCTTTTTAGCTTCTTTTTCTTATTTTGTGCCCTATCAAAGCTTATTACAACCTTTTTTTGGATAATTTGTAAAAGTTCTTCCAGCTATGCATGAAAATGTTGATAGATATGCATATTTAAATGTAGTGGCTTTATTTGTATTGTTGGATGTATAGTTAATAGCTTTGGGTATTGATACATCTACAAAAGAATTTTTTACAGTTAGTGTTCCTTGGGTATTTCCAAACACTACACCAGTGTTCCTTAATATTGAACATGCGTCAATTGTAACTTTACCTTGGTACACATAAATGATGCCAAAATAAGAAGAAGTTTGACTATTTTCTATAATGTTACAATATTTTAGAGTGTGAATAGATTGGCTTGAATGATCAAGGCATACATAATCTGATGCACTATTCCCTTGAATGTTTGAGAGGTTTGTAATAGAGCCTGAATAAGATTTAAACACAGAATAAACAGACATTTTCTCCATCTGATTTTTACTGATATTTGTAGACGAAATGACAATATCTCCATAGAGAAAACTTGCTGTATAGTTGGTTTTCGTATCACCACACTTGGTAATAGTCGATTCTAATAAATAATTAAATAAATTCATCTTTTCATCTACATAAGACCATGAAAATTGAGCTTGATCTTTACTTTTACAACTGACTATACAACATCGATGCTGTACTACGTGGCTTGCACCAAAAACATATATGCAACCACCTTTTGAAGTGTGTGAACATAAATTAAATATACATCCCGTATGTAAAAAGCTTATATCAGGTTTGGCTAAGTTAATAACGCCTGATGTGAGACTTGTAAATCTACAGTTATACAAATACCAAGTGTTTATTGAAAATGTTCGATCGGGATTATTCCCTGTTTTGTATGACCCATAGGGTTTATGGAAAAAGATATCCCATATAGAAAATGCTACCCAATCTTGATGAAATAGCAAATTCAATACGATTTTCATAAAATGTCAAATTTGACGATTCACCTAAAAAGCATTCGAACCATACAATTCTAGCCTTCAAAAAGCTTTCTCACCACATTAAAGTTCCTAACAGAATTTTGATCAGATCTCAAATTTATTTGTCACTTTTGAAAGAGAAAGGGACAAACTATCCAGTGTCACTTTTCAAAGGAATAAAAAAAATAATAAAGATGGGGAACAGGACAAATTTGCCACACGGCACTTTTTTTAAAAATTTAATGGAGCGGAGCGATACTCTGCTGCAGGAGCCCCAAGGCTCCCAATCATTACGAAAGGGAGCCTCAGGGCTCCTGAGAATCCATCAGCAGAGGCCTTTTCATTTGGCCTCTGCTGATCAAAGATTCGGCGAAGCCATTCTTCGTCTCAGGAGCCCCAAGGCTTCCAATCATTACGAAAGGGAGCCTCAGGGCTCCTGAGAATCCATCAGCAGAGGCCTTTTCATTTGGCCTCTGCTGATCAAAGATTCGGCGAAGCCATTCTTCGTCTCAGGAGCCCCAAGGCTCCCAATCATTACGAAAGGGAGCCTCAGGGCTCCTGAGAAACCTCTTTGAGAAGGTTTTCTTAAAGAAAACCTTCTCAAAGATGATTGTCAGCATTCACTCAAAATCTACCAAGAGTTTCAAAGTTTCAAATCTATCTGAAATGAAGCTTTGAATCTCTTGTATATCTAATTGTAGAGGTACCTTTTCAAAATGTCTTCTATTGATTAAATTTAATCAGTAAAAGTCATTTTGAAAAGGTACATCTCTATAATTGCTATTGAGCATTCACTCTTGGAACCTTGGAGCTCTTGTGTAGTGCATGAAAACTCCAAGATTCTAGCATAAAACATATATCATAGACATAATTTCTTCAAATATAATTTAAGGTTATTTTTTAAAAATTAGAAAAGCGTAATTTAAGGTTATTGAAAAAGTGACACCTGGCAAATTTGTCCCGCACTCCTTTTGAAATGGCGATGATATAATTTTACCAAAAATATGACTTATAAAATGGTATCAATTAACTCTTGTAAAATTCATTCTATCAATTTTGTCAAAAAAAATTAACCTTAAAAATTGAATACATTGTATATTTTATACTCAAACAACCCTGAATTTGTTTCTATAATATTGATTGATTATTGGGGCCAATGATGTCAAAATGATTTGATAAATTATAAACTTTTGAGAAAAAAAAAGAAAATGACAGTTAATGAAGATAACATTATAACATTATTTAACAGTCATTTTTATTAAAAGAATTTGATTATAAATGCTATGAAATTTTGGATTAATTGTAAATTCATAATTGATATGGCAAAGTTAATGAATATTTATATCTAATGTCTCCATCCAGCAAGATCGAAATGCAAAACTAGATAACCACTTTGTATCAGAATGGAAAGCGATATTTGGTTAATTCAAGCCCGTAATTTTCCTCCAAGCCACAAATCAAAAGACAAATTTAAGGAAAACGGTTTTGACAGACATACATTTTTAGTGCGCATAGAACGTATGTATTATTAATTTATGGCTTGGAAGATAACAATTCTTTTCGCAGTTATAGCTCTGACCCTTATGGCAGGATAATGGCGATAAAAATTCATCTGAGCCGCAATTTCAAACAACATCTAACACACAGAATTATAAAAGTTACAATATATTGATTTATGGCATCTGTATTACATGTTTATGATATCTTCATGTAAAACTTCTTACAATTTTTCTCGAATTTTTATTTTGAGTGTCCTATTCAATTTTAGTACTAAAAATTATCCTTTAATGCATAAATTTTTACCAATTTAATATAGATTCCCATAATTATTTCTTTTAATGAATAAAATGCTCATATAGATTATTTTTCAAAGGATTTTATCCCTTATTTTCATTGTTAATTACGGAAGTAAAAAATAAATTGCAAAATCATGAATTTTAGAAGTTCAAACTGTATTACCCTATTCAAAAATATCCAAGGAATGAAAATCTGTCCAATGAATGTATTCAAAACATGATCGGCACTATTCAAATTGCTGGCAAAAATGTCAAAAGAATAAGATGTATGAAATAACTATAGATTTAATATTTGTATAAGAAATAATATCTAAATATATTACTTTTGAATGTCTTTATTTGAATTTTAATTTCTGACATTTTCAGTTGTTTCGCTTATACTTCGATAACTTAAAGTGTTTTGGTATTAAGTTCATTTACAAAATGAACTTAATTAGATATCACTACCTCATCAATCTGAAATCTTTAGCAAAATATTCAGATTTTGGATGAATACTCTAAAATATAAATGATAACTTGTGAAGTTCATGAATTTCGTTCAAATTTATATAAATGATCTCATGCACCTTGTTTCAAAGAGAATAAGGGAGAAATTTACAAATGTCAAATTGTCAAAAAATCAAAAATGTTCTTGAGCTTGATTTTATTCACAGCCTTTGATTATTCAGATCAACGAGATGATTTTTCTAGCAGAGTTGTTTCAGACTATCAAACAGATTACGAATATTCGGATTTTGAAGAGAGTTCATATTACGAATATTCAGATGAAAACGAAGAGTCAAGTTATGATGAAATAATGGCCGAATCTCATCATAATTTTACCAATAAAAATGATTCTGATGATGATGGAGAATCAAATACAAACGATATCAACGAAACAGTTTATTACTACAACGAATACTTCTTAGATGATCTAGAACGAAATGATAATAATGCAAACTCTGATAAGCTTTAAAATATTTAATGAATTGTTTGTACATAAAGAGTTGTTTTTAATAATATTAAATTTAATCAATATAGTGTATATATATTTTATAGAATTATAAATTTTAATTGACTTGAAAGATTCGAAATTATACTTCCCCAAAATAAAATTTAAAAGAAGTGCCTCCACTCTGTTTTTGAGGTGTGAATATATTATTTATGTAATAAAATGCGTCATATATGCTAAGTGTCTAATAGTAAATCTAATTTAATCAAAAAATAAGAATAATGAGATATTCAACTGCATCTATAAATCGCAAATCTTTCTCAATTCATTCGGGAGGGGAAAAACATGAAATTCTTGTCGAGGGACAATTTATAGATTGTTTTCCTCTCAATTGAAATGTTAATAAAATAATTATAAATGCATGCAGCAATGTATCATAATATCGCAAGAAATTTGAAGCATAATTTCAATACTAACGGCGCCCTTCTCAATTTTGTGAAGATTAGGTTTAAAATTCTGATCGTAGTTCATTGTTTTCAAATTTATCATAATTTGTGATGTTTCATCTTTTCGTTCATCATTTGTCATCAACAGAAGAAAATCATAATCAATCATTTGGAATAACAACCAACTTTGCTTCCGATATCAAGTTATCTCAAGAAAATCAACAAAAAGATATTTTAACAAAAATCAAACAGAATGAAGAAGAAAGCTATGATGTAACAATTCCATCATATAGTTCTGAGCATTCTACTCTTCATTTTACAAATAATGAAGTAAAATCAATCAAAATTTCATCTTCAACTTATAGAATAACAATTGTTATCTTTCAAAATGCAAACAAGTTTACTCTTGAAGATGGAGAACAGCTTAAAGTAGTGTATTCATTCATAAAAGGGAACGAAATTATTCTTAAAATTAAAGCACTTGAACCAAATTCAGATCTTCAATATTATTGGAGAGAATTAGATTATTCAACTGATATGCATGCTAATGTAATCATAAATGTTAAAAATTTCAGCTATGGATTTCCACCATTAAGAAATTCCCATCTAATTTATATATATTCTTCAGATGCTACATTACAACATAAATGTTTTATTTCTGAATCATCACGTTATTATGGCACATCGAATGCTGAATTTGAGGATGATGAGATAAATGGCATATATTTTGGTCAAGTAGAATTAAAAAGTGATTTGCCTGATGATGAAATATCGGGGATATTCAATGTTGAAAATTGCCTTTCTGCATTTGACTACGCTGAAAAAATTGAGTTTTTTATTCTACAGCATTCTATTCTATAACAATTGATTCAACTCCAAAAAAGTGTGTGACTACAGACTTATACTTTCGACATTTCGTTGTTATAGCCAAGAATGGAATCAAACAATTTGATAACCACACAGAAGGTAGTTCAACTATTTGGTCAACAATTGGTCCACAAGAAGTCTTAATAATGTTTATACCACATGATTTCGCAGGCATGCCTCTCAACTATTCAATTAATACAATTTCTGATCAGGCATTATCTTATTATGTCGAAGAGAAGAATAAAATGGTACAGTTAATATACTCTTATTCACCTGTTACATTTAATATGACATTTTATGAATATTCATCGAATGATAATTTCTATGTAATGAATTGCTTAAATAATAAGAGAGAACTATTATATAGGAATCAGATCCAAGGAAATAATTCATATTCATGCAATAATACTAACTATATTTCCATATCTCTTGGTAATGGTAAGATCGAATTTTCTAAGTTTTCATTTGATAATCCATTAATTTCAAATGAAGGATTGCCTCAATATGATGATGGAAAATTGAAGGCAAGATGGCCACAAAGAACACCAGAAATAACACCACCTGACACAAATGGCAATAATAATAACAATAATGATAATGATGATCACTTGGATCAAAATAATAGCTCAGGCAATAAATTATCTGGAGGTGCAATTGCTGGAATTGTTGTTGGAGTCATTGTTGTTATTGCTGTATGTATTGCAGCATTTATTATCATCCACAAAAGAAAACCTTCATCATCAAACGCAGATATTGGTGATGAAGTTTAATTTTACATTTTTTTGATTAAAATTTCATTTTTATTTTGCATTTTTAGAGTTTTTTCATTTGAATAACATTGCTATACATAAATAATTATGTTGTTATTATGTATTGTTTTTATCACTTTTTTGAATAATGATAATGAATACCTATTGTTTGAATATCTTATTCATGAAAAATTTCTGCTTCAAATAATATCTCTGAACTTAATGTTGCACATACTTCTGCCAACTGGCTTGAAATATCAATGAAACTTTATCCCAAATCATAGAATTAAAGGCTGAATTATACGAGTGTAAGCCTGTTCTTAAGTACACTCTAGTAATCGACTTCTTTGAGATCAAGATTCCCACAAATGACACGATATCACATTTGTTGTAATAGAACGTTATTCCACTGTAAAAATGATGAAAACAAAGCTATTATTTAATGGGCACGTTCTGATATTCTCTTAATTTTTTTGACATCAGAACTTTATATCCCAATTTTCTATGATAAAAAGTTAATATTTTTGTTCGGGAAAAAGTTATTATAAATCATTATCTAGTGCTTCATATGGTTGTTATACTTATTTGTTCTTGAAATAAAGATATCATGTCAAAAAGTGGTAAGTGCCAGACTGAGAAGTAATATTTGTAACTAATTAATTTGGTGAAGCAAATTTTGAATTTTCATAATTTTAGTTAATTGCCAAAAATAATTATCAATACTAAAATTATCATTGTCCTATATTAGCAAAAGATGGTGTTAGATTGGTAACTATTTTCATGAACATCAAAATTTGATTTTACCTCTTATAATCAATCTGTGATTTATACATTTTGCTGTGATAATATCTCTGAACTTAATGTTTCACATACTTCTATCAACTGGCGTAAAGTATCAATGAAACTTTATCCCAAATCATAGAATTAAAAGCTGTATTATTCTAGTGTAAGCGCGTACTTAAACAGGAAATTTCTATTTTATAAGTGGTTCAGGAAATAACTAAACTGCACTCCGGTAAAGGACTTCTTTGAGATTAATATTCCCACAAATGATACGATTTCGCATTTGTTGGAATATAACGTTATTCCACTACATAATGTGTATAATTTTGCTAAGGTTATTCAACTCATGCTTTATGTAAAGTGAGGAATTGTGGTAAAAAAATAATATATAGTAGGGAAAAAATCGCTTTATGTAAAAAAATAGGTTGGAAAAGTTTAATTAGCTTTTATTTCTAATAAAATTCATCTTCGAAAATACTAGAAAAATAAAGAATAGTATCTTATAAAAGAAAATTATTCTTTCGCACCATGCGAAATAAGAAGTTCAACTATTTCTGTGCGATTAAGCCTTGATGCAAAATCAAGAGCTGTATACTCCTGATTATCTTTTTCGTTGATATTCGCACCATGCGAAATAAGAACTTCCGCCATTTCTTTACTATTTGCTATACTGCCCATTGAAGAGCTGTATATCCTTTAGAATTTTTTTGGTTGATATTCACACCATGCGTTATAAGAAATTCAGCAGCTTCTGTATTATTTTTCGTTACTGCTGAATGAAGTGCGGACGCACCATAATTATTGACATTCGCACCAAGTGAAATTAAATATTCCAAAAGGGATTGGATATTAAAAGTAATTGAAAATACAAAGCATCTGTTAATATCATTAGTCCGATCGAAATAAACCAAAAAGGATTCAAGATTATTGTATAGTGTACAATAATTTAATTCAATCTTTATATTGTGTTCATTCATCAAGAATGTAACAAAATCAATGTTATGTGAAATAATTGCATATCTCATGCATTCTTCATTTGGTTTTTGATATTTGAGACATTCACTCATGATCTCTGGATTTCCTCCTAAAAATGAAAACTCTAGACATTTTTGAGTGATTTTTGAGTTAAATTTCGTTCTTAAGAATTTGAAACAATCAACTGCTCCATGATAACAACATAATTCAAGTAATTCATGATATCCAAATAGTTCTTCTGGATATAAATTGCTTTTAAGTATTTGACTGCTAAAAAAACCTTCTCTTTCAGTGAATGAGATGAATCTTTCTAAGTCATTATTCATAATTGCTCTGTAAATTGTATCTTCTGTAAGAATGTTGAGATCTTCTGAAAGAATGAGTCCCAAATATCCAGATTTGTCTAATCTAATTCCATATTCTTTAAAAAACAAGATGTTTGCAATCTTTTCAACTCTGACGACATCTGTCACATGATATTCATCAGATATGAGTTTGGCAAGAAATAAATATGACTTTGTATAGCGATTATTATACGGTATGATATCTAAAATGTCTCTTATAATATTCCGTGGAATATATTTCCTTGATTCAATCAACTCTGTTTTGATCAGATTGTAAATTGACTTTAAATCTTCTTCTTTTTCCGTTTTCAGCTGATACAACGCATTGTATATATCGATATAATATTTATAGAGACTTCACATTTCGTTGTATTTGTTTGGAACAACGTCTTGTTCCGACATTAAGGGACGTTTACGACTAGATAAGGTTCTCGAATTTTTGTGAAGTTTACAAGAAAAGTGAGATTTGATAAGCGTTTTTCAAGTTGAATATCAAGTTTTCCCAAATTTTAGTTGTATCAAATTAATAATTTTTAAATATTTGCATTTTACCATATTAAATACATCTTTAATTCATTAGAAGAAAAACGGCTATGTTATACATGTGGAAAACTATGATCAGGAAGATTTCGGTTTTAATTTGTGAATCTTGGGACCGAATTTTGAATACGCTCATAGATATGAAATGAAGAAATAACAATAGAAAAGTCGAAAGCAATAGAATTTAATGATCATTCAAAAGAATTATCTTCATAATTTATATTGTTGGTGGATAATACAATATTTTGGTTTCATTTCAGCATTTCCAATGGAAAACATTATCTGATGTATTTAATAAATAAATAAAAATAAAAACAAATTATAAAAAACACAAAAAAAAAATTATTTAGAGTATTTTGAAGAGAAAGTATGAATGAAAAGTGCCTTTAATTCCTTTCCATCCATTTCTCTTCTTTTCTCCTGTTCCAGACGCGATACCCATTCGTTTGTTGGATGGTTTGCAATCATGTCCTCAAGAACTCCAATCTGAACAGCGCCGCAAAAGTGTTTAACAATGAAAGAAGAAGAATGATCACCTTTGTTTTGTTTCAAATAGTTCAAAACTAAAGGTTTCGCCTTCTCCAAAACGAAACTAGGCACAATACATGGTTTCTGACTTGCTGCGTCCAAAATAGCTCCTCCAAGATCATCTTTATTGACAAATTTCGGAAGATTCTCTATTTTACAGTTATCTTCTCCCATGTACATCAAAGCGAGGATTGGATACATCATTTTCGCTGTTGTGTTCACTGCGTATCTATTTCCTGCAACTAATCTCCTCAACGAACTCGATCTGCAGATAATAGACACCAAGTCTTTCGTGAAAAACTCAAATTCGCCGCCAATTCCTAAAACATGAACTAAAAAAGCAAATAACAGCTCGTGTTTGATTTTGGGAATCATTTCTATAATGGCGGAATGTATCTTACCGCTCTTTAATACTAATCTCCGAATAGTGGACATGTGCGGTGAATAATAACTGGAAATGAAGTGAACTGTCACTTTTTTAAGTAAATTAATCAATTGGATTGATTGGATGATTTTCTTAATTGTTTCTTCATCGTTTGATCTGTCTATTATCATCTTCATGTCGCATTTGATGACGGAATCAATGACAGATGTAGAAAACTCGTCAGTTATGTTTGTATCACCAAGCATGATCGAATCTCCCAAGTAAGCAGCGAGAGTTCCGTTGATCTGCATGATTGTGTCTGGAAATAGGTCGCTAAGATCTCTCAATGCGTTCGTTTCTGGGATAATAAATTTGAATTCGACTGGTTTCACGTTTGGAGACATTCCAATGAAGTCTGTCATGTATTCCGCAACAAGAGGAAGATTCTGAATAGATTCTAGTTCTGCTGTTGTCATGGCGTCAAAATTAACACGTAAAGTTTCATTGAAAATGTAAAATAAAATGTAAAGTTGTGGATTTTCCATGGCCGCTTTGTGGGTGTTCGGATCTCTGGTGGCGCAGATCTCGATAATCTGGGATGGCTTCAGATCAGAGATGTGGCAGCCGACTTCGAGCCAAATTAGCCTGTAATACTTAAATTCAAGACAAAGTTCGAAGAAAAGTTTGAAATCTTGGAAGTTCGTGTAGATGGATCGCTCTGGAATGATTGTACCTGTATAGGAGTACAAGGCGAAGTCGTAAATGTGGTTTAATGACAAATCATACAATTTGTTCATGAATTTTCCAATTCTTCGGGTCATAACTTGTTTCATGATGTATACGGCTGAGAATTTGATTAATGAGTTCCTCGGATTCTGCATAACTTCGCCTGTAAAAACAATAAAATCTGAAATCGGAGAAGGATTCGTTTGGTGTTGGAAAAATATGTCTACTAACGGTGTCTGCTTCATACTGCGCCAGAATTGGCTGATCTGTGTCTTCAATGAAGTTAATTGAACAACTGGTTTGATTTCTTCATTGTAAGGTTTTTCGGGGCTGAAGTAAGGTTCAAGTCTATTTATTTCTGGATTAAACATAGATAAGATCGCTCCTGATATGTCAATTTCTATAATTTTTGGAGAATATGAAATGGCTCCACTTTTTGCTTGATTAAAACCGAAATTAAGGTATAATTTGCCATTCATGACTGCTGATGAATGATATGCAACATTATTGACGCCTTTAATGATTGCTTTTGTTGATTTATTATCTTCTGGATTCAAAATTGTAATTTCTAGATCTTTAAACTCTGTTTCATCATCAGCAATAGATATATTCTGGTTATTCGTCAATGATTCGCTCATATCTTCAAGTTGTCCGCCTGAAATTATGATTCTTGTTCCAACTCCATCGATATTGACCACGTTCATGGTGGCACCGTATGGCATATGAGATTTCTCTAAGTTTATTCTCTCCCATTTCGGTATTCTGTTCTTTGAAAAATCGATAATATCAACTACTTTTTTACATGGAGTAGTTCTGTTAACGGAACCACCGAAAATGTAGAGTCTGTCTTTGTAGTAGACCATTGCATGGCCGTATCTGGACTTCGGACTGTCTGTTGGTATTAAAGTCCACTTATTCGTAATTGCGCACCATTTCCAGAGCTCTGGCATGCATTCTGACTTGTTGGAACTGATATTTCTAGTACCTGAATAGACCCATAAGCAGCATCTGTCAGAATCCCAAGCAACAGCATGGAAAGCACGAGAAGCTGGCTTATAAGCATCCATGCAGTATTTCTCGATGTTATCTTTGCATAGCTTTCCGTTAAATTTGTAATTAATTAAATATTTTCCGTAATATCCGGTATTTTCTGCGTATTGAAAAGAATCTTGAGATGAATCCTGTGAAAAATCTTCACAAAAGCCACTAAATAAGACTCCTGTTTCGAATTCTGGTATGTATGCGCATGATGATCCGATAAATCTACTTGATGGAACTGTATCAACTTTAGTTTTTGGCTTACCTTGGACAATTTCGAAACATAAGTAGCGTCCTTCTAATTGCTCTAATTGTTTTCTGTCATGAATTTGAGTTATATAGCCAAAAAAATCGTAGCCACCGAAAATATGCAATTTTCCTCGATTAGAAACGCAGTATCCTGCAATTTGATAGAATCTAGTTGATAGACTGATGTCATACTGTTTAACAAATTTAGAAGGGATTTCCATCCAAAATCTCTTCCAAAAAAGTGATTATTTTAACTATTAGAATGTGTAATGCATTCGCATAGTATGTAAATTTTTATTAGTTACAGTGATTCATAACATTATTCATCTTGAATTTGATCTATCTGATAAATTGATACTATAATATCATTTGTATTATTAAATTCATTCATATTCTGATTGATTAACAGATAAAATGGCTGCTCTTTTAAACAATCATGAAAATTTATTGAATAACTATTCTCCTTTGCTGAAATGATATAAAATAAGTCTTTGCTTGCAAAAAATCATATGAAACATGCATTGAGTCATAATATCAAAGTCAAATTTTGAACAATAATATTTTTACGTTAAATTTGCTAATGGCATCCAAGAACTGCAGATCATATCTTGTTGGAGCAAATTATCTACTAGATATGGTTGAATAACATATGAGAAATTTTGTCAAAATATTTTGACAGTATAATGTATCATGTACTAAAGATTTAGAATATCTTCTTTAAATTTTCATTGTTCATTTAAGTAAAGTGGTTTTTTATAAAGAAAGAATTTTTGACCCAATGTAATTAACATTGTTCCATGATTTAGCATAGACCATGGTGATAGATAATTGATGTTCCATAAGATCCGACTATTCTTATATCAAACTAAAGACAAATAACAATCATATTTTCGTTATATGTTTTGATATTGATGATCCGATAGTAAAAAAAGCTCTTATACAACAACAGCTTTAGTATAATATGAAACGAAATTAAAATATTTTTTTTACATAACAAATTAATTAGGATGCTCAAGCGCCTTTCCATTTGCATTTTTCGAGATCAGCTTCTGTGCATCCGCGTTTGAAAACTCCTGCAGTGTGGCGAACCATTCTCATATGGCTGAGAGCAACATGACCAAGATTATGTTGTGCCGCAACTGATTCAGATTCTTCGAATGAAAGTTCTACAAAGCCGTGTGAAGGGAAGTTTCCTTGTTGGTGGAAAAGACCTCCCTCAATTGTCCTTACACCGATTAATCTTGCGAAAGGTTCTCGGGAGACCCAAATAATATTGTCATCAACCCACTTCACGCCTATGTGTGGGAAATATTCTGGATAAAGTTCTGTAATTCTAAGAGCGTTGAAGAGTTTGTAAGGGAATTTGCTTGCAGAAGAATTTCTCCTTCTGAAAAATGATTGAACAAGGTTTCCAAATGTAATAATGTCCGATGACCATGTAGATGCTGGAATTAACCCAATCTGGCTTGGAGAAAATGTTATACTGGGATCAGTAAGGACTTGTTCAAATGGTCTTGACTGAATTGGTGTTTGTATATTAAATCTGGGTAAAGATTCGGACATTTGCTTAGCCGAGAAGAGTTGAATAAAGTTTGAATCTGGAATATAGATGGGATAAGCACTTTGACCACTGATTTGCTGATATTGTGGTATAATAGGGCTTGCCTGCATTAATGCTGGATAATTTTGTGAAAATAATGCATTTTGTTGATTCCTCAAATTATACATATTCTGTTGGAATTGAAAGGGAGGAGGTGTGCTGCTGTGGTAAACCATCATTGGCATTACTTGTTCCGCTTTAGCTGCTCGATAAGCAGTAACCTTTGTTGGATTTTGCTCTTGCATGAAAGACAATATTGAATATTTCGATTTCAATAACCGATTTTTACTTTTCGTGTAAAGAATATTTTTGTCAGGAATTTGTGGATGATTATACGATTCTGGAAATAATCCAGTATGTTTAACTTTTGAAATATCACATTCAAATATTTAAGAGACTGCAGTATATTACAGATATATAAAATAAAATGAGCATCTATTATTTATGAGTTAATTTACTTTGAAAGCTCAAAAAAAATTGTAATAGCAGGCTTTGAATTTTCAAAGTAAAGTAATTAATTTCAGAAGAGGGTAATTGGAGTTATTGTTTAAATTCATCATATTAACGTAAGGAGTTTAGTATTATTGTATAATTAAATTTTGGAAGTTTTGAAAATTGCAAAACGTGCAGCTTTTTAAAAAAACACAGCACCAATATATATGTTATACCTGTCCGAAATGGACAGGTGTGATAATGAACTTTTCTTAGAGATACAAAATTGAGAATTTGATAATCTCAATTTGAAAGCATCAAGATGTGATTATTTAGATTTTAATAGTATTATCGAATTGTTTCGATTTTACTTTTCTTACGAATTTTTGATACTTATTCAAAATTTTGAAATGGATAGTTATAAATTGTAATTTTAAATCGTTATTGGATTACATTCTATGCTGAAATACCTGAAATTCAATCATGTTGTAAACAGAAATTCATCAAAAGTGACACCTCAGAAAAGCTAAAATATTGAATTTTTGGAACTTTTGATAGAGCACGTTTTTCAATATTAATTAAAGTAAATGTATATTTTGTAAAGTTTCTTTTTAATAAAAAATAAAATTTTGAAGAAGAACACAAAATCTTCTGAAAAATAATATCACATAAACTCATATTATTTTCTAATATATAACTATTTTATATAAAAATCAAATTCAATGATCTTAAAAGCGAAGGATAAACCTCAAAATTTACGAATATAATGAGTGGGAATATAATGCTTATCTATCATAAAACCATATGAAATATCAATTTTTGCTTTACGCCTAATTTTTGACGACAATTAGCAAAAAATGTTAAATGTTAACACTCAGTCCATTTGAATATGAAAAAGAAAATTGACTTTGATTAAATGTTTTTATTTATCATGCAATTCTTCTTGCGACCAAAGATTTGAATCAAATTTCAAAAAATAAGATAGCTTAAAAAATAATATACGGTAGTGTTTACTAATAGATGAATAGTATATAAATTCTATTAAAATGGATTTGATCCAAAAAAATATAAAACCAAAAATAATTGTTATAATTTAAATGAAGAAGTAATATAAAAATTTAATTTTTTTAAATCATTTTTAGGAAAAATGGAATTTTTTAGATTAGGGATGCGTTAAACACGCCATTTGACCGGGCGTGCATTTTTTTTGTTCGCCCAAAAATTTCGCCATTTGAGAAATTCAAAAATTAAAAATAAAATCTTAATCTTGATTTTTTTATTTTCGTGATTTTTTTGAAACTTACATAAGCGATGAAATACTTTTTTTTAAGTAATCGTTTATTATATATAAATATATCTTAATAAATTTAATTCCTTAAGGTAGAGCGTGTTCAAATTTAAAATCTCATACAATATTTTCTTAATGGCGTATTTTTCTGAGGTCGCCCAAATAAAGGCGAATTCAAAATTGAGAACTCCAAGGCGTATGGCGAGTATTCAAAAAGTACGCCACTTACAAAATATTGAATGTGGATTATCAATTTTTTGGCGTTTTCAATTTCAAATTTTGATATTTATGTTTATTTTATTCAGTATAATGCTAAGAATTAAAATATAAAATTCATAGAATTTTTTCTTTGAAAATATTTTACATTTTTATTAGACCACTCCTAGACTAGTCATCAGGTTATCCTCAGATCATCCTCAGACTACTCCTTATCAGATTACTCATCATCCTCAGACTACTCCTTAGACCCCTCCTCATCAGACTACTCCTCAGATCTTCCTCATAAGACTCCTCCTCAGATCTTCCTCCTGAGACTACTCTTCAGACTACTCCTTAGAGTCCTCCTCATCAGACTACTCCTTAGAGTCCTCCTCATCAGACTAGTCCTGAGACTAGTCCTCAGACTACTCCTGAAACTACTCCTCAGATTATCCTCAAACTACTCCTCAGATTATCCTCAAACTACTCCTCAGTCTAATCCTCAGACTCCTCCTCAGATTATCCTCAAACTACTCATCGGTCTAATCCTCAGACTCCTCCTCAGATTATGCTCAGATTATCCTCAAACTCCTCAGATTATCCTCAGATTATCACTTTACATATATATATCGATAACTAAATAATTACTTATTATACTTTCTTTATTTTTTTTTAATTTTAAAATAATATTAATATATCTTTCTACGTTTAATGATGAAAAGAGAAAGAGGAGTAAAAAGAGGAAAGAGAAAAGAAAGAGAGAGAGAAAAAAAGGACGGCGATAATTTTGTATTGTTTTGTTATTCGGCCGAATGGCGGCTACTTCGTACCCGCCATTCGCCCCCAAAAATGGCGTATTATTCTATTTTTAAACGGTCATGGCGTAAAACCGTCGCATCCCTATTTAGATGATAAATCCAAGAAAATTAAGGGAGTTTATAGGGAAAATAAGTGTATTTTTAGTAATCTATCTAATTATTATATTATAACCAGATCTAAATTTCGCAGATTCACGTCAACATTTTTGGATCAATGCTTTTGTATTTTCATCGATATGCATATAATCTCTATAAAACACTCAATGATTTGTTCTTATAATTTCTGTTAACTGAATTCGTTTCAGTTAGACGATACTTTTCTTATATTTTTTGTAAACTTTTTTTTAGATGACATACAGCACAAAAGATGAAGATGAGCGCACAAAGAATCTTAAAATCATCCATGCAATCTATTTATCGACAATTGGCAAGCAAATCATGGAAGAAGCCGAAATCGAAGAAGGCAAATTCAGAAAACCTTTCGATACACCAGCATTTCGCATAACAGCCGAGTATGTTGCCCAATACCTTTACGGAAAAATCATGAATAACACACTTAAAACCGTTGAAAAGGAAACAGATCAATACTGTCGCCTCAGACACGATGAGTCATGGCTCTATAGAAAGCTCAGAGTAGAGCCAGGACAGTCACTTATTGGCACTCTTCTTGACTCTGTTTCAGAAGATGTTACTGTTTCTTCAACCATCGGATCAAATTCAACTTCTGGCAGAAGAATGAAGCCAAAATCTAGAGGACTTGATAACTCTATATCAGGATCCGATGCTCCACGCCCATTGCGTCCAAAGAAGGAAACACAAACAGCATCAATCGATGATCAGTCTGTAGACTTCATAGAATCCAAAGATTTCTCACAATTTACGACAGTCCTCACCACAAATGTTGGTGCAGATTACCAACAAGACACTACAATGTCAGCTGTTTCTGGATTAACCTTTACAGAGCTCGATGCAACAGATTCAGATGATTTCGATAAGAACTACGATCCTCGTGGCATTAATGCCAGACCGAAACCGCTTCCAAAGCTTTCTAAACGCGAATTGGCCGATTCCAAATTCAAAGCCGAACAATACGAGACAACAATGACACAGACAAACATCGATACGATTGGATGCACAGCAGATTACCAAGAGCACAAGAAGCTCCGCCGCGAATTGAAGGATGCAGGAATTATTGATCCGAATGCAACGACAATGACAACATACCACGATACAGTAGATACAGAGGACAGCTTCCTCAAGCCACATCCTCGCTATGCACCAGAAACTATCGACTCTACATGGATGGAACTCGAGCAACCACCACAAACAAATACATTTGCTGTTGGCCAGTGTCCATTTGCTAAGGATTTCCAGGAGATTGTGTCCAGAAAGAAGAAGATGGTATCTATGGGAATGCAGACATCGAAACAACATTCAGAAAAGAAAGATAACATCGAATCTCTCGGAATTGCTCCTGCTCCACCTCTTCCAACTAATATCATCGATGCTGCTGCATCCCCTCAAGATGTCAGACAACAGGTTGTTCATGAAATGCTCGGAAAAGACTCACAGGAACTAGAGCCATAAAAAATAATAATATTTTTATTTCATCATATAAAAGAATAAAAAATATGCGAAAAATAATATTTTATTTATATAAATTCATTTGAGTTTTTATACTCAAGAACTCCCTCTAGTTAACATCCAACTTTGGAATTTGTTTTCCTTCCGAAATTAGAATATTCATCATGATATATATTTTGATGTATATCTCTTTTCCTTATTATGTCTTAATAGCTTTAAATTGATTCAGACTGCACTTACGCCCATCTGACCTTAATTCAAAATATTGACAATTGGCGTGAAGAGTCATTGAAAATTAACCATAAACATGTGAATTGAAAGCCATGTCATAGGGGCGTAAGTGCACACTTAAATATTATATTAAAGTTTATTGAATCTCTCATTAATTCCTTCATTTCTGAAATCAATTTCAAGTATATTTTCAATGACTCAAAGTGTATGAAAGGACATCTTGATAGACATTTCAGAGATATTTATATTTAACATTGATTCATTATTGAATTAAGACAGAGTATAATTATAAAAAGAGAAATATTTTTAAAGCGAAACAAACAAAACATTTATTATTTGATAAACAAAAATAAACAATTCCTATATTTCAAACAGGGATAGAAAAAACTCTCAAGTTTTTCTCAGACAAAGTAGCTAACATTAAATCATAGCTTTTTCCGAGCGAAATGTCTAATATTGGAGCAGGCTGTTCATTGTAAAACAAGTACTTCCATTTCTCTGTGGCTCTGTTTGAAAGAGATGGTTCTTTGACAGAAGAAAAGAAAATTTCGAAGTTATCTCCATTTGGAGCGCAAGCACATATTGTAGAACCACAACAACACACTGCAGGCCTTGCAAATGTCTTGTAGAAGTCGATATTAAAGGTTCCAATTGTACTTTTTGTTCGAGATTGATTAAATTTGTTCAAACTGAACTCAGCTGTTGTTCCTTTACGTAACAACGAAGCAAATATCTGTTGATGACCAGTACAAGCACATCCAGAGTTGAATCCATCAATAAAACATCTAGTAAAACCAGATGATCTGATATCATATAAAATTCCCTTTTTTGGAGTAACAACGTACAGGAAATCATCATCTACACGTATAATGGATGTAACAGGTGGCCCTGGTTCTACTTGGATATTGACAGGAGTTGTTCCTCGGCCGTCAACAATAAAAAATCGGCCATTTGTAGCTCCGACAGCGATACAAGTGGGACGAGCCCATTCACAACACCATAATGGAGCTTGTAGTTCTGTTCTCGATATGATTTGGGATGTTCTTAACGATGTTTGGTTCAAAATACAATCTGTGGAAACTGTAGCAACAACATCTGCATCTAATATAGGGGATGATAAGTCTCTGATCTGTTGGGTATGCAGTGGAATGAATTTTGACTCTGTAAAGTTTTGATTTTCGAAAAATTTTATTCCGTATTTTCCGTCATTGTTTTGGCAAGTAACAACGATGTTTTTAGGTGTAACTGATACGCGGAATCCATTGGTTATCGGAGTTTCAAATATTAATGAAGGGCGATTTACAGATTTTTTTTCTATTAAAGGAGCGTGTCTAGCGTGATATATATCTTTATTCTCTGACTCGAATTGGTAAATATTAATATCTCGTTTTAGTTTGTTAATTATTTCGCGTATAAACTTGATTTTTTGATCATAATCTTTATGTTTTTCATTTAAGCTGTCAATTTCGGAACTTTCTAAAGGAATATTGCCATTCCAAAACAATTTACGTGTTTGCGTTTCATCAACAACCTTTCTACACTTTGGACACGTTTTTGCACCTTCTAAATTCTCAAACCATTGCATTAAACACGAATATCCGCATAAGTGGCCGCATGAAAGAACCCACATCTGATGATCACCTTCTTTCGCTATAGGTTCCAGGCAAATTGGACAAGTTTCAACAAAATCATTCATAAAAGTGACAGATTTTAAAGATTTTGCAATTTCCTCGGGGAAATAGCATGATTATTAGATCCAATCTGTCAAAATTCAATATGTCTGACATGGTGAATGATTTAATATCTATTTTCAGCTCAATGAGCAAGGATTCTTCATTGATAAAGGAAGAAAAAGTGATATAGACCATCTAACAGGTATTGAAAACAACAACCTATGCGTGAATTGGTTTCAAGCTTATGTTGAGGGCCAAATATCAAAATAAGACTGACAATGTTGAAATTTGAAAATTAACACAATAAAATACATAGAGAATTTATTTAGTTTGTTATATTAGCATGATAACATGAAAAATTATTAATATTATCGTGATATTTCAATAATTTAAATTTTTCGAATTTGATTTAGTAAAAATTCCAAATAAACTCATATCAAATATTCCAAATTAAGTCTAATTTATAAGAATAAAACAACTTTTTTACGAATAAAAAAATTGAGTAAATAATAAACAAGAAATAGAGAGGGGAATTAACCGAGAGGGACACTAAGCTGAACATTAGAAGATCTGAGGCTCTTCATAGCAACAATATTAGATTTGTAAGACAATTTGACACCAGCCTTCTTTGAGAAAGCAGAAGTATCATTGAAGTCCATTGACGGAGTTGTAGAGAACGAAGGAAGCTTCTTTAGAGGAAGGAAGTTCTTCTGCTGCGGAATTTGAGCGGAACATCTTCTTTCGTTTGTCGACGACGTTTCGAGGTAAGCTCCCTTCAGGAAGTCTGTAACGAACAAATCTACAACGGAACTTCGCATTAAAGGATTTTTCACAAAACCTTTTTCGAAGAAAATCTGGGCCTCAGGCGAAATCGATGTAGGGATTTCAATGCGTGATGATAGAATGGATTTGGTCATTTCTTCTTCAGAAGAACCTGAAAATGGAAGTTTAGAGTTCATAGCGTAATATGCCACTGAAGCCATCAACCACGACATTGTATTTATATGCGGTTTCTTTGAGGAGATCATTTCCGGAGGATTGAATGATAATCGGCCCAAATTGTTTTGATCAGAAAGAAAATCGTCAACAGGATAAATATAGCGAGTTAAATGTCCGGTTCCATCAATGTAGACATTATCATAGTTCAATGGAATATAATGCATTATATAATGTATGATATAAAATAGTCTGGCGATCATTTCGATCACTAATTTTTCGGGCATCGGGCCGTTTTTAGTGATATAATCATGAAGCGACATACCCTCGGGTAATTCCGTAACGATATGATATGTTTTCGCATCTTCGATAAGTTCAATAAACGTTGCAATGTATTTATTATCAAGTTGCTTGAGGAGTGTTAGTTGGTTTGAGAATTTTGAGTATTGATCGGCAGCGGATATAGCTGCTTTTGGTATCGATCTGATACAAAACGTTTCTTGCGATTTTTTGTTGAATGCTTTCCAACAACCTGCTAGTATACCGGTAGTAATAGATCCAATGAATGTGTAATCACCTAATTCGGGAAGAGATGTTAAATAGCTCATAAGGTTTCTATTTAGATTGAAGAAATTTTGTTGTAAAGTTTAGAAAATATTGCAGTGCTTTTGAAAAGAAACCATGAATTTTTAAAATTTCCGATGATATCTTGATAGCAATAGGCAAATAAAAATGAATTATGTAAATGTTGTGAATTAGCGAGATGTAAACTTCTGAATTCTATCTTGTCTTTTTTCAAATCAAATTTTTGTTGTTTTTCTATTGAATTGAGTTCGATCGTTTATCATTCTCTGATATAGAATCTCAATATTTATTAATCCGATTGTAAAACCTTTCAAATTAAAAATCAATTCAATTAATTGCATGTCTTTTGAATTGATTTGATTGAACTTTATATTTATTGGTAGATCTACATTCTCTACAATTTTTAGAAAAAAATTTTAACGTGCTACGTTTATCAGAACTGTGAAATATTCATATGGTTTTTGATGTACAATATTTTTCCTTCAGCCGAAATTTCATTGAAATTGTTGAATATTCAAATCCTTATTCATTCGAAATTTTTTTCAAATTTGGTTAATTGTTATTTTAGTTGATAGAAACTGCCGAGACTTATAATTTCTTATTTAAATATTTACTCTTTTTGATTACATATGCAATGTCATTGATAAATTTTTCCCAACAAAATCAAGATCTTTCTTGTATATCCTATCCCTTGACAAATTAATGCTTATACACTATAAGTGTATTTATAATTTTCCGAAATATCAATTCTTTATTCCAATGAATATTCTATTTCGGCATCGAACTCATTAAACCATAAATTTTTCATTGTCATATGATTTCATATGTATAAATTAGCATATATTGCTTGCGATTACAATTTATTCTGAAGATTTTATCATATTTTTGAAATTTTGCACCCATTGAAAATTCGGTCATATTTTTTCTTATCCATTATATAAAAGATTTTGAAAAGTCCATCATAAATGCAAAAAAATGGATAATCAAATGGAGACTGAATATCAAAGGGCTTCTATCATCATAAATAATATGTAATCACAATGTAATTAGTCTATATATTCGATATACTTGATATTTACGCTAATTTACAGTATTTTAATACTCGAATTCGCATTTTCACTAAATTTTGTACTTCAATACTTCATTAATACAATATGCATTAACAACATATCATTTTACGCTCATTTATGGCAGTAGTTTTCCTAGATTATTTCATAATCGAAGATCACTTTCAAAATGTCGAATTGCAACTGCATTATTACAAATTTCATAAAAATTAGTAAGGTTTCATTACAGATTTATTTTAAACTAAAATAAATACAGATATTAGCATATAGTTAAAATGATATGGCGCAGTTGGTCGACATGTAATCCCATAATCAACACTCCTATCAATAACAGATGAAAACTTAGGAGGAAGTGGATTTTCGAACCCATCATTTCCAAAAAACATTCGAATATATGAACTCATAAAGCGAGCAGCATTTGCTACATAAACCCTGAATTTTTCTGGTTTGACAGGCGTATATTCTAAATAATACATAGTTTTATTAAATTGTATGAAAAATGTGTTATCATATGTATTTATGCATACCATGTATCTTTTATTTAACGTTGCATTAAAGCTTGTATCTTGTTGATGCAACCTCTTTCCATTTTTTTCCCAAATAAACTGCATAACTGGCTTCCACATAAATAGCCAGAGAGATGTATGCTCACTAACAAATCCTACTACATATCCACCTGTACCATTTTCCCATAGAAACTCCATACATTTTCTACCAAAAACAATATCGCTGCTTGCGTATTTAGCGTAATATCCGTCATCAAAATAGATGTTAAAAGCGAGTCTATGTAAAGACTTTTGGATAAACGATAATTTCTCTCTCAAATTTAAACAACATGCTTTAAATGGATAAATATTAATGTATGATATATGAACACAAAATGGGTAAATCTCCGGTAGAAATTCTGAAAATTATTCACAATGAATATAAAGAAAGATTTTTTCGAGACAGTTTGCCCAGGATTTAAAGAAGGTGTTGTTAAAGTATATTATTCTGGAAAAGTTGTTGCAATAGGTCATAATAATACCACAAAATAACGCCATTTCGTTGTTTCATCAAATGGAATCTTTCTAGTTAAGGTTTTAAGCTTTGGAATTATAAGAACATCAAAGAAGATATCCTATTAAGACCTTGAATCGATCAATGTTACAGGAACTCTTTGTAGTTTTAGCTGCAGAGAATTTCAGATCAGAATTCGATCACGAAAGATCGAAAAAATCGCTGGAATTGTCGAATATATCAGAAATTTACAGTTTCCATCAAGTGTTCATCCACTTTCTTCGAACTTACAAGTTACAATTGATAAATACAGAGATGCTGGAAAGAAAAAGTACAAAACAAGATTTATTTTTGCAGACAGACTAACATCATGCGCAATGCACTTTAATAGAGACCTCAAAATCGATGAAATTAGACCATATTTGAAATATCCAGCCTTAGAATACAATACTTTCTCAATAACTCAAGAAATCCTCGATTCTGATCTCTTTCCAATCCTAGAATTAGCATTATCTTTCGAAAATACCTTAAGAATTTTGAAATTCCAAGGAATTACTTTGATTTCTGCCTTGAACAAATGCTCAAACATACTTTCCCGCAATGTTAATACCAAGAAACTGCTCATTGAGCAATGTGACCTTACAAATGCTTCACAATTTAAAAGAAAAATACAATCCAACGAAATTGTATTCAGAATATGCGATGCAACAGATGACAGGTTTGTTTCCTTCTTCGAACAGCTCAGCCAATCGTGTCAAAACATCAGAAGTCTCTCATTTGATCACTCAATCCTTGAATCTTCATCAATTTCATCAGTATTCCAGTGCATTTTCTTCAATGAATGCTTCCATCATTTGGAAGAGCTCTGTTTCGATGCTTTTGGAGATATTCCTGACTTAGAAATGCACGTTGGCTCTTTAGCAGCTTGTAGTTGGGCCATGACCTCCAAATGTGTGAAGAAATTGTCAGTTATAGGCTGTACGTTCGATACAAGTAGTTTGTTGCAAAAGATTTTAAGTTTCGATATCGGATTACAGGAAATTCACCTTGGAGAGAACACATTTAGACAGAGGATACCATTAAACATGTCACCACGTAACTGTGGATTCCTAGATTTGTCCAGATCTAATATTGGAATTTTGGCCATTTCATCTTTCATCGAATCAGTTGTTTCTGGTGTAATAGACTGCAGAGGAATTGATTTGTCGTACGCCAGAATGACCAATCCAGAGTTTATTCAAATGCTGGCCCTTCTTTCCGCTGATGTTGTTGTAATGCCATCTTTGGAGTGCTTCTACTTCGATGGGAATGATATGGATACCGAAACAACGAAGTTGATCGCACAGTTCATCCGTCATCAGCCGAAATTAAGAAGAATGTCAATAAATTCTTCGGTTATCGTCAAAGGTTCTAATACAGGATTGACGCAGCTCTTCGATTCATTGCTATCCTTACAATCTCTCGAGAGTTTGTCCATGAGAGGAATGGAAAATACGATGAATTATTCTTGTGGTGAAATGTGGACACCTTTCTTAAGAGAAATCGCTAAAAGAGGGACAATGAAGTACTTGGACCTTACCGATCAATGCGTAAAAGATGATTGCATCGATATAATTTTATCGATGAACTCTTTAGAAGAATTATGGCTTGACAGATGTTCTGCATCATCATTTACCTCCCTTAGTAACTTTATCAAGAAGGCAATTGACAGTAATTTGAAATTATGCGGTTGGCCTCACAGGGAAATACAAAGAATCAAATCAGCGCCAACAATTTCATCATCAGAAAGAGAGATAATCGAAGACCAAGAGAAATTGCTGCACGCACAGTTTATTGAAAGATTTTCTTATTTATGCAACGATACGAATGAAACAAGGGCTGAAATCATACGTAAGAGATTTGTTTTGAGTGAACCAACATACGAAGAACTCATCGTAAGAGTAAATCTCGAAGATGAAACTCAAAATAAAAAAGATGACCTTTTGAATTCGTTATTGAATGAAACAGTGAAAGATATCATTGTAAGTAATGGAATACCAATTGATTACGATCCAATCTCTGATACAATCAATAGCGCTAAGTCTGAATTTTCATTGGATTCTTTGATTCAAAAATATGTTTGATAAATTGTCGGTTTTTTAAATGCTTTTTGTTTATTTTCATACCTCTTATATATTTTTTTGATAGCTCATCATGTTGAGAATCAAAATATAGATGACTCTATTTTCATAACTTTACTAGATTAATAAATTGATTCTAGAGTTCGTGGATAGAAGAATCTATATTTGTTTGCTCTCAAATCAAGTTTAACAAAATTTGGAAATAAGTATTCTTTAAAACTCATGATGATTTCTACATTGAATTGACTAAATCGTTAATAACAACTATGCACTAAAAGAAGGTATCTAAAAAAGAAAAAGTTGAATGGAAACATTAATCACTTATCATTTCAATAAAACAATATGAAAATGCTGATTAGTGCTCTTCATCTTACGTTTTGGGCATTTAGTTTATTTTCCTCTCGATAATTTCGAATTTGATAAAATATTTAGATAAAAAGTGAATAATTTGAGTTGAGAATACTTAACTTTTTTGCTATCATGCCCAACGATGTTATCCTGTTAATCAGTATTAGAGGCAATTTTAAAATATATGTGATAATTTTCATTCCTCATAAATGAGGATGAAATTTATGATTTAATCTATTAATGCTAGATATCTAAGGTATGATTTCAAATTCAATATCAAGGTATTGATTGAACTCAAGAATTTTCAATCATTAGTGGTATTTATGTATGGTATTTAATGTGTATTTAAATATTGTAAAGTCGAAATATGGTTAAATATATGAGAAGATTTACTGAGCCTTAAGAGCAAACTTACGTTCGAAGAGGCACTTGTGGCGACGGGATTCCTGAGCTGTAAGCTTGTTAGCATACTTTGGTGCAAGCTTGTTGCGAAGGGACTTCTCCTGGTGCTTGCGGAGATCGATTGGGACGAGCTTGGCCTTAGCATACTTCTCTTCAAGAGCCTTGCGCTGTGTAACCATAAGGATAGACTTAACGCGAGCAACATCACGGCGTGTGTTCTTGATTTCTGTCAATTTGGTAGCAGCAGCAGAGGCAGCCTTTTGACCCTTAAGTTCGAAAAGCTTCTTCTCGAGGCCAGCAAGTTCATCGAGAAGTTCTTGGCGTGACTTTTTAATAAGTTCCTTACCCTTGAGGTGGCCCATTCTGAAAGGTCGGCCATCAGTCACTTTTTCTCAAAAACTCTGGGATTCTTGAGAGCTATTTACTAATGAAATACAAATGTATTAAAAGCATACTTATAAATAAATTGTATTTTATTGAATAACTCAATGTTTTATTCAATTTGAATTTTATTTTCAGTCAAATTCATTATCTAGCTCTTGAATAATCATATACACATCCATGACATCATGACATTTCAAGAATTCAGTCATTAGTATTTTAACTTATGCAAATTTTTCCGCTGAAAAATTTACCAAAATGACCATTTTTGAAAGGGTCTGGCTGCCAGAAATTTCCGTAAAAAGCAGATATTTAATAATTAGTTGTTTATTAGTATGTTATTCTCATTTGCCATATTGACTTGACGATAGCATTGTCTAATAGTTTTTCGTTGAACATTAAGGTAAATTCCTTTAATTTGTATAAAATAGCAAATAAATTGAGTTTGATTTTTGCCATAAATGGTTTCTCCCTCGTTAGAGATTTGTTTTAAAGCCCCACAGATTTTCTTTTTTCAGAAATCTTTTGATGGTAATTTTTTTTTTGATGGAAGCAAAATCTGATTCAAAGCAATCAACAAACCAATCATGCCAAGGTGATTGCGACATTACATCCAATGGATTATTCAAATACCCTAGTCAAGCTTCAAAAATGATTCAAGACATCAATCACAATAATATTTTACAACTCTCATCACAAATCATAGATTTAATTAAAAACAACAAAATACCTATCAAAATGGCTCTTTATTTAATTGATAATTTTTCAAAAATTCGTATTGCTGATCTTGAATTATTTGCAGAACTTTATAAAAAGATATCGAACGAATTTTCACTTATCATCAAGCCTGAGAATGACAAATTGGCCTTGCTATTATATAATAATGGCCTTAAATTTAAAAACTTCGATCCTAAATTAAAACAGGACGAAAACCAAAATATGAATCAAATTAGACAATCCCCTGATTTAATAGCAGAAAGAATATATTTCGGAAATTTTGATGGTGCTGCTAATTTACTTTCTAATGGAGCAAATATTAACGCGACTTATAATCTTCTTCATTTCATATCTATCAATATTTTATAGAATTTTTATGGGCATGACAGAATATAATGTCGAAATTTTCATTCTTCCAATATATTTCATTGCATTATGAGATTTTCTTTCTGCTCATACTTATCATTACTTTTTATAATTCTATTTTTTCTTATACCAATCTTTTTCTTATGAACTTTTCTTTCTTTTCATACCTATCATTGTATTATGAAATCATTTTAATAAAATAAATGAAAATCCTTTAAGTATTGCAATCAAAATGAATTCATATGAGATTGTTAAATTCTTAGTTGAACATGGAGCAGATGTCAATATGAAACTTATTCTTTCACTTGTCATGTATAATTTAGCTTTATGGGATTCTTATTCTTTTAATATTTCTTATTGTTTTATAGATTTTTCTTTCATTCAATTATATTCTCTATCTTTTTATATCCACATTTGAATTATTGCATTTTCTTTCTTTTCATATATAACATTGCTTCATTATATTATCTTTCTTTCAACATTGATCATTGTTTCATCACAATCCCGTTCTTTACATATTTATTGTAAAATTCTCTTTCTGTTAATGACGTTAGATATATTCAATTTCTTTTGAAATGAATCAAAGTTTTATGTAATTTTCGATCTTTTCATAACTACCATCATTTCATACAACTCTTTTTCATTCAATGTCTTTCATTGTTTTATGGAGTTTATTATCTTTTCATATCTTTCAATATATTATAAAATTTACTATCTTTTAATATCTATTAATACTTTATCAAATTTTCTTTCTTTTCATATTTGTCTAATATTTATGAAATTATTTTGATATTAATGAGTCGCCACTTAGTATTGCAATCAGAGAAAATTCTATCGAAATCGTGAGGTTCTTAGTTGAAAATGGAGCAGACGTTAATATGATACTTATTCTCTCACTATTCATGTATAATTTAGCTTTACGAAATTCTTATTCTTTTAATATCTCTTATTGTTTTATAGAATTTTCTTTCTTTCAATATATATCATTATTTTACCTCGTTATTTTTCATTGCATTATGATATTCTTTTTCTTTCAATATCTTTCATTATTTTATGGAATTATTTCTATTATCGTAACTATCATTGCATCATTTCATTCTCTTTCTTTCAATATCTATCAATGTCTTATGGAATTCTTTAAATTATTATGAAATCCTCTTTATTTTAATATTTATAATTGTTTTAAGGAATTCGCTTTATTTTCATATCAATAGTTGTTTTATGATTTTCTTTTTCCACTCATATCTATTATTACTCTACCATATTCTCTTTCTGTTTGTATAAATCAAAGATTCATTTAATTAGCTTTCATTTAATATCTATCTTTGTTTTATCAAATTCATTTGTAATTAATGAATGTTCTCTCACCATAGCAATTAATTGTAAATGTGAAGAAATTATCAGAATCTTAGTTGAATATGGAGCAGATGTTAACATGGAACTCCTTCTACTTCTTTTAATGTATATCATTGCTTTATATAATACATCTTTGCATTATGATGTTTTCTTCCCTTTCATAATTAACATTGTTTTATTTAATTCTTTTTTGCTACATTACATTCGCTTTCTTTTCATATCGATCATTGTCTAATGGACTTCTCTTTCTTTTCATATCTATCATTGTTTAATGGATTTCTCTTTCATTTCATAACTATCAATGTTTTATGACGTTCATTTTCTTTTCATATCTATCATTACTTCATTATATTCTTTCTATTATCATATTTACTAATGTTTTATTACATTTCCTTTCCTTTCATATCTATCATAATTCAATCGGCTTTTCTTTTGTCTCATATCTACAATTGTTTTATAAAATTCCTTTTCCTTTCACGTAATTTTCTTTCTTTCAATATTTGCCATTACTTTTTAAAATTATTTTGAAATCGATAAAACTCCACTTGGTATTGCAATTGAGGCGAAATCAAAGAAAATTGTTCGCATTCTATCTAAAGGCAGCAAATCAAAAAAATGCAACATTGCTTGAAAAATGATTCTAAAATGTCGAGTTTTATAATTTTGAAATTTATTGAATACTGACCATCAGCAGATTTAAATTTTGAATATATTTGATAGCAGATGATAGCATCAGTATTCTATGTTTACTTAAATATCATATAATAAAAATATTCAAAATGAATTCTGTCATTTTCAATTTGCTATTCTTTAAATATAACGAAATTGTCATTCCTTGGCTTTACCAAAAAAGATTTTGTATAGTTTTGCTCTATAAAAATACAGAATTTATATTTATTCAAATAAATCTTTATTATTTCAACATTATTCATGAAAACATTAAATTTTCACTCTTTGCGCTTTGGAGCTGATAGTTCTTTGAACTTTGGAATCATTGTTTCAAGAAAGTCGTATTTTTTATTTTCGCTGATAACGTAGATTAATTTCTCCATATCTATAGATGTCTTATCGTCATTAAGAGATGCTTCGATGAGATCTTTTGTAAATTGTTCAACTACTGTTGCCATTACTTGATCAATTCCTTTAGAAAGGCGTCCAATTTCTTGATTATCTTGAAGGATTTTTTTCATGTCTGATTTTTTAATGATCGTTGTTTCTTTTTCAGCCATGAGTTAATTACAAAATGAGCTGTGTAAATTTTTGTAAATCGTCAAATTTTTTTTGACATCGTAAACTAAGATATGATTTTTCTTTTAGATGGAATTTTCCAAAGAATTTAAACAGATGTAACTTTCTACAATTCTTTCTACTGCTTACTCTTGAATCAGTACAAAGAATTGTACAAAGTTGCATCTGGAAGCAGAGACAAAGGAGCCTTAAAGCTCCAAATGTTTTCGTAAGGGAGCGTTGGACACAAAAAAGAGTTGTATCCCTTACGAAAAGGATAAATAATATATGAAAAATTTATAGAACAATTATTTTAGTTGAGCATATATAATTCAGAATATTTTTGCATTATACAGTAAGTGGCCTGCGTATATTTCTAGATTAACTACGCCTGTTGCTGGATTAACAGCTTCTTCAACAGCAGGGTCGAGTTCATCTGGATCTAACTTCTCTCCATTTGACGAAAGAATAGTTCTGAAGTCACCTTCAGTAAGATGTCCTTTATGCTCAAGATCGAGAGATTTAAGAGCGAGTAAAAGCTTTTCTTCTGATGGTGGAGCTAATTCTGAGTTTGGATTAATCATAGCATCAATAACTAATGGAATAAGAACAGATTCTAGCTTTGGACAATTAAAAAACGTATTTGTTTCATCTTCGCGGCATTGAGCTGCAATTTCTTTAAGTTTTGCATTTGTAGGGTATAAACCAAGAGAACGAACAAAATCGTTAAAATCTTCTTCTTTGATTGTTTCTGTTTCATCTGGATCGTAAATTGCATAAAGTGTCTTGAGCATCTCCTTTACTTGGGCTTCCTTTTGCTCGAAGAACACATTCTTCTCCTCTTTATTGCCCTTTCCTTTTCCCTTTTTACCTTTACCTTTAGGCATTTATTAACGTGTAAACGTCACTTTCGAGAAAAGTGACAGCATGATTCTCTAAATAAAAAAAATGAGTGAAACTACCAAATATTTTCCTCAAAAGTTTATGGAATCTCTGCTGAACAAGCAGATAGTTATCAAACTTAAATGGGAAAACATTGAATATGTCGGCACGTTGATTTCGTTTGATGAAAGAATGAATATCCATCTATCCGAAACTTCTGAATATGTTGGAGGAAAAACAGAAGGCGTCATGGGCGATGTTATTATTCGCTGTAATAATATTCTTCACATTCGTGAAAAACCAGAAGTTTATCCTCCTCCTGTTCAGGCACCTCAATTAGAATTCGACGAAGAAGCTCAATAACTGTATTAGATAGAACTTACAACTGTTTTTATACTTTCTGATTGATATTATATAAATGTTTTATTAATTAATTATTATTTATTGGTAGTAACTATTTTTTGCTTGCAAAAGATTCCTCATGATCTATTTACTACGAAATACGCCTTTCAAAACAAAGAAATGTTTTTGTTTCTATTTCATTCAATTTATGCTATTGAACCTCGTAAAAAACACCAAGTTCTCTATTTGTGGGCTCAGGATCTGTTGAAACAAGAAGGATTAAATTCTTAGTTTCATTCTTCTTCTTCCTCATCTATTTTGGAAGTAAACAATCATATGTGTTAAGAAATTATGCTTTGTGTCTCTTTTGAGTTATCAATTTCAGAATTTATTGATGAAATTTCTACATTTTTTCAAACGAAATATTGAAAACAGTATAATATTATGTTTTGTTTTCGAAACTGTAATTTCTGAGGGGTAATAAAATTGTAGACATTCCTATGACCAAATTGCTCCTATCGTCGAAGAATCAAAAATGAATGTTTCTTTTTCTTCTTTAGTTTTATCCAAATTTGGAGTGCCATTCTATGCCTCATCAGAGACAACTAAGTTTAGAACGGCATCCTTTACATCTTGCAAGTTTTCCAAGTTTTGGAATCCTTCGTTATACATTTCAGATGTAAATAATAGACTCAATTGCATTAAAACAGATTTCCGACATTCCCTAACATCATCAGTAGTATTTTCCGATAAAAACGCTGTTGTTAATAATACAGATGCAATTTATTATACAGGAAAGAAATTCTTTTACGATTCAGGACCCAATATTTTCTACAAGTGCACATTTGCCGACTGCAATGCAAATGGAAAAGGCCACCACTTTGATTCTGGCGGTGCTGTTCAAGCTTTGTTTTCCAACAAAGATGTTATGGCTCCAATCTTTTATTTGAAGCTTGAAGAATGCGGATTTTTCAACTGCACAGCCAAAAACTGTGGTGGAGCTATCTGTGTTCATACAGTTAAAATTCAATCTAATTTTTGTTTGTTTAAGAACTGCTCTTCGCCAAATGGCGGAGGCTTTTATGCAAACAATTGCTCAGAAGAAATACTTTACACTAATCATACCTTTATTTCTGGCTTATCAGTCAGAAAATCTGTTGATCGCTTGTTTGGTTTTGCATTTACAGAATCAAAAGTGTATCTAAACCACATGAATTTTAGTAGAATTAAGGAAGCCAAGCTCCACGGCCCTCTAATTTCAGGAATTGACGTTCCATACTTCCATTATCAGTTTTCATATATTGATCATTCGAAAGGGAAGTCACTAATATTCATACAAAATAGTAATTCAAAGGAAATGATCTTCCAGTACGCTCTTTTCAAGATTTGCGAAGCATCAGAAGGAATAATGTACGTAAACATTACATCCAAGCCATTAAAATGCCGCGATATGTACTTTATAAGATGTAATGGCCAGTTTTTCAGCTCAAATGACACAACTCTTTTCATTATAGACAATTGTTTTGTTAATCATCCAAGTTTGATGAATGACGATGAAGCTACTCAGGTCAAAAATGTTGTACGTAACTACACGAACTTCAAAGTCGGCACTCCGAACTTCAACGTCTCTTATCCAAGAATTTCAGACTGGTACTACGTAATGGCTCACGATAGAAACATGTTTACGGTATCTAAGCCATTCACACCAACAGTTACTTTCTTGCCAACCAATCCATTCACTCCTTCTTGCACTTTGTCTGGAATTATGTTTGTGAGAAACGGAATGAAGTGGTATGAATTCAGAAAATCAGTTCACACTGTTACAACTGTGAACCTTCAATCTTTGTTTACTGATACTGATGACATTTTATAATTTTTATTTTTATTTGTGTGTTGTATTAAAGAAATTTGTTTATTATTAACAGCTTTTAAACCTTTCTTAATATGTTAAGGATGTGCGTATTAATCTTATATTATTCCAAAATTTTCAATATTTTTTCTCAAATTCACAAGCAATAATTATGTTTCATAGTTTCTAATGTGTGCTCTATATAAAGTTGCATATTTTTGATTCTAGAATATAGTTGGCTGGTAACCAAATTAACTTTGCTGGAAAACGATTTTTGAGAGGTGCAATTTTTCTCAGAAATTTTAGATATTTGAAAACATCGCGATTAATTTCGGATATAAATCTTTGATTGGAATTTTTTTGAATACTTTATTATTGAATTTTTTTTTATTTATTATGGATGTTGAAACATTAATTCAGCTATTTGAGCCTTTTATTACACAAGATCCTTCTGCCATTAAGGAAGCAAATAGGAAAATAACCGAGTATTCATCAAATCACACTGGAGAATTCATAATTAATTGTTGTAAAATAATAGAATCAGGTCGGAATTCAGCGAAATACATCATTATCGCATTAAATACAATAAACAATGCAATCAACACATCAAAAATGCATTCAAACGCTATCAAAAAAATATTTTTAGAATATGATGAAGAAAATTGTAACTGTTTTATCAATGCGCACCTACAAGCATTACTTTATACTGATCCTAATATCCGTAGAATTGGTGCAGAGAACTTAGTTTACTTTGTTGCGATTTCAGAAGATTATTTTCTTCGAATTTTTGAATTGATCAAACAATACTTCGCGAACGAAGATAATAGATTAGGAAGCAACGCAATTTTTGCCGCTATACAATTATTTTCCGAAATGTTGAACTATGATTTGATAAATCGTTTCATTTTAAGCGAAGGCTTCGACGAATATCAAATGAACTTTGTCAAGATATGCGAATACATATTGAATACTGAAAATCACAAAACATATCAAGAAATGATTGTTGTCAAAGACTTTTTTAAGCTTTATTTCATGAGAATCAACAGTATAATTGAGCTAGGACAAGAAGAAAGTAATGTGATTGTTCAATTATTAGGAAAACTTGATATGCAGTCAATTTTAAATACAACTGTTAAACTACTGAGTTCTAGTAATGATGGATCAATACACAAGCTTTGTTATAAATTGTTATACATTATTATTGAGTTATTTTACAATTTGACACCAGATTCAATTGATACAGATTTAATCAACAATTTTTACGCAAGTTCTGACCAAGATTTTAATGTTGACAGTGATTCCAATATATGTGCATGCAAATTCTGGACGAAAATCATCAGATTGTTCCAAAATTCTCCAAATTTCATAAATCCAGAAATAATTTTCAAAATTTTTGGCTATTTTAAGACATATTTAGAATCAGATACTATTAGTATTGACGAAAGAATGAATGGCGATCACTTTAGAGTAATTCCTGCAGCACAACTCTTATTTAAAGAATATTCATGTTATCCGGACTCAAAACAATTCGCGGAATTTCTTTTAGCTCTTTTTAAAGAGAATTATACAAGCGAAGACCCAAGAGTTATACTTGCTTCGCTTCTTTCTTTTGAATCTTTGTTTGCTATATTTGGAATTTCAGAAACTCCGAATAGTCTTGATGATTTGACTCTTATAGCTAGTTTTATTAATTCAGAGCATCCAATCATAAGGTTTGAAGCAGTTTATATCCTTAGATTAATTTGTGAGAAAAATTTACAAGATGTTTTTGATAAATACGAGAATTTACTTGAAATTGCTGCTAATTCTATCAGAAAAGGTTATGCAACAGGTCTCCAATACGATCTAATTTCTGGATTTAAGTTATGCAGAGCGATAATTAAGTCAGAATTCGAATACAATGATACTTCTATACTTGCATGCCATGATATTATCTTTGAAACAATTTATCACATTCTTAATACGGATTTTGACGCATTAGAAATAGAATTATTGAATGATATTAAGAAATTTTATCGAACTATTATTTCTGATCTTATTAACAATGATAAAACTAATTCATATTACGATTGCATCAATCATTTGTTAGATAATGTTGAAATAATACTTCCTCTTAATGAGCGAAAGCCGGCAGTTCAATGCCAAGTCCTACAAGAGTTTTATTGTAATATGATTGAATATTACATTGAAGCACATGATCAACACTTACTTCCTAACAAAGCAAGATTCCAAGGCGAAATGATTTTTATTATTGAAAAGCTTGAGCCACAGATTAAGTGTGGCTTTGACAATCAAAATGTTTATGTATTGATATCTAAGATAATTTCAGCTCTCAAAGACTCAGGATTTGAAATGAGTAATGTTCCAGAAAAGATCTATGAAATGCTTGTAGAATACGAGAAAAGGGTCATTGATGAATTGGATTTCTCTGCTATTTTGGATTTCATTGAAATTCTCCATCTTCTTATTAATGGTAACCCGAGTTTATTGTCTGAAACAGCTAAGGATTTCATTGAAAAGATTATAAATATAATTGAAGATGAAAATACATCACAAAACATCGCTGTTGCATGCATATCTGTATTAGGAGATTTATTTATAATTAACAATGGACCTTACCAGGAAATTAAGGATATAATGGAGTTTATTGAACAATATACTCATAAGACATTCGAAGTTTTTGATAAATCTTTGTTGTCTGATGTACTTACTGGTGTTCTCAACATCTTCACTGCTTTCATACACTTATTTAAAGATCAAGAACTTGCATTCACTGAATATAATGAAAGAAGTTTCATCAGATTATTGTATCCATTAAATTTCATCAGAAAAATTGAAAATCTGAATTATTTGCAACCACTCAAGAAAGATTTAGTATATGCTGTTTATACATTCTTGAAATACTTCATTGACTATGTTTTGCCAAAAGGAAGGATTCGAATTTTGAATAATTACCAAGTAATCATTAGTGGAGAATTTAAAAGATATTCAATGGAAATAACTGGACTGGAAGATGAAACTCTATTATCATATTCCAATGATAAATTTGAACAAAATAAATTTGAAGTAAGCAGGAGATAACTACATGTAAATATAAATAAATTGTAACTTTATTTACTTTTATCAATTGTGTTTTATTTACTTTAGTATTTATACATATTAAACTCTAGATGTTTTCTCTTAACAATATGTATAGAACATAAATATCATCTTATTAATGCGATTTTCGGCATTTCTCAAAACAAAAAGTCTAACTTATCGTATTAGAAAAAAATATGCATTTTCAGTTCTCTGGCGTGATTTGATATTCAACAAATTTATATCCATTTTGAAGACAATGTACCAATACAGAGAAAATGATAAAGTTTTGTTGTGCAATATGACTTCAAAATCTATGGCTGAAAAATATTCATATTCTCCATGTTCTCACTCGAAATTCTTGCAAAGAAACAAAATATACATTCGACTCTTATTTATGAAAAGACAATCACTATTCTGGATCCTTTGCAGTCCCAATTATACAACATAAAATTGAAATGTGAAAAATTTTGATAAGATAATGAACAATCCACCAAGTATTAAAATAACCCGATTCTAAATTTTGGGTTGAAAGTTACAAGCTCTCAATTTTCGTCCCTTTTGTACGTTTATTATAATTGTAGCATATTGTCATCAAGCACGCGACTAACCAGCAAAGACGTGTCCTCTAATTTCGTCCCTAGTTCAAAAATCTGGAACTATTTAAGCAAAAACATTCGATTTCAAAATCAAGCATTCTTTATTCAACGAGTAAAACATTAAAGTATGATTTGTCATACACGGAATAATGACAAGCTCTTAGAGTATGTTTAGTACAGAGTTACTGCCAACTTGAGTTCTTGAATTTGGTAAGTTAGAACAAAAGAAGCCATATGTCGCATCTAAGGACTTGTACTTATCAGAGTATTACTAAATGTTTAAGAATGTTAGTTATTCGTCCCAAACTCGTACGTTTCCACGCGAATCTTGATAATAAATATACTATTTTGGACTTTTTGCAATAAATCTCTTTTTACCACATTAGCATATCTGTGTGTATGCTACTTAACCTCTTTAGAGACCATTAAGATAATGTTTTTTGATACTTTTTCAAGACTATGCCATAAAGTAAACGAATAATTTACAAAATGATATTAAAAAATTTAATTTTATTATGCTTTTATAAATATTGAGACTTTTTAGGACTATTTTAAAAATGTAAATAGATCAATCATTTTAATATTAGATAAGATAATCTAAAGACGTCAGATGTTTCAATAACTTCAGATCAATGACTAATATGAAATTTAAGATTTGTGTTAATTTAAGAATTAACAATGGAATCTGGTTTAGAAAGATGGAAAGCATAGAGAATCTAAAGGATAAGAGAGATTAAATACAAAATGCTGCATAAAAAGGCAGATCAGTGAGAAGAAATCATGAGGTTAAAAAGGAACATTCAAATTAGAATATAACATTGCATATTACAATATTAATATTAAAGATAATACTGCACATCATTGTGCAATTACACTATTTTAAATATTTTCATAAATAATGACTTACAAGTTAAAAAAATGTAGAATTAACTGCATGATCCAATATTGGACCGAATGTATGTTTGAATCTATAACTGAATTCATTAATGACAAAAAAGTGACTCTATAACTGAGTATCTGGCTGACAATATGCCTGAAAGTTTGAATGTGTCTAGGAATATAACTGACAGTTTGAGTGACATTTTGAATGAGGGTTTGGTTGTCAGTATAACTCAAGGTTTGAGAGAGAATATGACTCACAGTTTGACTGACAATATGACTTAGAGTTTGAGTGACAGTATGAACAACAGTTTGGGTGATAGTATGAACTACAGTATGACTGAGAATATGACTGACGGTTTGACAGACACTTTGACTTACGGTTTTAGTTAGAATAAGACTGACAGTTTGAGTGACAATATAACTGACGGTTTGACTGACAATATGACTGTTGATTTGAGTGAGTGTATGATTGAGAGTTTGGGTGACAATATGACTCATAGTTTAAGAGAGTGTATGACTGATGGTTTTAGTGAGAATAAGACTGACAATTTGACTGACAATATGACTGACGGTTTGACAGACACTATGAATTAGCTTTTTATTGAGAGTAAAACTGACAGTTTGACTGACAATATGACTGACGGTTTGACCGACAATATGACTGACGGTTTGACAGCCTCTATGACTTACGGTTTTATTTAGAATATGACTGAGAGTTTGGGTGACAATATGACTCATAGTTTAAGAGAGTGTATGACTGATGGTTTTAGTGAGAATAAGACTGATAGTTTGAGTGACAATATGACTGACGGTTTGAGTGACAATATGACTGACGATTTGACTGACAATATGACTGACGGTTTTAGTGAGAATAAGACTGATAGTTTGGGTGACAATATGACTGTTGATTTGAGTGAGTGAATGACTGACAGTTTGACTGACAATATGACTGACGGTTTGAGTGACAATATGACTGACGGTTTGAGTGACAATATGACTGACGATTTGACTGACAATATGACTGACGGTTTTAGTGAGAATAAGACTGATAGTTTGGGTGACAATATGATTGTTGATTTGGGTGAGTGTATGACTTACAGTTTGACTGACAATATGACTGTGGTTTGACAGACACTATGAATTAGCTTTTTATTGAGAGTAAAACTGACAGTTTGACTGACAATATGACTGACGGTTTGACCGACAATATGACTGACGGTTTGACCGACAATATGACTGACGGTTTGACAGCCTCTATGACTTACGGTTTTATTTAGAATATGACTGAGAGTTTGGGTGACAATATGACTCATAGTTTAAGAGAGTGTATGACTGATGGTTTTAGTGAGAATAAGACTGATAGTTTGAGTGACAACATGACTGAGAGTTTGACTGACAATATGACTGACGGTTTGAGTGAGTGTATGAATGAGAATATAACTGACGTTTTGACTAACAATATGACTGACGGTTTGACATCGAAATTCATTCATATATATGTATTGATCAATGCAATCACCCTATTTAATATTATTATTTATCAATTAATTTTTCATTACTACATGCTCTCAATTATTATGACATTAATATTTATCAATAAATATTTCATTACTATATGCTCCCACCCAATTTGACATTATTGTTCTTTGACAAATTTTTCTTTATTAAAGACACTCTCACAAATTCATATCAATATATTTTAATTATCACCTATTCCAATCCATTTTCATATTCATATTCTTATTGAGTTAGAATAAATTGAGGATGACTGAGAATCAAATTATAATTAGTGAGAATCAATTGAAGAATACTGGGAGTTAATTAAGGTTGTTTAAGAATAAATTGTGAATAAGTGACAATCAATTGAGGATGAGTGAGAATCATTTGATTATTAGTGAGATTCAACTGAACATCAGTGAGAATCAATTGAATAATACTAAGAAGAAATTGAGGAAGAGTGAGAATCACTTGATTCTTAGCGAGAATCAATTAAGGATGAGTAAGAATCAATTAATAAGTAGTGAGAATCAATTTAGGGTGACTGAGAATCAATTGATTCTTAGTGAGAATCTATTGATAATTAATGCGAATCAATTGATTATTTGTGAGAATCAATTGATCAGTAGTGAGGATCAATTGATTATTTGTGAGAATCAATTGAAGATGAGTAAGAGTCAATTGAGGATGAATATGTGTCTATTCTGATATGACTTAGTATCTACTTAGGCTAGATGCTAACATCTTACTTTTATGATCATAATTTTTCAACTCCATTAATATTTATAACAATATTTTGATTACTATTTAAATAATTTTATCAAATGATAATTATTAACATATATTAAGAGTATGTTTAATTTTCAACATACTCTTAAAAATCCGAAATTTTAAAAAGTGACAATTTTTTTAATGCTAAACCATCTTCATCTACCATTAAATGTTTCGGATGATTTGATTTTAATTCAGTTGGGTTCTATTAGATGTAATAGTGTAAATTCTGATTCAACAATTTATCCAGATGGGTATATTTCAAAAATTTTATATTATTCTTCCAATAAACCCTATTAAAAAGAATGGTATACAAATAAAATAACTTATCAAGATGGTAAACCTAAATTCACTGTTTTGGATTCATTATCAAATGCATATGTCGGAGATTCACCATCATATCCTTGGGGACAAATCGTTTCAAAAATCAAAGAATTAAACAGAAATATTAAGAATGTATATAATTTTGGACATAAATTATTTGGATTTGAAAATAAATCTATCATTTGTTATTTGGAGGAACTCAAAGAGCGTTTTATCTCGAATAGCGATGAAGTAAAGTATCTTCAAACATATGAAACAACACCTAAATTTCAGAAATCCGCTGAAGCTTTTACAGAAATGGTAAATATGATTATAAGTGAAAAATATTTGCAAACAGATCTCAGTCAAATTAAAATCAAAATCCATCGTCTAGGGGAACAATATATTCTTAAATTTTTAGAAGCATTTATAATTGCCCGCCCCAAATTTTATGCACAGGTTATAGGTTTCTTACAAAATTTTTCATTTGACCAGGAATTATACTCAAAAGCAGGAATTTCTAAACCATTAATACAAGCAATAATTAATGGCGATAAAAGATATTCGAATATTTTTGCTTTTTCAGGAAAATCGTGTGATTTAACAATCGAAGATTTTATTAATGTTTTAATTTCAGATCAAACAAATCAAAATGGTGAAGAATATTATCAAATACGTATCAGATCTATATTGGATAATAGTAAATATTCTTTCTATGAACTAGCAGTTAAATTTGAATCAATTAATATTTTAAATTCGTGTAATATAGATAATGTTACACCAATCATGAAAGCATTGATAATGTCAAGCCCAAACGAAACAATTTTCAAAATGAATGATAAATTCAATTTGCAGACTTATCAATTTACAAACCAAATCAAGTATGTTTTATCTTTTGCATACAATATCTCAGAGTTATTTTCTACATTTAGAAATCCATTACTCTCTTCGATTGTTTCAACAAATAATATTATATCAGTAATGAATTTGAATGAAAGCAAAGTTATTCGTTTAAAGATTCATTTAATCTTCCATGAGGCCCTAATTCAAAATAATGATTTTATGTACAAGAACTTTAATGTTTTGAATCAAATAAAAAACAATGACCTTCTGGAAATTTTAGCAAAAGCTTGTTTGAAAGCTGACAAAAAAATTCAAGCAGATTTTGAACAAATCATGGGTATTAAATTTACAGCGATCAAACAATTTCATGAATCCATAGAAAAAATTCCAGTTGATCGGTCTCCAATTACAATAGATGGTTGCCATATTTGTTTTGAATGCTCTAAAAATACTGATATTGAAAAACTCAAATCAATGCAATTAATTCTAATAAGCCCTGGTATTCATATCAATGTGTTAACTTATGAACAAACATTGAAGTTTTTGGAACAAATGCCAGCATTTATTCATTTGGGCCTTTCCAATATAAGTTCTGATCGATCTGTAAACTTAAATTATTTTCTACTTCAAAACGAAGATTATTCCCTTTAAAAATTTCTAAGATAATTTTATTACTTTAAGATCACATTGTATGACAAAATCGTATCCTTTGAATATTCAAAAGTATCAGATACGTTGTGGATGATTACTGTACCAAAAAACATGAAAAACATAAAATTACCCAAAGAGTTTTCAGGGAGGTTAAAATGGTACATTCAAATAACGAAAGTTGATCTCCCAGGACATCCTCTGCAAGATGAAATACAGGAAAAAATAAAGCATGATAATGAGATTGGTGATATCTTAACTTCATATCCCGGGAAATTTTATGTAAATTATAGCACAACGATAAGAAGTGATAGTTTATTCGTCAATGGAAATCCTATAGAATTTCTTATATATATTCCAAGCGAATCAGGAAATTTGGCGTTGGAGTGTAATTTAATTCACTTAGATGCTACTTTTTCATGGCCGAAATATATATTTATTTTTCCTCGTGGTAATTACTATATGCGAGGTTACCCTCTAGGGATATACATAGGGCGCAGCGAATCATCCGCTGCTTATCAACGGTGGCTTACAGCCATGAATATTGAATTTAAATCATTAAACATTATGGAGCACTTTTCAAGAATCAAATGGATGAGCGATTTAGGTACTGGAGTTTTAAAATTTTTGAATACGAATCATTTCCAAAATTATATCTGTATTAGGCACTATCTCGGAACCATGGGCAATAATACTTTACTACATGTTTTTGCTCTGATAGTATTATTATCAAAATCGGCCCAAGATTTTGAGGACAATTACAAATGTTTTGATCCATCGGTTCAGAAAATGTATGCTACAAAGAATATATCAGATGAGCAGCTGGAAAAATGGAAGCAGATATATAAAGATCAAGAGCATTTAGCAGCATACCACCGCATTCCACCTATAAGCACTAATAATAGTGCAGAGGGTAAGCATAGACACATTAACGAACTTGCAAAAAAAGCAAGAAACTTTTCTACTTTCATCAAATTCATTCTGAATGATACTATCATTAGGATTAATGAATCAATTGATCCCATTAATAAGCAAAAACGCGAGAAGAATGACTTGTTAAACGAAAAATGCATACATTGCGGATTCTCCTATAATGATATTAATACTGATAAGAATCCTTGTAAATATTGCAAGGATTTCTTTATGAATAAGAGTCATGTTCCCTCTGCAGGCATACATGTTATGAAAATAGGAGAAAACGTAGGTGAAATCATAGAATTCCCAATCGATAAAAATGTAGGTGATCAGGATGAACTCGTGGATCACAAAGAAAAGAGTTCGCCGATCGAAATATCAAAATACGCAGAATTTATTGATATTGACGATAAAAATAAAGCAGTTTTAGTCGTAAAACTGCTTTATAATCTTGAAACGTTCCAAGATGCCAAAGATTTAATCAATTCTCTGGAAAAACAATCAAAAAATTATGAATCTGCATTACAAAATAAACCAGAAATTTGGTTGGAAAAATACTTGCCTGAATTAATGAAGGAAGTAAAAGATGCGAGAGCTGGTAGAATGAGAGTGAAGATAATAAAGAAGTAGAGATGATGAGTGAATAAAAACTTTGTATTAAATTTTTATATAAAAGAATTGTAAAATATAAAAATAAAGAAGTGGTTGATAGGAATTTGAAAATTCGTTGGGTGCATATAAGTTTGATAATGTCAAATTGGGTGGTTGCATATAGTAATGAAAAATATATTTATGAATATTAATGTCAAATTGGGTGGTTGCATATAGTAATGAAAAATATATTTATGAATATTAATGTCAAATTGGGTGGTTGCATATAGTAATGAAAAATATATTAATAAAAATTAATGTCAAATTGGTTGGTTGCATCTAGTAATGAAAAATATATTAATAAAAATTAATGTCAAATTGGTTGGTTGCATCTAGTAATGAAAATAAGATTAATAAAAATTAATGTCAAATGGGGTGGATTCGTGATAGAATGCTTCTGTGTATGTGTGGCGTGAGTTAGCATCGGGTGGTTGCGTGATAGAATGCTTCTGTGTATGTGTGGCGTGAGTTAGCATCGGGTGGTTGCGTGATAGAATGCTTCTGTGTATGTGTGGCGTGAGTTAGCATCGGGTGGTTGCGTGATAGAATGCTTCTGTGTATGTGTGGCGTGAGTTAGCATCGGGTGGTTGCGTGATAGAATGCTTCTGTGTATGTGTGGCATGAGTTAGCATCGGGTGGTTGCGTGATAGAATGCTTCTGTGTATGTGTGGCGTGAGTTAGCATCGGGTGGTTGCGTGATAGAATGCTTCTGTGTATGTGTGGCGTGAGTTAGCATCGGGTGGTTGCGTGATAGAATGCTTCTGTGTATGTGTGGCGTGAGTTAGCATCGGGTGGTTGCGTGATAGAATGCTTCTGTGTATGTGTGGCGTGAGTTAGCATCGGGTGGTTGCGTGATAGAATGCTTCTGTGTATGTGTGGCGTGAGTTAGCATCGGGTGGTTGCGTGATAGAATGCTTCTGTGTATGTGTGGCGTGAGTTAGCATCGGGTGGTTTCATCACAAATTTTAACCCATCCAAATCTTATTAATTATTAAAATTCTTTTACAATTTCTGATGTATTTTTTGAAAACATTTCATATGCAATATTTCTCCTTTTCTTTCCTCAAATCTTCAAATATTAATAACTTTGGATATGAAATTATTTGGGTCTTTTATGAATTTTAAATGTCTTTCTTAATATCAAATCGATTAAATTATTAATATTTTCTAAATTATGCCTTAAAAATCCAAATATAAAAAATCGTAAATAAAAAATATATTTTTTATTTTTATTTTGTAAATAATCCGTTTACTAAATGGGACTGTATCATGAAAGTAACAAAAATCATTATTTAACAAGATTCAAAACTGGTGCAACGAAATGCACACTGATTTTGTAGTGTAACAAAGAGAGATTTATTGTAAAAAGTACAAAATAGTATATTTATTATCGTGATTAGCGTAGAAATGTATGAGTTTGGGACGGATTTTGGTGCATTCATAACTAAAGTGATACATTGTCTGGAGCAAGTTCAGATCTTTAACTTATGGCTTGTTTGGTGCTAACTCACCCAATTTAAGTGCACTAGAGGGGATTTTGTCTGTAATGAGCATGCACCTTGAGTTGTTGCTTGGTCCGTGTACGAAAGATAGTAATTTAATACTATACTCGATTAAATGTGAATTTCTAATTTTGAATTTGCGTTTTTTCCTGAAAATAGTTACAATATATGAAAGAGTTGGCAAAACTAGAGGACACATCTTTAAGGGTTTGGCTCGTGCTTCATGTTAATATGCCGAAACTAAAATAAACGTATATTGGGGGTCGAAAATTGAGAGCTCATATCTTTAAGTGCTAAATTTTGAGTTCGAAATCTCGAATTTTTCCCATATAATAACATACTTTTTAATATAAATTTGGGAGGTTCAGACATTGCGGATCTTCGATCCGCAATGTCTTCACCTAGACCGTATATATATAACCCATGAATGGAAAATTGAATTCGAATTGATAGACGTTTAAAAATGGAATCGAAGGAAGAGCAATTTCTTGATCTAATTGCTGAAAATACTCAATTAAAAGAAGAGATTAAGTCAGTTCAAGAGTTCAATAAATTAGTATCTCTATTAGATCAGGCTTATCTGATTATGTGCCGTGAACAATCACTCAATGAGCAAGTTGATCTCACAAAATTAGATAAACTCATCACTTCAGTTACTTCTGGAATGAGACCAGTTAATAGTGCCGAATCTTGGAAATACAAACTAAAACAAGAAATTTACAAAAAGTCAAATCACCAAACAAAGCTAACATTTGATAACTTATCTGATAGGAAGAATAAGAGTCAGGCAAAACTTGATAATATTCAGAAAGATATTCAAGTATATCAAAGCAAATTATCCCAAACTACAAAATCTCTAAATTCAGCTCAACAAATGCGAGATAAGTTAAAATCACAACTAGATGAACTTTCAAAAGATGTAGAAAAATCAAAAACTAATCTTAACGAATTAAAAACACAAGTAGAAATAGAGCAGGCTTCCAACATTCAAATAAAGAGAACAATGGAACAAACAGAGCAAAAATTAGTTTCATTCTCAGAATCTCTTGGTGGCGCCGCATCTTCTCAAGTAATTAATACAACTATCGAAAAATTGAAATCATCTATGAAAACATCTTCCATAGATATATAAAATTTTATAATACACTTAAGAACAAACAAGATTCGTTTTCATTTCGATCTTCATGAGCGAAAAATAGATCATTATATTCGGAAACATTATTGAAACAAGATGTTTATTGGATTCAAGCGTTTATGCTAATGAAATCTTTAGAAAATTAATTTCAATTCTAAATCGAGTTAGCACATCATCCAATAGATTATCAATTTATCATAACTTGTTTGATGTTATGCCATATTTAATGTTTATTACATGATAATATTTTTGAATTAAGTCATTTTCCTAGGAAATTACTATTTTTTGTATGTTTAAATATAATAAACCTTTATTTATATGAAACAGAAAAACTAATTTATGTTATTTTCGTATAAGTTCAAACATTTTTTAAATAATTCTATATCTCTCTAAAAAAAAACAATACTATTTTTGTTGGCTGAGTACAGTTATTGGAGAGCATTCCTTCAAAACCTGCTCAAACAACGAACTCTGACTTGGCTGCACAATTGTTGAAAATCTCCTTGTTGTGCGTCTTCCGTGTTCTTTTGGAGGAAGGGGAGGAGGATCTATAAATGAAGAAATATCTGCAAGTGATTTAAAAGGTTTAATTCCAGTGGTTTTGTTTGAATCAGGTTCACTAGCAGATTTTTCCGAACTGTGAGATTCTTTTGATTTAACTCGCTTCTTAGGAGCAAGAGCACTTGGAATTGGTGATTTAGTGCTTTCATCTTTCTCCAAAAGCAGTCCTTTCGCTGTAGATTTTGATTTCGGAATTTGTGGGATTTTTAACTTGGAAGCCTTTGCGAGGTCATCTGAATTATTTCTCGCTGTTGTATTTCGAGGAGATTTCGAAACAGCTTTAGAATCTTTGCCATCGGAAGATTTTCTTGACTTTTTCACTGATTTTGGTTTAGTAGTCTTCTTTTCTGGAGTTGTGTCTTTGAAGTGGCCACTTTCATCGAACTCGGCAAACTTCTTTTCCCCAATATTTAAACCAGATTTTCCATCTTCAAGGAATAAACACGCATTCTCTTGTTTGTTTATTGGTAATGTGAAATCAAGTGAAAACATTTGTATTTCTCGCTCAGAAGGTATTCTAACAACGCCACTTTTGTTTGGAGACTCAGCGTTATAATTTCCTGAAGAAAATACTGTAATTCCATGCTTCTCTGCAAATAAGTTGCAACCATTCTGTACACATTGATGAGCTCGAATCATTAAAGATAAATTATTCGATTTTAAGAAGGAAATAACTGCATCAATAGAGTATCGTACGCCTAATCCTCTTCTATTCTCTGCAAAGAGCTCTTCAGAATCGATAGGATCTGACCAGAGGACGTCACTCAATAATTGATTGTCAGAGTATGATTCTATTGGGCGTTTGATACGCATCATATCATCAATTGAATTAAGAAGTGGAGAGATACCCCCATGAACACAAAATATCTTATCTGAAATGTTGGCTGCTAAAGGCATGAATTTGAAGACCTCTTGGAAACTATTCCATATAGATTCATCTTTGTACTTCGATATAACTTCATCGTAGAAACCAAAAACGCGATTAATTACAGAAAATTTGTGATTTCCTCTTAATATATGCACATTACTTGGGTATTTGATCATTAAGGTAAGTATCAGTGTAATCACAAGAACTGAATTAGCACCTCTGTCAACGTAATCTCCTAAAAAGTTAAAATAAGTTAACTATTATATAGGTACTGAAGAGGACAATTTTAGGGCTTCATGAAGTTTGATATAAAAAAAATACACCAACAATTTGGATGAAATGTAGTATCTTTCTTTACAACCTTACTGCTTTTCAGTATAGAACAACATCTTCAATCGAAGATAACTTCATTGTTAATCCTTAATTTGCTCAGAATATATTTCTTATTTCACAAGTCTGAAATGTGAAAAAATTGATGTTTCGATCTATGTCTAGATGTTTCTGCGGGTTACATCTCGATCGGGCATATTCATCTGATTTGATATGGAATTGTTACATTTGAATCACAATATATTCTTTTTCATGACTATTGTAATATCATCAAAGAATCAATTTTAGTATTTATAATGTTAATAATTTTCCATACATTTGAATCTGCTATTTAACATAAGAATTTTAGGATTTTGCTTATATGAATTATGTATAATTGATTCAATTGCACTTTATGATTATTTGGACAAATCAAAATTATCGGGTATCAATAAGAAGACATTTTATGAAACAAATGATCTAACTTGTTTATACTAAAGTTAGATCCCATATTTCAAGCACAAATATCTATAAAATTTTAATGGCAGATGCAGATATTATTATTGGAAGGCATCGGCGAGCTGTTCCATTTTCATTAGGATGCGGTGATAGCTTCAAAATCTTAAGAAAACCTATATCTCAGCTCCAAGAACTCTCTCATAACTACATTATTTTTTTAAATTCAAAATCTCATCATCCTTTGTTAAATACAGTAATTGGAACATCATACGATAGGAATGCTCTTACAGTTCATGATGTATCTCGCAATCATTTTCTTTTACATGGTTCGTTATTATTTGAAGCAATCAATTCACGCATTACTTTTATAAAAGATCCCTGGATTCCTGCACAATGGGATGCAAATACCTCATCTGTTTCAACAAGATCAAAATGTACAAATTTTTCAATAAATAAAGAAAATACATTTGGATTTGCATCCACATTAACAAAACCAGCCATATTTTCATTATCATATACATTATCAGAACTAAGATTCAACAATATTACTTATCTAAATTACGATCTTAACATTTTAGATTTGAAAACAAGCGATTTTATTCCAGGAGAAACCATAACGATCTCCAAAGATAATACTATTTCGCTATTCGATAAAGATACTATTGTTTCTTCAGTCAAAGTTGAAGGCCACGAAACATGGGATTTATCTCCAATAAATTTCCTTCAAAACCCACGAGTTGTATGTACAGGATTCTCTGATTCACTACAAATTATTGATTTTCGCCAAAAAGAACCTGCACCATTGACAGCAGCAGCGAATTTTCCATCATCAATTGTTCCATTAAAAAATCCATTTCATCTTGTTGTCTCGACTCCGGACAACTTGAGTATTTACGATATGAGGTTCCCTCATCGTCCTGAAGACATTCTTCCATACTATTTCAAGTCATGTCCAACATCCATGAAAGTAGATCGAAGAGGTGATTTTGATGTTGTTTTTTGCCAATGCAGCGAAAGTTCTGAAGTAATTGCATTTCCTTTCAACGATATGCACTTCGGAGCGCCTTGTATGCCATTCCAATTAACAGTTGCTGACTATATTACTAAGAATCCATCGAATTTAACTGGTTTGGAAGTAATTTCTGATTCTTGTTACCTTCAATTTGAAAATGGAGGTGTTTTTTCTGTTGATCTCGATCCTAGTAAGCCAGCGAAGAAGATAAATGTACCTGTTTTCATTAGGAATGAAGAAGACTTGCCGAAAGATAATTTCATTATGAAACCACAGTTCGATGAAATGGATTTCTCTCAAGATAAAACAAAGGAAGATCATATTAATTGGAAAGAAACATTTCCTGAAATGAAAAACGCTCCGCCAAACAGTTTATATGAAATTAAAAATGAGGAAATACCAGAAGCTGACTCTGTAATTGATAATTATTTGATAGAAATCGAAGATGCTTTGCAATTCGAAGATGATGATTTGGATACTGCAATTCCTGCAATTTGGAAAAACCATCTTGATACAATTTCGAAATACCTTCAGCAAACTGAATAATTATACTTTTGTTTGTTTATAGAGATAAAATTATACTTTCTTTTTTTAAAACATCTTCCATTTTATTCAAAACAGCTAAAAATATGACTTTCTCAATCAAAATATGTCGAATTATCATATTGATTATACTATTTTTATGGATGATTACAAATTTGATTCAAAAGATGAACATAAGGTCACGGCTTTGGAAGATAATTCAACTAATAACATAAATTTTGTTTATTCTTGGATTGAAAATGCACTCTTTATCATTGAAAAAACGCCAAGAGATAATATAGATAATCTTAATTGTGTGGAATCTGCATACAAAAGCTTAGATTCATCATACAAATTCATTGAATCTACTAAAATTAGCAACTTTATTGACGAAACTATTCTAAATCAGTTATTTCAAGATCTAATTTCCGAAAATAGCATAATTGCACAAGGAGCATCAATTCTTTTACGATCCTATGCTAAAGACCAATCAAAGCTATTACTTGATTTCTCACAAAATGATGTATTTCAGAATCTGTTACAAATTTTGATAGACAATCACAATAAAACTATATTAGCAAATATTACCAGTGTTATTATCGAGTGTTTATGCAGAAAGGCACTGATTTCACAAGAAATGATACAAAATTATAAAGATTTACTATTTAATTCAATCAAAAGTTTAATTACCAATGCATCAGACTATAATGATTCAAACACATCGAATATACTTTATTTACGTGCATTACTCCTTCTCTACACTTATATTAAAAATTATAATATTGATGAAAGCATTTGCGTTCAATTACATGCATTACTTCAAGAGTTCAATGAGATATGGATTAATTTAGAAAATGAAGACGCAATGAAATTTTATTTTTGGACTTATTTTGATTTAATTCATTCAAATCAAGAATTAGAGTTAAATGATCAATTTTATAGCATATTAATCAAATGGATGAACATATATAACTCAGATTGCTTAAATTTAGTTGTTTATTTACTAAATTTAAATAAATTTCCTCAAATTGATGATACAGACTTTGCACTACAACAATTATGCAAGACAAAAGATTCACAGCAATTTCTATTGTTATTGGATTTAGAAGAAGCTCTTTTTGAGCAAAATCCTTTTAATTTAGATTATTTTTTCAACAAAGATCGAAGTTTCCCAGTTCTAATTAACGGGAATGCTGAAATGCTATCTTTTGCTTGTTTACAGCGACTTTCATTATTTTATGCAAATATTTGCTTAATGAGTGAATATACAGAACAACTTTTCATATCAGGAAGTTTTAATATCTTCAAGCGAACATTTGATCCTGACAGTAGTTATTGTGAATTGATAATTAAAGCAATTCTAAAATTTTTATACAACGAAACCATCAGAAAATCTATCCTGAGAGATTTGGAAAATGATGCATCACTAATTGAAGATATCCAAACCTGTGCTGAATCCGAAAACAAAGAAATTTCCGAAATTTCAGAATTTTTCATAAACGAGTATGAAAGAATTAAAGACGAATCATCTCAATCATAACATAACAAACTATAATAACTATTTATTCATTACATTTATTCATTTCGAACTTGAAAAATTTCATAAAGATACTATTTGTGTTCTTTTAAATGCTTATATGTTGTGCATTGTTTCCACATAGGATAAAGTCAGGAATAGATGTTTTTAATCAATCATGAATTGAAAAAACTAAAATTCTATCACAAAGATTGAGTTTTGACAGCATTCTAAGCAAACAATAGAATAAATCTGCCCCGATACTTTGAACGATGAAAATCCTAAGCCACTGTAATAAAATTAATCCTCAATTGTTGTATATATTGATATCTTTCTCTCATAAAAATCTGTAAGACCGTTTTCGCGAAAAAGTCATTTTACATACATGCGTTACTTAGTTAGGCGATTGTTCTAACCTCAACCATAAAAATAATGCAAAATATTGAAAGTCTAGATATAATTAAAATAGACTCTAAATATTGCCGCTGCACTTAAAACAAGATTTAACAAATTATGTTTAGATGCATTACATAAATTTGTATTTGCTAGAAAAGCATATTTTAATGTAATCAAATTCAATATCTCAGAATTATTTGATTTTTGAAGCAGAGTTTAACTGCAATTGTTTTATACACTGTGTCCTGATTTCATTTCCGTAGAGTCGAAAAAATCGAATTTTTTTAGGTGCAACTCCAGGCATGAAAAAAATGAGGCAAAAAAAACGCTTTCTTTAAGATAATATGGTGACTTTGAGATTCACCTACCATATATGTATATCTTTATATGAAGGATTACTATCGTATTGTGTATGGTAGCAATGAAAGACATCTATCATGTAAGCCTACAAGATGCTATTAAGTTGATGAAAATTGAGAGGAGATAGGTGGTCGGTCGGAACCCTTAAGTCAAAAAAGTTACCACGCCAGTTCTTAACACGCGAGAAACCGTCAGACTGTATCATATAGATTTAAATTCAAGAAGAATAATGTTATTGTGCGAATGCGTTACACGTTCGAAGAGTTAAATTTTTGGATGGAAATCCCAGTTAGTATCTAGTAATTCGGTACCAAGGGTCTACGCCCCTCGGACCCCAAATTACTAGAATTTACAAAAACCATTTGACATGTAAATTTTTTGACATTTACAAAATAAAAAAAAATAATTTTTAAAAAATAAACTTTAAAAAATAAACGTTAAAATTTTTGACATTTACAAAATAAAAAAATAATTTTTTAAAAATAAACTTAAAAATAAACATTAAAATTTTTATTTATTTTTTTATCATAGATTTTAACACCCAGAGTAAAAAAATAAACTTAAAAATAAATTAACTCAAAAATTTTTTAATTTCTGTATATACTAAATTTTTCATAAATGATAAAATTAATTTTAGGGTAGATCTAACCCGATATCTAACCTCATTTCTAACCTTGTGAATTTTCAGCAGTAAATATGCTGGCATGATTCAGGGATGTCATCGCTGCTGTCTTCAAACTCTTTTATAGATTCATACCATAAACGAGCTTCACGGGAGATGAGGAGTAATGAAACGATAATTAATAATTTATTAGTAAAATTCATTTTATATAAAAATAAAATTTTATATCTAATCTGATTTTTCGAATTCTTCTAACTTCTTCTTCAGTTCTGCTATATTATCTTCATATAATTTAATCTTTCTCAAAATACCATTTTTATCTAATGGCTGCTTAATTTTTCTAAATTGAACTCTACCATCTTTCATTTGATGAACATAAAAACCTTCTGGAATAGTTCCTGATTTAATGTATTCAACTAAAAACTTTTGTTTTGTTGCTTCAGTAATTTTAGTACTCATTTTATTAAAAGTAAAAAATAAAAAATATTTTTAAAATTAACTTTATTTTTTATGAGGACTCTCTGAGTTCATCTGAGCCGCTTAGCGGCTTCGTCGTCTTTTCCTTAATTCCTGCGGATCAACTAGGTCGGTTGAAGGTCTATTACTTTCTTTATAGTGTTTATAAAGTTTATAAGCCGCCATATGATAAGGATAATTAAACCATAAATACGCTTTACCTAAAGTTTCAATCGATTATATAAATCATTATTGTTAGGCGTTTCAGGTGGTGCAGGGTATTCGAGAACATCTCTAACCATTTAATTACTTTAAAACTCTTGGTTTCTTTTTAGTTTTTAACGGTTTCTTTGCTTTTGCGATTTTAGCTAAAATATATCTTCGACCGTAATGGAACCAATTCGAACCTCCTGTTTTAGGGTCAAAAGGTCTTCCATAACCGCCAGGGTCATATGGTGCGACTGCAGTTACTGGCGCTGGCGCTGGTGCTGAATTAATCGGCGGTGCCTCAATTGGTGGATATTCTGGCTGTTTCTCCTTTTCTTTAAGTGAATTTAATTTAAACTCTTCACCATTCAACTGACCTTTAAAATCTTTTAGCTGCTTAGATATTTCATTATCTTCACCTAAAAGGTTTTGCGACTGGTCAGCGACCCAGTTACCTAATTTCTTTAACTTTTCAGATTTTAATTTTCTGGCAGCAGCTCCCACAAGCATTCCAGCATTATTTTTTAAAGCTTTTGATACAGCTCCACCAGTTAAACCGTCAATAGCCTTATAACCTCCATACAAAGCTGATAGTGTTGAAAATACCATTTAATGCTTATTAAAATCATTTCTCATAATGATTAACTCATAAAATTTTTCATCGGAGCTAAACGTTAATGAAACTCTGACTTTTTCACCACTGAACCTCTTTATTAGTTCATTAATTCTATCAATTATATTAGCACATTTACTTACATCATCAATGATAGTAATATCATCACAAATTATTTTTACATTTAACGACGTCATTTATTACAAATTAATTTCTTCTATTCTTTAAATAATTAACTGCAGGCGTACTACGTGGGAGTGGGTCGTGGCGCCTTATGTGCTGGCTAATTGCTTGAAACAGTGTATATTTTTCAGACCTGTTGGAATAATATCAGCCACGGCAGTTTGATTAATCGGTGTTCTATATAAATTTCTGTATAAATATGGTCCAGCTACCGCACCTGCAGCTAATAAAAGACCTACAGGAATTACAATTCTATTATAGTTCCGCGGTTTAGGGTCTTCATCAAAACTAGCCCATGCGCTTTCAGTCGTTGAACTCATTTATATATAATTAAATTTTAATAAGCGATTAATATGAGTTCGATAATAATGCTATCTTTTCTATCACCAGGAAGGACAATATCTTTTAGGCTCGATGGTTCAACTAATTTTATATTAAATTTATTAACATAATTAGTTATTGAATAATGCTTCGGCGGAGAATATAAGCAGTTCGTTAAACATAAAATTGAATCTTCTGCGAACTCACTTATACTCGATTTAATTATTACTGGTTCTCTTGACCAAACGCTGTGAAAAGAAATTGAAGTTAATAAATTACCTTCTGCCCTCACGGCTATTGATTTTGGTAAATATTCTAAAAGGTCGATTAATGCTATTTCTTTTGCTCCAAAAAGAGCCATTTTCTTAAAACATTCTTCATCATTGATTCCTGTAATAGCTCTAAAATTATTATTCGTGTATATATTTTCAATCTCATCACCGACAGCACCATCTTTTAAATCAAATATGAAACCAGCTTTTGAATTTGAATTAACACGAAATTCTATTGAATTAGTTTCAAAACTATAAAACATATCAACTTCATTAGGTTGAGGATATCCGGCACCTTTTAACTGTTCAATAAGAACCGATTTAATCTTTTTATTAAATGCTGTCATATCATCTCCTGTGTCTAAATCTATATAAATCTGTAAATCATATTGATGATTATCTCTTATTATTCCAAAGTTATATAATTCAATGGTTCGTCCTGCAGGAATGGTTTTTATCTGTCTTATTTCAATTGCTTTTTCACCAGTGTTATAATCAACCCAGTGTTTAGGGTATTCATAAATGTATTCACCATTGATTATTTTAAACGGTTGTGAAAATATGTGCTCATAATAGATTTTAATACTTTTATCATTAAGACTGGGAACGGTATTAACAAAATTTCTGACTTGCATTTTTAATTATAATAAAATGAAACATTTATTTGAAGAAGTAGATGAAAAAATGAATGAAAAATCTGATAAACTCAATAGTTCATTAATTCTTCCCTTCAGTAAGGATTATCAGTTCTGTTCAAACGGTGTGTATTTCTATTGCGGAAAAATGGGTTCGGGAAAGACTTTTAATTTAATTTGTCATATTTTAATTACTGAACGATTAGGTCAAGATTCATATAGGGTGTCCAAAGGTGCGTTTAGCACAGCGCTCTATATGAGACTATTAAAGGAGATATATGCTGATTATAAATATATAATAAAAAATATGAATATATGTATATGATGAGTAAGTTGTATTTTGGCGCCATGCCGGGATATAAAATGAATTTTGAGACAAGAGGCGGTTTCGCGGGAAATTTTGGCGGGATTTTTTTCATTTTTTTAATGAATCATAAAGAAAACATCCGCGCTCTTGCAAAAAAATGCAAAGACTGTAAAAAATCTACGAGACATTGGTAAAATGCTTCGGTATGGATGCTCCTAGCTATTCCACTGTAACGTATCATGTTAGGATGTATCACTTCATGAACAAAAAGGCGCCCATCATAAAAATTGACAAAAAATCGCCGGATCAAAGAAAAATCAAAGCAATTCTTCAAGCGCTAGATGAAGACCCAAGAGCATCACTCAGAAGGATAGAGGAGATGACAAAGATACCACGTACAACAGTCAGTTATTATCTGCACAATTATTTGAACTACAAACTAGCGTATACACGTTGGGTTCCGCACAACCTTAATTCAGTTCAAAAAAAATCTAGAGTCCAATCTTCGAAAGAGCTCCTCTCTATATTGGGTGCGTATCAATCCAAGAAGTTTCGCTTTTTAGTAACAGGGGACGAGTCTTGGTTTCAATATGCAACAGAAGCCAAAATCATGTGGATCCCGAAGGATGAAAATCCGCAAACATTCCCGAAGAAAAAAATTGACACACCAATGATGATGTTGTCGGTTTTTTGGGGCGTGAATGGCATCATCGCAATTGATATTCTTCAAAAACCTAATACGATGAATGCTCAGTATCTAATTGACAATGTTCTTACTCAAATTATCAATTCTGATGAGTTTGAGAAATCCAAACAACAAAAACAAAAGTTTGCAATTCATTTTGATAATTCAAGAGTTCACAAAAGTCATAAGGTAATGAATTACTTGGTGGAAAACAATGTCAAAGTTGTTCCAAACCCAATTTATTCACCTGATATTGCACCCTCTGACTTTTATTTATTCGGCACGCTAAAAAAGAGAGCTGAAGGACGCGAATTCGCGAGTCCAGATGATCTTGAAAATTTTGTAAGAGAGCAATTTGAGCAATTTTCTCATGATGATTTAAAGCGTGTCTTTCAAGCCTGGATCGATCGCTGCGAACGCGTGATTGAATCCAATGGTGATTATATTTAAATAAACTTTATATATATGTAACTTGTTTATTTCTATTCGCAGTATTCAGGTTTGTGCTAAACACACCTTTGGACACCGTATATTATGACCAAATCATTATATCAGCAACTTCAGATTCAATGGATTCAACAGCGAAGACATTTATGAGTAAAGTTCAGGCATCAGTAATTAAAGTTCCAGATAGCGAATTAATTTCTTTTCTTCAACAATATATAAGAAGAAAGAAGAAATATTATGCAATAGTTGAATTTATACAATCAGGAATGCAAAAGACCTCGGAAGAAATGGAAAGAATTATTGATAAACATCATTTGAGACAGCAGGATGGTACGTATGATATGAAACGATTGACAAACTACATTCTCTCGAAACTTTCAAAATATCCTTTTAAAAAATATCCTTCAAACACTTTATTAGTTTGTGATGATTTCGCTGGTAAAGGTTTAGTTTCAAAACCAGATTCGCCATTAGCTAATTTAATTACTAAAGTCAGACATTATCACATGACTGTAGCAATACTAATGCAGACGTGGAGGTTTTTAGCTTTAAACATTAAACGTCTCATTACTGATTTCGTTATATTTCAAGGTTTCTCAAAATACGATATAGAATTAATTTGGAAGCAATCAGGTATAACATTACCTTTTGATGAAATCTGGGATGCTTATAAATCACTCATTTCACCACGTTCATATTTAGAAATTCATATAATGACTAATACAATTAATGTTAAAAATATACCTTGCGAAAGACCAACATTATTTTAAAGCTTTATTTTTAGATGAGGTGTAGTGAATAGATTCCATCCATCTCTATCACTATTTCTGTTTATATTTTTGGTGTCATTCATGTCCACACTTTCTGGATCAGTCAATTTTTGAGGATAAAGATTAGAATAACTGTTTTTAATTGATGGTGCTTCACCGTTTAACGCATAAACTCTATTACTTTCTGCATATTTAATGTTTGAACCACCAGAACCATCATTTACGTAAATAGTAAATGGTTTATAATCGATGTTCATATTTCGACTTCTGCCTTTTGATTTCTTATTTAACACCTCAACATCTTTATAAACTGCGCCCATTTCAGTGAATTCAATTATATTTTCATTTTCAAGTTTCACATTTAAACCTTTATCAAAGATATTATTCATTTTTATAGTAATAAAAGGTTTTTATTCTTTAGAAAATGAGAAGTAAATCCATCTTAGCCGGTGCGGTGAATGTTCCAATCGAACCTACATCTAATGTTGATTCAAGAACGACAAATAATATTATAATCAAAAATTACAGCTCCGAAAACTTGAAAGATAAAGAGCCGGAGCTAAAATCCGTTAATTTAAACACAGCTTCAAACACAAATGCTAACAGTGAAGTTAAGTTAGAATATCCACCTCCATTAGAACCAATCATATCGCGTGATGCCAACGACAATCCATATTCAAACATTCAAACTAATCCTTCAGATAACGTAGACCATTACCTCCTTAATTTATACCAAACAATATTACTCAAAGACGATAAGAAGCTTTTGGTAAATCTTATTAGTAAGAATCAAATAATTTTAACAAAGGAGGATTTAGAAAATGTTATATCAAGAATAACAGGGAAACAGTGCGTTATTGATTATCTCGACCCCGAAATCGAATGTTGCGGTCAGATGCCGGTATTTATGAAAATCGGTAGTATTAGAATAATCGAAACACCAGGAACTACAGGAGTTGAGTTTAAGTATAAATATTCGAATGAATATACAAAACTTTCAACAGAATATAAACTTTGCTTGAAATATGTTTTAACGAATTAGGTCAGTCGATGAAAAAAAATTCGGCTTAAGTCAAAAGTTTATAATATCTATCTAAAACTTCTTCAACACTTTCGAACTCATCTTCATAATGCAAGCCTAATTTAATTGATTTAGTACTGTTTTCAGAAACGCAATAAACATTTGTTTTCTTCACCGACATAACCAATTCATTTGTATCATCAAATAATAACAACCATTGTTCATTATTCAGTATATAAATTTCATACTTTATATTTTTGGAAATGAGTTCTCTGATAAGTCGTTGCATTTAATATTTTCTAAAAAATCAACATCTATGGTCATCTGCACAGGAGCTTTAATTTCAATTGGTTCGCCTTGAAAATCAACTAATCTAAATGTCATATCTTTTAAATGGTGTGGTTGAATTCGAACCCATTTTCCTTCGTGCCTTAATAGAATCGGAAAATTAGGCATGAATACAGAATTAACGGCGTAACAGAACGATTTATATTCTATAACAGAATTTTTATTATTAACTCCTGAAATTCCTGTTACATTACTTATTTTTGATTCAACATATAAACAGTTTCCATAACATATGTAGGGTGCAGATTTCATTTCAATTATATATTTTTGATTTTCAATAGAAGATTTCAACGGTAATTCTTGATGATAAGCACCTAGTAATAAACGTGCTCGATGAGTCATATCAGTAATTTTAAATTCTTTTTCGGAACTAAATTTTATTATTCCTGAATCAGTTAATTCACAGTTAAGGGCTCCGTTAAATTTTTCATCAATGAGATCCTGAATCTTTTTCTCTAACGTATCAATATCATATTTATTTCTTGCTTTAAAATGAATTTCAGTACTAATACCATCGATTTCAAAAGTAATGAAATCGTTAGTGTCTGTTATAACAAATGAAGCGATAGTGCTAAAATCAAGAACTCTGAAAGCTAGTGGTTCATTCTGAAGACCAAGGTTAGTTTGTAATTTTAATGTCCCGTAATCATTAGGATCAGTACTTTGCAAATAGAACAACATTTTTATTCTAATTAAAAATATGAGTATATCCGCATATTCTTATGAAGCTGATAGAGCGAAAAGATTAATTTTTGGTTCATACACGTTTTCATTTGATGATGAGCATTTAATAATCACTGATGGAAAAACTGAACATTATATCTCATGGAAAGAATATGAAAAATTTATTCCAATATTAAAGCCATGTACAATGCCTTTCATAAAGGACGGTGAAATTATTGAAAAAGATAACACAACAGTATATAGATCTGTTTATGAAGCATTAGAATATATGTTGAATCATAATCCCGAAAGATTTGATCCAAGCACTACGCCATGTGCAATGCCCTTTATTAAGGACGGTGAAATCGTAAGAGTTCCGAATTCAACGGTTTATACAGCTGTTCAAAACAGTTTACAAAACATTTTAGCGAATATCTTTAATTCAGAAACTACAGAAATAAAATTACCGTATATAACAGATGCTAAAGAAATTAAATCAAGAATTACAACATTATTTACGTCACTTAATGATTTAATGACTTATATAATTAATACTCCTTCTCCGACTACGGCATTTGATCCAAATTCGACGGTTTGTAGTGTACCTTTCATTAATGACAGTTCATTAATTGAATTAAGGGATTCAACAGTAAATGAATCATTAAAAGCTTCATTAATGAAAATCATTGATTTTAACTCATTTATGAATACATATAATTCATTCATTAATGTTTCATACACTTCTAAAGAAGGTGAGCCAAAAACTATAGATAAAGCGGTGTATGAAATAAAAGCATCAATGACGAAATTGAATTCGTTAACTTTTGATGGTGATAGTTCCGTTGACAGCATGACATCAGGAAAAACGATTTTAACGAAAGAATATTTAAAATCTCATGTTAGTGAGTTCGTTGAAATTGAAAAAGAAGGCGGAATTAAGTTCGATCCACTGGGTTTCATTTTCGACTTAGAGAATGCGGGTGTTAGTTTCGCTGAATGGACAACGATACAGAGTGAAATAAATGCAATATGGACGTTTTTGGGGTCAAAAGCGGGAATGGGTGAGCTTGTAAATGCTGCAAGAACATTAGGTGAAACGGGAAATTTTGTAGATGGTTTTAAAAGACTTGTTTCAAATGTTTTAACAAACACAAAGAAATTATTTAGATATACCATACATAACGGCCAGATTTTCGAACAGGTAGCAACAAACCCTCCGGTTATGGCTGCGTTGATGATGGTTAGAGACATAAAGCCGCGTAGCGGCGAGGGCGAAGCCCATGAAGAAGAGGAGAAACCAGAGGATACGGGTCAGGTTATTCGAGACATTAAAAACGTGTATCCTGAAGTTATTGATTTATTTAGAGGTGTTAATGATTCGATTTCAAATCATTCTATAACCCTTGATGAAGAGAATAAATTAACAGATTATATATTCGTCATTATTGCAGAACTAATGAAGAGAATAAATGAAAAAGGTATAGCTGATATCATTAATGTAAGTGATGTAATGATGAAAAGAAATTTTGACTCATTATTTACAGAACCGAAAACAGAATATTGTCTTTATGACGTAATTACTGAATTAATGAAAAAGATTAATGATAATAAGAGTTCTGGCGGAAGAGTTGAATTAGAGGTGAATGATGTTAATGAGAAATTAGATAATAAAGCAGATAAAAACCATGTTCATTATATAAGTTCAGATGAACAGATTATAACGGATTATCATGGATATTTAACACAGGATGAAGAAGTGAAGACGGAAGATGTTAATGAAAGAAGATATAAATTCATTCGTGCTAAAGGTTATGACATACGCTGTACTGTACAGTATGACACAGGTAAAGCACCAGAAGCATTTGGTTATAACAATGAAATTTATGCTTCATACTTCTTTGTTAACGGTGTATTAGTTGAACCAAGATTTACATTGAGAATAAGTAGAAAAATAACCGTTGAAGATGCTATTAAAAGTAAAGCTGACAAAGATGAACTTGACGCAACGAACAAAGTTTTGAAATCTCATAAACACAATATCTCCGATATAAATGAACTTCAAGCTACATTAAATAGTAAAGCTGACAAGAACCATACACATGAATCCTTCACTACTGTTAGAGCAGACGACATAATATTGAACTATACCCTTGGTTCAAGTGCACCTTTAGAGAATCCAAGTACAAGCGTAAAAAATACACTAAACTCCTTAAATAACAAATGTATAAATATCGAAGGTCATGTCAGAAACTTTGAAACATATGAACTACCAGCAATGTTAGATAAAAAAGCAGATAAAGAACATACACATAACTCCTTCTCAACTGTTGCTATAGAAAGTATTGAAGGAACGGTTGGCGGAACTGGTGGGGATGCATTATATTATAAACCTCCTAACTTTCCACAAGGTTTAACATCGAATGAAAACATAACAACGAAGAAAGACATTAGCTGTAAAAATGTTTATGTCATGGATGATGAAAATAATGTTAAATTCACTGCTCAAGATTTATATGATAAGAAAGCAGACAAAACAGAGCTTCAAACATTAAAGACTGAAATACTTCAAACATTATATCCTATAGGCTCTATTTATACGTCAATGAACTCAACAAATCCCGCAACAGTTCTGGGTTTTGGTACATGGCAGCAGATTGTAGACAAATTCTTATACTGTGCTAACTCTTCAATGCAAACAGGAGGCTCAAAGAAAATTAAAGAAGCAAACTTACCTGCGCACACTCATACAGGAACTACAAACTTTTCTGGCGACCATAGCCACTTATTAAGAGACCACCCATTATACAACTCAGACTATGAAGCTGGCAATGACGTTTTATCTCCATCTTATAACAATTCAGCAAAAAAGACTTTTCGACCAACTGAACCAGGAGGTAATCATACACATACATTTACAACAAATCCAACAGGTTCGGGTGCAGATTATATGCCACCTTATATGACAGTTTATGTATGGGTTAGAACGGACTGAAAGTCCTGAGCTCCAAAAGAGCGAACAGCATGAAATTACTAAATTTATTTTTACATAAATGAGTTTAAAAGAAGTTTTCGAATCATCACCGTGGATGTCATTTAAAAAATTCTATGAAGCTGCAAAGAATGCGGGATTTAATGATAGAACAGAAATTAAGAGATTTTATGATGAAAATATAGTTCATCAGGTTAAAGTTAATCCTTACGATTATTACCTTCCCATTTACTCGAAAACCCATGATGCATATCAATTTGATACACTCGTTCAGAGTAAGAAAGGAAGAAAGCCACCATTTTTGATTTTCATTCATGTTAATACACGTAAAGCTTTTGTGTATATAATGAAAAATAAAGGAACAAAAGAAGTTTTAAGAGTTTTGCAGACGTTTGTGGCAGAACATCATCCCACTTCATTAACTTCAGACCAGGATTCAGCATACCTCAGTAATGAAATTACAGAATTTTTGATTAAACATAACGTTACTCATTATACGACTGAAGACCATAACCATAATATTTTAGGAATCATTAATCGTTTCATTAGAACGCTAAGAGATTTAAATAAAGAAAGAGATTTTACGGAGGAATCAATGAATAAAGTCATTAATGCTTATAATAAGTCCACCCATAACAGCACAGGATTTAAACCAAACGAAATGACTTCAAAAGAGGAGGATGAATACATAAAACAAAAGAGAATGTTAACGGAGGAAAGAAGAAGTTCATCATTACTGCCAGGAACTAAAGTTAGAATCATTCTTGAACATAAACCACATGAAAAGGTAAGAAATCAGTTAAGTGATGATTATTATATCGTTGATTCCTCACAGGGTAATGGTTATTTAATTAAAGCAGCTGACCATTCGGTCGCATTTTATCCACGATTTCGATTAGTTGAAAGCGAAAATGGAAGATTAGCTAAAACGGTTGATGAAGCGAAAAGAGGTATAGTTAATAAAATTGTGAGTTATGATGAAGACAAAGATAAATACACTGTCATTTATGAAGGAGGTGTGGATGCTAAAATTCCTTCTAGAAATTTGAGAGAATCGAACCCCACACATTTATCGGAACTCGAAAAGGATTACTGGAAGGATAAAAATAAGCCAAAATTAATCAAAAAAATTTTATGAACTAAATATATTTTATGTCTGAAGTTAATTAGTTAATAAAGTAGCGGATGAACTGCAGAAATATATTTTATCGTAAATGGTTAGATCTAACCCGATATCTACCCTCATTTCTACCCTCATGAATTTTCATGAATTTTATATATTAATGTTTTCGTTAAGCCACTTTGTGCCGGCAGTCAGTCAGTTAATGAAATTTACACCAAAAATATATTTTATCGTTAATGGTTTTTAGGTTATTCAATAATTAATTATTTTTGAATAACTGAAGGTGTCACCACGTCACCATGTGTCACCTGGTTAATTAACTTCTCTTAAAAATGATGACAACATGACCTTTAGACAACTAGCCCGGAAATTTGATGCAGTCCAAAAATAAAGTTAGTTTTAAAATTATTTTTATTTTTTTATTCCTATATAAATGACAGCAACAAACAACAACAGCAACTATATCGTTTCTGATGAAAAAGTTATTGATTCATTAGCTGAGGAATTAGTTGTGGCAGAAACTAAAACCCTCAACGAAAGAATTGGTGAAAACAAGATTGATTTACATAACTACCTCAAACACGATGGAGGAAGAGGAAGGAAAACTGGTATGGCTTTATTAGTAAATAAAATTTCAAATTTAACGATTATGGATGTTGATATCAATAAATCATACAATGATGAACTTAAAGAAACAGTTAGAAAAGATATTTTATCAAAACTTTCGGATAAAGATGTTATCGTTAAAACCGCTTCAGGAGGTCTTCACATTTATTGTAACACTAATTTCTTCTATTCAGTTTCGAACAGAATGATTAAATGCTATTCCAGCAATGATTATGATATTGACATAATGACTTCGATGGATGATTCAAAGCGTTCTTTAGTAGTTATGGCTGATTCAAGAGTTCGCAAGAATGCAACAGAACCAATCAATACATACTCATTCATTCGTGGAAGTTACGATTCAACATTAACTAGAACAGTGAATGATATATTAAATGATTTGAATATTAAGGTAAGAGTTGAACAGAAGAACGAAGAAATAAAGACTATCATGAATGAAAACAAAGATGTAAACATTGACGATAAACTTGCCCAGAGCATAGTTGATGGCATCAGTGATTTTGAAGTACATAATGACGGTGGAAACATGAATTTAGAAAAAGAAGTTACATTATTCACACTGTTTCAAGCAATTAATTCGTTACCTAATCATTTAATTAATGAAGCATACGATAACGTTTATAACTTCTGCAATTTAACTGAAAATGCAAAAAGTAATTTTGAAAAAGCACGTAGTAGATATGCACATTTAATGACTTCTCCATTTGTTTTAGTGCAGATTCTAAAACTATACCAAAAGGAATATTATGATGAATACGTTTTACCTTTATTACGTAAGCCAAAAATAACATTTGATATAAAACTTGATGACTCGTTTTTGATAACAGATATTAGACGCAAGGTTGAAAATCATCAGTATAAAAACAGTTCTGAAGTAATTGAGGATTTATCACGTGTAATCCGTTTTGTAGATTGTGGAAATAAATATTTCATTCAAAAGGACTATAATATCCACGACAAAATGAATCAAATATCATTCGTTCTTCAATCAAACATGAAAGAGTCACTTAAAATGATTAAATTATTTAAAGAAGAAGGTAAAACCATAACAGCATGGGACGTACTATTAAATCAATTATCCTCATTAACCGTTAAGGGTGTTCGCTTTAAATCTGATTCTCCAGATATTTTCTCAACGTTTCAAGGTTATAAATACAACGTTCTCGAAAAACCAGATTACTCAAAAATTGAGATGTTTATGAATTTCATTAAAGAAGCCATTTGTGATAATAATGATGAAGTGTATAAATACCTTCTCGGCTGGATTGCATCAATGATTCAACATCCTGGAATCAAGAATGAAACAGCAATTATTTTGAAAGGACTTCAGGGAACAGGTAAAAACAGATTTACAGACATTATTTCTGAACTTCTCGCAGGTTATTCATGTAAAAACATTACTGAAATAAGTGAGCTAACGGGTAATTTCAATTCAGTAGTTGAAAATAAAATGTTTCTTGTACTTAATGAACTCAAGAATGTAGGTGAAGATAGACTCGCAAACTTCAACGCTTTGAAATCAATTATTACGGATAATGAGATTAGAATTAATGAAAAGAATCAACCCAGAAGAACTGCCCAGAACGTTGCAAACTTCATTTTGGTAACTAATAACGTCTACCCTGTCAAAATTGAAGTTGGAGACAGAAGATACGTAGTTTTAAGAGTTAATGGTAAATTTAAGGGTCAATTTGATTACTTCAAGAATTTAATGGATTCATGCACTAAGGAATTTTATGATAATTTACTGACGTATTTTATGCAATATGACCTTTCATCATTTAATGTACGAATCATACCGATGACTGAAGCCAAACAAGATTTAATTGAATTATCAACAAATCCTTTAGATGAATGGATAAATACACATTATGATGAACTGTGTGCAGGTATGACGTGTAAAAATGCTCTATGCTGCAAACCATCAGACATGAAAGACAAAAACTTTCAAATGAGCATTAAGGATAAATGTGATAGGAAACAGAGAAGAATAGATGGTAAACAAACATGGTGTTATGTTTTGAAAGAAGAAATGAAAGGATTATATAAACAGGTTGAACCAAACGATAATGAGGATTCATTTACTGATGATGAAATACCTGTAAATGAAGCTTTATAAAGTATGATTTGAATTTATTTTTGCATTAATCCTGCTGTGATGTCTAAATGTCATGTTGTCATCATTTTTAAGAGAAGTTAATTAACCAGGTGACACATGGTGACGTGGTGACACCTTCAGTTATTCAAAAATAATTCATAAATGCCTTCCTCCTTTCGTACCTGTTGTCTAAATGTCATGTTGTCATCATTTTTAAGAGAAGTTAATTAACCAGGTGACACATGGTGACGTGGTGACACCTTCAGTTATTCAAAAATAAATTTTCTTATAAAGCTTCAGGGTCTATTTCCTCAATTACTTCACTTCCTTCTTCATCATATTCAATCGTTGCTTCCTCAATTACTGGTAGGAGCTTATTGATTATATCTTTATTCGTTATTGTCTTCAGAGATGAAGGATAATATTTCACAACTACTTCACCTGGAGGGCTCTTTGAGTCCATCTCGGCGCCTTGCGCCTTCTTGAATTCTTTCTGCTGCGATAAATCTAAAACAATGCTGAAAAATTCAACGTTAGAGTTCTTCATAATCGTATAATGTGTATCTTTGATATTTACAAATATTCCTTTCTGTTTAAGTAATACTGCTATTTCATGTGGTGTGTAACGTTTTCTGTCAATAATGATAGCGTATGGTTTAACGAACTGACCGTATTTAGATTCTTTCACAGACTTTTTATTGAATATAACGTTCACGTTTTTTCCATTTATGAATTCACCCTTAACAGCAGTAGCGAGAGCATTGTATGAATAGAACTTGTACTCAGACATTATTTTATTAAAATTAAAAATATAAATTATTTAAAAAAATTAAGTTTATTTTTAAATTATATTTTTTACGGAAAATTTTTTTTATTTTCCATAAAAGATGTATAAAAAGCTATCTAGATTAGACCATGAAGAAATTAAGAAGTTATTGAAGAATGCTGACATTGAAGTTAGCAAAAGATATGCGACTAACAAATCTTCATTAGCTAAATACCTCAATGATTACAGAGGTGCAGTTACTTACGAGAAAATTAATGATTACATTAATAACAAAACATTTCCTTTAAATGATGTTCAGGTTAATTTATATCATAAACAATCAGTACCGAAGGAAGTAAGAAAAGAAATGTATGATATGATGAATGTTGATGTAGGAAGGACAAGGACAGCAGTACCGAAGGAAGTTAGGCAGGAAATGCACGATATAACTAATGTGGATGTAGGTGAAACGAGAAAGAAGAAAAGAAAAATATAGCTGTAAAGTATGCAAAAGCAATTGCACAATTACGCAAAGCAAACGAAGTAATTAAATCTATAGATGATAAAGCTCTTGATGGTGAGAAATGGTTAAAGAAGGATGAAAATAATAAACGCAAAAATGTTAAAGCAGGAAATAGAATCATAGATTTTAACATTAAAGAACTCAATGAAGAAAACAGAAATTACCTACATGAACGTTTCGGTAAAATGTTTATTAGGCTTCTGCAGAAGATAAAAGTAAATTGCAGCAAAAATGGATGATTTGTTATAAACTTGATGGTAAATTTACTAATTCAACATTGAACATCGAGAACATCGGAGCTTTACTTCATCAGTTAAAGCAAGAAAACTTTATAACAGAGATTGAAGCAAACGCAGCTGGAATAATTGAAAAACATTATGATTTCTTTATGACAAATATTAAGAACCTCGAAGAAATTAAAATGTATGATTTAACTGAATATGAAGGATTAACGATGAGCGATATTAAGAAAGGTAAGCCACAGAAGAGAGAAAAAAGAGATGAAAGCAAATTATCAAAAGACCAGAAAGAAATTTTAGAGGCGTTAAAGCAAACAGGAAACCAAAAACTAATTGATACTTTCTGGAGGGATAATGGTGAAAAGAGAACAAATAAAAAGAGAAGTGGTGAGTTTTGGAAATATCTTTGCAGATTACCTATAAATCTTGAACGTTATCAAATTTTCAATGAACTTAACAAAAGAACTGCAAAATTGATGACAGAAGATAACTGCTTCGTTTATGCTTGCATTCAGGCTGGAGTTGATGAGCAGACGGTAGACCACATGCGTGAAGTTATTAGAGTTAGAGATTTTCCACAAAGTAAGATTCAGGAAATTTCTAACGCAACTGGCATAGCATTTAATGTTACCATTGGTTATTTCGATAATTCAAAAGATAATAAGACAGTTCATTATACACCATCAAAGCCGCAAAGCGGCGAGACCGAAGGTCACACAGAAATAAAGAAAACAATCGATTTATTACTCGTTGAAGACCATTACATGTTAAATGAAAGATTACCTATGACAACATATTTTATCATAAATTATAACGAAATTCTCAAATCATTAGGCGGCTGGAATATAGAACGTCAAATGAAAATATATAAGAAAAGGGAAAATAGATTTGTTATTGATTCTACGCGAACAACTCCTTTATGGGATATTTTGAAAACATTAAGAGAGTGCAATTACTTTGAACCGTTATCTTATGGTGAACTTTTCACTTATACAACAGATTTATATAAACAAAAACTTGCACCGTTTAAAGATTTAAATTATACCCCGAACTACTGTGTTCAGTTAAAGAAAAAGTCTGAAAGTAAAGATAGTGATAAATCAAAACAAAAATTCATTCCTGAACACATTTTCTTCGCTGACTTTGAATGTAGCACTGATGGAGTTCATAAAGCCTTTAACATTTGTTATGATAGTGAAGATGGAAAGATTAGCGAAAGCATTTGGGGTCAAAATTGTGCAACAAAATTTTTAGAAAGAATTCCTGATAAAAGTTTAATATATTTTCATAACCTCAGTTATGATATCAATTTCATTTTAAGACATTTAACAGAAATTAGCGGAACACCAATTATTAAGGGTTCTAGAACAATGCAGATAACGGGAATATATAAAGGTAAAGCAATCATTATTAAAGATTCATACACTGTTATAAATAAGAAGCTTAAACTATTTCCTGAAATGTTTCATTTGCAGTGTGGTGAAAAGGAAGTATTTCCGTATCAATATTATTCAAGCTCTTTATTAGTTAATGATAACAAAACTGGCGTAATTTCTGAAGCGTGTAAGTTTGTAAAAGATATTGAAACGTTCATGAAAAACATAGATTTAATCGAAAACTGCAGAATAGATGAAAACCATTTCGATTTAGAAAAATATAGCTCATTTTATTGCAAACAGGACGTAAGGATTTTAAGAGAAGGTTTTGTTAAGTTCAGAAATGATATATTAAAAGAATTTGATTTAAACGTTTATGATTACGTTAGCATTTGTTCAATTGCTAATAAACTTTTCGAAAACAGAGTATATTTCCCGAATGGAAATTTATATGACCTTTCAAATAAACCAAGAGAATTTATTTCACGCTGTATTCAAGGTGGAAGATGTATGTTAGCTGATAATAAGAAACAAAAGAGCGAAAAGAAACTCATTGCTGACTTCGATGCTGTTTCATTATATCCATCCGCTATCGCGAGACTTTATACTTTAGAAGGAATTCCAAAGGTTATGAAGAAAGAAATGTTAAACAGTGAATATTTGTTAAAACATTTATTCGATGATGACCAGGGCGAGCCTGAAGGTGAGAAATTCATTTCTGGATTCTTTGTTTTAATAAAAATAACCGAGATTAAGATTAAAAGGCACTTTCCATTAATAACAGTAGATCCAGAATTAAACCCGGAGCTAAAGGTTCCAAGAAGTTCTAACACATGCTGTTTAATGTATGTGGACCACATAGCTTTGCAGGATTTAATAAAATATCAGGGCATCAGCTGCGAAGTATTACAGGGTTACTACTACGATGAAAAAAGAGATTTTAGAATAAGAGATGAAGTTAAGAAATTATTTGAATTGAGATTAAAGTATAAGAAGGAAGAAAATCCGCTACAAGAAAATATTAAATTAATTTTGAACAGTATTTATGGAAAAACTATTTTGTCCCCGATAGAGTCGAAAATTAAAATCATTGATGATAAAGATGCTGTTAGGTATGCCATCAGAAATTATAACCATATCATTAAATTTGAAGGTTTAGATGGTTCGGATAAAACTATTTTCAAACTAACTAAAAGCATTTGCAGACACTTTAACTTTTGCCCTTAGGTGTTAATATCTTATCTATGTCGAAACGTATCATGAATGAAGTATTTTGCACGATTGAAGACTTAGGATTAAAAGCATTTTATCAGGATACAGATTCGATGCACATTTACAATGAAGACATACCAAAACTCGCTGCAGAGTTTAAGAAGAGATATGGTCGCGAACTTATTGGAAAGAATTTAGGTCAGTTCCATTCCGACTTTGCAGAAATCACAAAAGATAAACAAAGTTTAGCTTACAAGTCGATATTTTGTGGAAAGAAGACTTACATTGACTTACTCACTAATGATTTAAATGAAGTTGCATTTCACTGCAGAATGAAAGGCGTAAAACAAGATGTTATAGCTTTAACAGCAAATGAAATGTTTCCTGAAGCAGTTAAATGCGTTTATGATGAAGATAAAGGATTAATGATTCCTCAGGGAAAATATGATAAAGATAGTGAGTTTTCAGTTATGAAATTATATGAAGCCCTTCACGATGGTCAGGAAATCGCATTTGATTTATGCAAATCAACAGCACCCTGTTTTGAAGAGAAGTTTAACTTTTCAATAACGACTAAAAATACTTTCATAAGGAAATTAAAGTTCTGAAGTCATTTATGATATAATATATTTTTATCGTTCAAGACAAAAATAAACTTTTCATATTAAATTATGTAAGCGTTTGAATTTACTATACGTAATGCATGTTCTTTTTCCATTAACATCATAAACGTTAACATATAATGAACCATTTATGTTTTCATTAATGTATAGTTCTTTATACTGACGACCGTTATAATAATAAAACAAATCTGCATGATGTCGTAAAATAAATCCTCAAATTCATGATTTCCATAATGTGAAACAGTAATTGAATTTTCACTGATTTCATCAACGAAATTATATTCTACTCCATTTGCTTTACTTCTATTTCTATTATTTGTAGAACTTGAACACCAATGTAGATTATCAATCTTATTATTATTTCTAACTTTATCGTAATGGTCAACTTCCCCAAAACTACCAGGATTATCAATCCACTGAATAGCTATTAATCTATGCTTAAGATATTTTTTACCGTTAAGGGTTAATCTTATATATCCATTCTTTTCTTCATACTCACTGACAGTCTTTCCGTTTTTCTTTCTTCTTATTTGATACGGATATTTTGTGTTAATTTCGTAATCTTCATCAGCAACTAATGTTTCCCAGTTATTATTTTCCATCGTTTTATAAAAATAAAAAAATCAGAAAATTAAAAATTAACTACATTTATTTTTTTACTCTTCACCTCCATCAGCAGCTAAATTATAATCATCAATTCTAACAGCAGGAATGCCAGCTGGTCTGACTTGAATAGCGAAACAAGCATTTCTAAGAAATCCTAATAAAGGTTTGACAGTGTATTTTTCGCTTATATTTGTATCATCAGCTTTAACACCTAATTTATATGTAATTGGTGCCGTTGATGTTTGACCCTGTTGAAATGTGAAATCAGTTTCCGTAGGGAATCCACAGAGGAAATGAGTGTTATCGTATGATTCATATAAATGTTTAACGCTTCCATCATCAATTAACGACCTCATCACATCTTCATTAAATCCTATCATATCGTTATTTGTATTGCATGCATTAGCAACCATTTCATAGAACACAGGACCATAAGAGCTTCTGGTTCAGCTGGCATACTTCCATAAGCGCCCATTGATAATTGAAGGGTTTCAAATTGAGGATTTTCGAAATTCACGATATAATTATCATTCTTCCTAAATAAAGCCCAAATGCTTTTAACGTTAATTGGTGTATAAGCTGCTGTGAAAGTTGCTGATGGTGAACCTTTACTGAACGAACCGTCCATAGGAATCCAGTCCATTACTTTAATTGGAAAACATAAAGCTTGTGATGTATAATGATCGACTAATTCAGTGTAAATATTTGGATCGAGTGAAAATGCTTTAGGATGAATGAAGCAATCAATGAATTCAGCTGATTTCTTCGTTAATCTTTGTTCAACTGTTGAAACAGTAATTTCACCATTTGATTTGAAACTGCTGTTATCATATTGAATGGTTCATTCCATGGAACAAATTTATTAGTTGGTGGGTCATAATTATCTTTTACCTGACTGATTAAAGAAGGATTATGAGCTAAAATATCTTCTACCGGCAGTGCTGTTACCTGGAATGCATCGCTACTAAATTTAACCTTTAACTGAATGTTGCCTGCAAAAGCAGGAATAAATCTAATAACTTCTAGAATAAGGAATTTACGACATGGAATCTTTATTTTAATGTCAAAATTAATTTCAGCTCCTGCACTAAAGGTCCTGAGATAATTTGACCTGTTCGAACTGTTCCAGAACGTTTCCATACATCTTTATGTCTCGTTTTTGAGAAAACATCAACTTTCTTTATTTGTTCTGTAGTCTGTGAATTAGAAATGATATATGCTTCTTCTCTTGCGTTATCCTGACTATAAATAACTCTTCCATTTGCTAATAACTGATATGCTTCAATGGTGTAAATTGATTCATCAAAAACGCCAAAGAAACCTGGAGAATTAGTATTTGGAATTGATGAGCCAGTAATAGCATTATCCAGGATATATTTACTTTTATAGGTAGTTGTAAGGAATGTGTTATAAAGGTCTAGCATATTTTCACCTGGCGGAGATAAATTGAATGTGACCCAGTTATGATCCTTTGCGCTTCCTGGTTGTGATGGAATTTTTGCATCGATATATCTTCTATTAGTATCACCAATATTAATTGCATTATCGATTACATCAAAATATGAACGAATTTGATGGATATGTTCAGCTGGTGTAAATTCGTTAAGCTGTTCGTTTTGCATGTTTTATGTTAGATAAAAATATTTATTTAGTTTAATATTCTAACTCTTCTTCTTAGTTGAGGAATTTGTTTCTTTTGTTCAATAATTTCATGTTTTACGTTTTTCACAAACTCTTCATTAATTTTGGTTTCCTGCTCTTTTACTGGTGGGTCTGGATTTTTTGATTCCGTTTGCTTTTCAATGAAATTTACAAATTTAGCTATTAATTCTTGATTCGTTATCGAAAGTACATCGGGTTTAGGTTCTGGTTTAGATTCCGTTTCCTTTATCGTGGGCTTTGTCCTGACAGCCTCACTGTCTTCCGCTTTTGTTTCAAGTTTAGGTTTTATATCTATTTTATCAGTTTCCGAATTCGTTAATGGAACTCGTCTTTTTCTTACATAAATTTTTCCATCTTTACTTGTTGATACATAATATAATGGATGCTGAATTCCTCTTGCATCATTTAATATAATCGATTGTCTCTCAGATTTTGATAGGCTCATATTTAATTCAAATAAAATTTTTAAATTTTGAATTTTTTATCGGTAATCAAATGAGTCAGGGATTAGATATTGAAGCCATCAAAAAAGAAATTCGTGAGCAGATATTAACAGAACTAAAGACACCTAAAGCCGAAGAAAAACCAGTAAAACCAAAAAGGAAATTAAGTGAAAAGCAGTTAGCCGCATTAGCTGCAGGAAGAGAGAAGAACCCGAGAATGAAAGCAAAAAGAGAACGTGAGGCTAAAAAGCTGAAAAGGAAAAGGCTGAAGAGGCTCATTGAGCCTCATGAGGGTCGAAGACCCTTTTCCATTGAGAAGAAAGAATAAATGATATATTTTTGTTTGTAATAAATGTATAGACAAGTACCTTTAACAGTTGCTTTCAGTTCTGAAAACGAAAATGCCAAAATAAATGGAAATAGAATTCCATTTAAATTACCTATTGACTGGCTGTGAATATAAATGAAAAATATATTGGTTTATCAAATATGTATATAACGCGAGGATTTAGAAAGGTTGAATTTGAGCTTGAAGTTGTTGTTATAAACGATACACAAGAATTTAAGCAAACTATTCACATATATAAATATTTCAAAGATGATACAACATTATATGAATGCATGAATGATTTTAATGAAATTTTCGAAAAGAAATTTAACAAAAACGCTTTAGGATTAAATGTGTATCTTGATAAATTAGGTGAAGAAGGAATTCATCCGCAGATTATAGACTTTCATTATGAATTTATTGAACAAATAGATGATTCACATACATGCACATTTGTTATATACTCGCCGTTTAATGAAGTAGCAGAAAAGAGACAAAGTGATTTTAGGATAGGTTTTAAAATTTCTCAGTATAATGAAGACTTCATGAATGTATTTAATTATAAACCCGGAGAAGAACGAATAGTGTTATCACCAATAATAACATATAATGTATGGGACAGAAAACAAGTCATATATTCAAATATCGCTAAAGGGGTTGAAAATGAATTTATCGGTCATACTAGAGCATCACCATTAACAAATATTAAATATTATAAGTTATCAGGAAATAATAGAGAGTTTTGGATTGATATGTATTCTACACACGATCATAAATGCCCCGTTGTGTTACCCGAAGACGGAAAGGATGTTTTCTTCCTTGAGGCTCAGTTACTGAATTCAACTATCGCAACTTTATAAGAAAATTCACAAGGTTAGAAATGAGGTTAGATATCGGGTTAGATCTACCCTAAAATTAATTTTATCATTTATGAAAAATTTAGTATATACAGAAATTAAAAAATTTTTGGGTTAATTTATTTTTAAGTTTATTTTTTTACTCTGGGTGTAAAAATCTATGATAAAAAAAATAAATAAAAAAATTTTAACGTTTATTTTTAAGTTTATTTTTAAAAAATTATTTTTTTTTATTTTGTAAATGTCAAAAATTTTAACGTTTATTTTTAAGTTTATTTTAAAAAAATTATTTTTTTATTTTGTAAATGTCAAAAAATTTACATGTCAAACGGTTTTTGTAAATTCTAGTAATTTGGGGTCCGAGGGGCGTAGACCCTTGGTACCGAATTACTAGATACTAACTATCCCTTCTGAATTTGTTAAACAGTATGACATCAGTCCATCAACTGAATTCTTTCAAATTGCAGGATCCTGCATTCCTAATCGAGGAAAATTGCATATTTTTGGTGGTCATGATTATTTTGGCTATATAAATCAAATTCATGACAGAAAAAAATTAGAACAATTAGAAGGATGCTACATAAGTTTCGAAATTTTCGAAGATAAGCCTAAAATTGAAGTTGATACAGTTCCATCAATTAGATTTATCGGATCTTCATGCGCATACATACCAGAATTCGAAACAGGAGTCTTATTTAGTGGCTTCTGTGAAGATTTTTCACAGAATTCATCTCAAGATTCTTTTCAGTATGCAGAAAATACCGGATATTACGGAAAATATTTAATTAATTACAAATTTAACGAGAAACTATGCAAAGATAACATCGAGAAATACTGCATGGATGCTTATAAGCCAGCTTCTCGTGCTTTCCATGCTGTTGCGTGGGATTCTGACAGATGGAATCGAGCAAATGATATTTTTTGCTGCAAATACAATTTGTTGCAATAACACTTCTATCAATTTTTACAATCTCCTTGAAATTGAAGAAATGAATCCATTTGATTTTTTTTATTTCTCAATTCAATATAAAGAGATATTAAATTGCGATGATTTTCCAAAAGTTACAGAAGTAATCACAGGTTTAATCTCAGCTTCAAATATTAATGCTATTATGCGAATTTGCCAAAAAAATTTGGATAAAATTACATTTTATAAATGTAATTATTGCCATATTACCTCAATATGGAATTTTATCACAAATGCAGCAATAATTCTTCCTGATGAAGATTTATTAATCAAATTATTAAAATTCATAGAAAAAACAGAAAAAGCAACAGATGAATTATTCGAACCGGAGAATGATTTGGGTTTCTATGAATATTTAAATTCGATTTTCTCAGATATTACATCTGCGAGAAATAAGCAATTTCTCTTGGAATTTCTAAATACCCATGAAGATGACTTCACTTATGATCAAACATTGTGAGGTCATTTTTGATCAACAAATTAATTGAAATTCCGATCAAAAAAAAATTCACAAATTGGATCAAAAAAATCGAATCTCAAGTTAAAAATAAAAAATTTCTACATTTTTATCAAATTTAGATTTTTTTTCAAATCATGCGAATTGATTGAATAATTGCATATTTTATCCCATGCATCTAGAAGTATGTGTAATATTTTTGCTTTCATCAAGAAATTGTCGAATTTGATCTTAATTTTTTTTTGAAAAATATACTTTTAGAAAAAGAAATAGTAATTGAATAGCTGCCCATGCTGTAAAAGGGTTATTTTTACAAGTAAAAAAATTGTTATTTTTCGAGCAAGTCGAGGCTTTTTTACCATCTTATTTTTGAAAAATTTACGAAAAATTATATCTGAAAAAACGCTTCATTTTGATATCTTACAATGATAAAATACCAATGTTGCTGGGATATAATAGCTACACCTGGACATCTACTACATTAATGCGTATGACAGGTAAAGTTGATTTCAAAAGTATAGCCTGGAAAGATTACAATAAATCAACGATAATTCAAAAAAAATTCTTATAAGTTAACATAATAAAAATTTAATTTTTATATTGCTTGTATTATACTTAAGTATATAATATATTTAAATCTTAGAATGAAAATTCGGGACGCCCTAGCTATTCAATTTTCCCTTAGGACGCCCATAAACCTCTCAAAAATGTGATGTAAATATCACAATTTTGAGAAATTTACACTAGGACGCCAACCCCCTTTTTTACCGATAATAATGGAAAAACAGCTCTTGATTATGTCAAATTGATTAAAAATAAAGGAATGATTGAGCTTCTTATTTCGCATGGTGTGAAAAAATAATGTTCCTACTTTAGATCCTATTTTTTTTCCTTTTTCTTATATAAAACGATTTTTATCTGCCACCTATTAATTTTTTATCACATTTCCTCACTTTAGATAAAGCATGAATTGAATAACCTTAGCATAATTATATGCATTCTAATTCAAATTTACATCTTGTATACATTTAATTTATTAGTTGTTGTCAATGTTAATATATGGCTTAATACTTAATATTTATTGATTCGGCTCATTGCATAATATGATCATCACGAGAATAAAAAAAAAATAGAGCTAAGTGGGCGGTTGGAACCCTTATTAATATAGTTTCTTTTAATGAAGAGTTTTACAGAGAAAACAGAGTTATTTACGTTACAAACATGGTATTTTAATGCGAGAATGTGAATAATTCTGCAAGAATTTCATAGAGAGAGCCAAATCCGAACGAATCCGAGGCCGAACATTGATGTTACCAACACGAATGCTGAGTCAAAGTTGTAAAACATGAGTGCAATTGAAAATAAAAATAATTCGACTTCCAGAGTTTGTCTTGGATTCTTCCAAAGTAGTCTGCGATCGAAAGATGACTTGAATACCTCGAAACTGCCAAGAATCTTCTTGAATCTCTTACGTAACTGCTGATCCAACTCTTTCATCTTCTGTTTGATGTTCTTTGCGTCTTTAGAGAAGAAGATCTTAATACCACGGTTGAGAATAAGTATAAATACAGTGGAAGAAACGAAAAGTCCGAATGGAACTATAATTAAAAGTAAATTAAAGGTCAAAATTAAGCCAACAAAGGTATGACCTTTAAAATAATAAACTCTTCAGGAGAAAGAAAATCCATTTTTTGTCAAAAAATCGGCATCCAAAAAGATTTTGATTGACATTATAGGCAAATTATATTTGAATTCTTAAACACACATAAACTTTTTTAGATTGGAATGATATAAACACGAATTTTCTTTTTTTCAAATTAAAATTAGTCAATTTCCTACATTTTACTTTAAAAAATGATTGTATTTTTGTGTTTATCAAATCTATTATCTATAAATTAAGAATTTCCGCTAAATTTATTGAATCTCAAAATCTTTCAAAATTTATTACTACTGTTTCAGAAAATCATAGTATTAGATCTGTAAATATAAAATTGATCATTCTTAAAGTTCTAGTAATAAGCAAAGAATTGGATTTTGTTAATTAATGAACCACTTCTTAAGGTTCATTCGCGTTTAAAAGCACACTGAATAATGATCGTTTTGTTTGATTTTAAGAGCTATCTTCTACATTGAAAAATTGCTGCAGCAATAATAGGGACAAATAACTATTCAACTTGTTCAGAATCATTCCAATTAATGTATCATTGCAACTTATCAAGGTTTTGTCTTAGTTAGAACTTAATAAAAATTTGCAAAAAATATACCATTTGAAACCTAAGCACTTAATAGTATATATAGATTTTGATATATTTATCAATAAAAAATACCAAAAAATTGGATAGATAGCCAGAAAAAGTGGATCAAAACTAAAATCTTGGAAAGGTCAAAAAAAACCTATTTTTGACCAATCTTGGAAAGGTCAAAAATTTATTGAATAAAAATTATGGCTTCGAAAAATGCGCGTAATATTGGTTTGATCATCCTTAAAAACCTCGGATTAACTGATGAAGAAGCAGAAGTACTTGAAAATCAGAAGCCAGAGCAAATAAATACTATTTTTGCAAGAGATCAATCTGGACTTGGCTATAAGAAGCTATCTACTAACTATGCAGCCGAAGCTAACAACGTTTTTGCAAGAATATCAGCTAAAATTGCAAATGATAATAAAGATCAAGTCAAAACGTGCATAGCATCAACAGCAACAAAAACTCATCAATTTATACCCCGCAGATTACAAAAGAAATCAATTGGTTCTTTATCTAATGAAGATTTGGCTACAATTCTTTCAGAAGTAGCCCCTACAACTGCTCAAACTTCTCAAATTACGACATCAACTCCAGAAGAGCCAGCAAAGCGTAAGAGAAGGCATCACCATCACCATGCAACCGAAGAACAGTAGATTTTGTACTTATTATAGAGATTGTTAATAGAGAATAAATTAATTTAATATAATTCTTCTCAATTTTTGTTGTTAAATAGAATAATGATTAGAAAAAGATAAATACAAACAATTTAATTAAATTTCACTTACTTCAATATGATTTCTTGCAAATATGAGTTAATTTTTCAAATTTTCTATTTCACTAATCAAACTTAAGCTTTTCTCCTTGAATTTCGCTGAAATCCTGTTGCAAGTTAATGCAACCAATATTAAAGGACGCAAGCCTATCATATAAGATTCATCCATTGAAGTAAAATCGTATGTTGATGTATATCCATCATGAGTTAAATGATCTATTATTGTTGGTAATTCTTCTGGCTTTGTCGTTAAAGGAATATTTAATATTTTGCAAATATCTTAAAAAACTTGCAGTAATACTACATTACTGGATTTACTCAACGATTCTATTAGTATTTTATTTTCTTTAGTCAACTGGTCAATCACTTTTCGGCTTTCAGATTGTTGTTCTGAAATTTGGATTTTCAAATTGGATATTTCTTCGTTTTTTTTCCTCTAAATCGTGTTGGAGCTTTTGTATTGCAGGCGTAATGTTTGATTCAAGCGAAAAAGTTTTGGATGATAGATTCTGAATTTGATTTAACAAATCTTGATTTTTTTCGATGAGCTGTTCATTTTTTGACGCTCATTTGATATCTGTAGCTGATATTCCTGGTTTGGTGATGTTGCTATTTTATTATTTTGGATTTGTAATTGAATATTTTCATTTTGAAGATTCTTAATCTGAGACTGTAATGAGCTATTAGCATTTAAAAGTTGCCGGTATTGATCGTATTTAATCATGTTTATTTGATTATTTTTTAAATCATTATATTGTGATTGTAAAATTGATATTGTTGATTGTAATTCGGAATTCTTTGAAGATAAACTATCAATTTAAGATGTAAATGATGCAATTTCTAGCTCTTTCGATGCTCTATAGTCTTCAGTTTCTTGAAAATATTTACAAATAGTATTTTTAGCAACAGAAATTGAGTTTACTGGTAAACTCGTCTGTTTTTCAATGATGTCATAAAAAGATCGGAGTTCAGTATGCAATTTTGAATGAAGATTTCTTTCTTCAAATAAAATCTGGCGTAATTGAATTCCCTTAGTAATTTCAATCTTGAACAAGTCATGTAAAGCAATAAGTGCTTTAAATATTTGAGATTTTTCAAATTTATCTTTGTGTTCTTCAATGAAATTCTCAATAGTTCGGCAACTCTGCTTTATTCCATCAAAATCTTCATTTGATTCAACAGAAATATTGTAGGATGTACTTGAATCAGGGTAAATTCCATAATTCAAATTCATTGCGACCGTTTATTTATTTTCCACTTTCAAATTTTACTTATATGAAGGATCTAACATGAGACTTTCAGTAGCATACTTACATTGTATACATGCACCTGTGTTGTTCCAGACTAATCAATGAACATATTTGTTTTGTGAATTATATAGTTTAAATAAAAAATAAATCTTTAACAAATAAAATAAAAATATATATGTATATAAAATAAATTATATTGGAGTGGAGAGTAACAAAGCTGCTCCACGAAGGATCCAGAATTGTGGATCTTCTTTGACAGGGAAGTGGACTGAGACGACAAAGTTTGTTGACAAACCAGTAGAACTCAAAACACCAGCTCTTACTTGTGTTCTGTAAACAGGGCAAGCGAAATCAGTTGCTGGCATTACATAGTGTTGTTGTGGAATCAAGTGAATAACAGGTGCAGGAGCGTAAGTTGTACCAACCTTTGGATCTTTCATAATCTTTGCAGATGAATCCCAATCAGCACCATCGAAGAACATTCCGTAAATGTAGACACCGTCTTCTGGCTGAGAAGAGATTGCGTCTGGTGACAATTGTATTGTTTCTGTCTTGAATCTCAATGTGTTGACAGGAACTTTGTGTTTTCTTGAATAAGCCTGGAGAATTCCTGTCATGAATGACTGCGGGAAGAAGAAACCTCCGATCCAGAATGCAGGTGGTTCTCCTTTTGTTGCCCATGTCTTGATGAAATCAACTCTTTTAACAAGATCGGCAACCCACGAAATCAATGGTTTCATCGATGGATAAGCGGCTTGTGACCAAATATGAGGAACTTTTCCATTGTTGAACGCTGTGTACATCTCTGAGAGTGCGTCGTTCATTACGACTAAGCCTTTCACAGCTTTGATCAAGTTGTCGACGCTTTCTCTAACAACTTTCAACAACCTGTTGTATCTGATGATTTCCTGCCTCAAAACAACGTGTAATGATGTCTCGACTTCTGGTTCTTTGTAGACTAAATCTATAGGAATCTCCGCTTTGATCTTCTCGGCTTGGTCGATGACGAACTGGTCCTGTCTGGAGCCACTCGCGCCTCCAGAAACGCGTGGCTGTACACCGAGCAAAGCATTGACGAAATCGTTTGACTGAGCTGTTTGTGCGGACATTTGAGCGTTGATATGTAAACCGAAAATTGTTGGTGGATCTGTCTTTGGATACTCTTCAATCTGCTGGAGAACGCTGTTGTATCCTCTGACTGTTGGAGCGTTGAAAAGATTTGCTTCATCGTATGTGCACGTTTCATTCAACAGCTTCTTGTGGATGATGTTTGAAAGATGTGCAAGCAAACAACGGCGATCCCAGTCATCAGTAACTCTTCCACCGTAAGCAATCTGTCCGACGAGGTAATTAAGAGCTTTCCACTGGATTTCCTGGCCTTCGACCATGAGTGAATTCATCATCAAAGTGGCCATTCTGTAGTCAGAATCAGACCACTCGTAAATGATGTTCCATCCCAAAGGACCGAACTTCTTTCTCTCCTGGATCAAAGAAGCGAAGAAAGCCAAGCCAACGCAGAATCTCTGTGCTGTTGTGCTCATTGCGTCGAAGAAATATGGATCAACGCATGTAGACATCAACCTGCTGACATTCAATGATAAACCACGAGGAGGTTCTGAAGTGACTTTCACAGATTCCTGGAGAACGGAGAATGGGAAATCAGGTGTTGGCATTGAAGACAAGAACAATCTGAAGTTCTGATGTACTTCTTTAGGTTTAGATCTGATCTCTCTCAGCATGTCACCCAATGTTGGAAGCCATGAAGCGTAGAGGTGGCAGTTTTGCAAGAAAACCCAGTTTCCTGTGATTTTCGCGTTCTTTATCAACTCAACAGCGATTGGACCTTGTCCTTGGCCGAGAGAAAGAGGCTGCAACTTGGCCTCGCTCTTGTCTGAGAACTGTCTGAGAGCTGGAAGAGGATCTGCACCTTGTGAAAGGATGAATACCAAAGGAATTGGTGGTTTAGTGTCTGCAAATGCGGAAGGAATTGAGAGATCAGGTGGTTGAGCGTAATTTTGTCCTTTTTCGGAAACAATGAATTGTATTGTTCCCAAAATTAATTTTCTCGGACAAGCAGTTGCAATCAAAAGAATTCTCTCGAAGTTAGTCAACTGGTCGTATCTCGCAGGTAATTTGAGACTTGACTCGCTGATGAAGAACTCAGAGAAATCGTCGAAATTCGATTTGACGTCGTTTGCGAAATCTTTGAGTTTTTCAACGTATTTTCCAATTGCAACAATTTTACGCCATGTCATCAAATTGATGGAATCATCTGGAGGAGAAACCTGGTCTTCAGGTGGTAAATCACTTGGTCCTCTGACGAACAATTCCCACTGTTCAGTGCTGATGTTTCCTTCATCTCTCATCACAGAAGTTATCAACAAAAATGAATAGAAAATTTGGTGTCTTGCGAACAAACCGCGAGAAACAGCGCAATAAGTTCTGTATGTGATTAACTCAATGAGATCGGACAATCTCTGTTCAATTGTGTCTGCTTTGTACGGTGTTTGGATGCAGTTAATGAACAAGTTCTTGAAGAACTCAAGGGAGTATTGATACATCGGATCAACACCTGGCAAATCAGGTAAAGTGAAGAATAATGTTGAACCTCTTTGTGCAACGCCTCTGTAGACTTCGCAGAGTTCTTTGTTTTGTTTTTCTGATACTTCTGCCTCTTCTAATCTAGCTGTAACTGCTTTAGCTGTTGCTTTAGCTTCTTGCAAAGCTACAATTAATTCTTCGTTATCCAAAATGTTTCCTTCTGATTTGAAGAGAAGCTGCAAAATCTTCTTCATTTGCTGATCCAATGTCTTCTTGTTCTGTGCGATTTCTACAACTAATTTGGCTCTCGCTGCTTCTACTTCTGGTTTCTCAAGCTTGACAACATCTGTCAATAACTGCTCGACCAAACCATTTGGAGTAACAGCGAAATTGATCACAGACATTTGGATGAAGACATCTGGCATGAAAACAGGGTTTCTGTATTTAGTGACTAACACGAGTTTGAAGTTTGGATCGTAATCAATTTCTCTGCCATCGAGAACGATCTTCTTGTTTCCTGCAGGTCCTTTTCTGAACTGCGGACTCAAGATTGACTTCAAAGCCGGGTCAATTGTTTCTCCAACACCTTCAACAATGACAGGAGTTCCCATTTTGATGGCGTTTTCTATTGTGATTGACATCTTGGAGTCTCCTGGTCTGATGATCTGCAAACCATTCTCTTCATTGATGGCGCAGAACCATCTGAAGCCTTGTTCTTGTGGATCAATCAACAGAGGCCATCTTGTACATTGTGTGACCAAGATACCGTTTTCTGTACTGAGATTGTCTGAAGGAAGTCCTGCAATTCTCCAATCTCTGATCAACATTGGATCTCCTGCAGCTGATTCGAGAGAGAAATCTTCCGTGAATGGAATTTCAACAGATTTGATGATCTCCTTCATTTTCTCGAGTAAAGAAACTCTGTAACTTGGAGGGAATGGTCCGAAATAGGACAAGTTCAATGCAATCAAGAATGTATCACCAACAATGTTTGCAGCCAAGCTGTTGAGTGTTTTGAGGGATTCAGACCATCTTCCGAGTTCATCATTAAGAGCTGTTGTGAGTTTAGAAGCGTTATCAAGTCTCAATTGTGTCCTGTTGATTTGAGCTTGTAACTTCTGTTGCTGGTCTAATGATGCCTGGAATCTTGCTCTCAAATCATTGTATTTGGCCTCTAAATCATTCAATTCTGCGACTTTTTCAGCCAATTGAGCCTGAGCTTGGTCTCTTGTCTCTTGTGCTTCAGCGCATTTCTTTTCTAATGGTTCGATTTCTCTTCTGACTCTGATGAAATCGTTGATGGCGATGACCCATCTGCAGAGGCAAGAAGCAGCTCCTGATTGCTCAGCAACTAACTCGACTTTGAACTCTGGATCTTGTAGATACGGCTGGATTTTTGCGAGGTCTTGGTCAGTAATGTTTTGGTTGTGTAATTCACTGAGAATTGTCATGTTGTTTGGCTTTGAAAGGAATGTTTGCGCTCCTTTCCAATCTGTTGGGAATCCTGTTAATGAGCATACAGCGCTGAGAACTAATTTAACTCTACTTGGTGGGTTCTTGTATGTTTTAACTGCAGCCAATTCACCTTTCTTTGATTTAAGGAGTTCGACAGCTTCCATTGCTGATTTCAACATTGGAAGAATTGCATCTCTTTCTGCTGCAGCCTTTGTTGCCAACACTTCTGCAACATCAGCTTTCTTTTGAACTTCGACTTTCTCTGTTTCGACTGTTGCTTTCTTTTCTTCCAAAACTTTCTTGTCGCCTTCCAATTCTTTGAGAAGTTTCTCGACTTCCACAGCGTGAACTTCTAACTGTGGTTTCAATGCGACTAACTCTTGTTCCATTCCTCCTACGACGCTATTTGTTTCTTCGATCTTTGATACACCACGTTTAAGCATTGATTGCTCTTCTTCGAGTTTCTTTTGACGCTTTCCAAGTGATGTACCAAATGCTTTCATGAAATCGATGTAAGCGGCAGGAGTTACGTAATAAAGTCTTCTTACTTGCTGCATCATTTCATCAGCTGTTGTTGTAACTGCTGTATGACATTTTCCTGCAGCTGTTGCGAGCTTTTCTTGGATTCCTTCTACAACAGGAACGCCGTTGAAATCGATCTCTTTGAACTGGGAAAGAGCGACATCCATCAAAGCAGAATCATTCCAAATATCGAACCAATCAATTGTGCAACAGTTAACTAAAGATGGGAACATGTTTGTTCTTGTTCTGAACTTTTCACCAATTGGAGACAAAGCCAAAACAATGTGTAAGTTTGTTCTAACTCTGTTGATGAATGTACTCAATATTACATCTCTTGCAAATGAAAGATTGAGCTTCTTGATGACAGGAGTCATTTCTGTGACAATTTTTTCTGTTTCTTCACTGTCAAACAAATTAGGAACTTCACCGTTGTTTAAGATGCAGTTTATATCTTCCAAGAATGACTCATTGATGATGTGTTCATCGGACATCATGAAAACAATCTGTTTTCCTTCGATACCTGTCTTCAAATACAACTCTTTCAAGTCATCTCTGAATTCAGTTCTCGTGTAATGGTTTGTGAGTTTTGGTTCAGCGTAAATTGCATCGCAAACACAAGCAGCAGCCTTTGCAGTTGTTCTCTTACCTGTGCCACCGACACCAACCAACAACATGTTTCCTGCTGGTTGTCTGAAAACACGGGTAATTCTGCAGATGTGTTTGATGCAATCTTCGAAGAAAACAAGCCTTGTATCTGGCATTCTTTCATCAAAGATCTGTGTGAGTTTATCCTTGATTTTAGGAAGATTATCAAATGGTCTGTAATATGCATCATGTGTCATGAAATCGCAGAACAATGGTTTCATCTTTCCTTCCTCTTCTTCTGCTTTGAAATTCTTCTTCTTGAGATTAATTAAAATATCAATGAAAGCAGCTCTGTCAGTGTTATCAACAAGTCTATCATGATAAACTCTCATGTTCTCGTGCTCCCAGAGATTTGCCATGTTTTCTGGTGTGTAAACAACTTCAGGTCTTGCTGTTTTAATTCCTGTGAAAACTTTTGCCAAATCACGCAAGTTGAATGTGTAATGAGATTTAGAAGGTGTTGGAAGGAATTCGTGGCAAACTCTATCGAATATAGTAACAGAAGATTGTACTATATTGTCTTTGAGTTGCTTGATTGCATCAGGGAACTTAGTTCTTGCGAAGAAACATCCCATCGATGTTCCGAAAATTTGTTTTAATGAGGCAGATGTTGGTTCGCTTAAATACAAAACAGCGAATTTGGAAGTGAATCTTGGAGAAGGCTCAGCTCTTCCTCCTCCCGCTGGTTGTCCTGCAGCAATGATAATCATGTCTTTGACTTGAATCCACGACAAATCTTTCATATTGAAGAAACCTCCTTGTGAAAGATATTGTCTCAAAAGTTCTAAAGGAGGCTGGGCACCGTATGTTTCTGGTTTTGGCATGATTACGTCATCTACAACGAAACAAGCATTTTTACCTTCAGGAGCACCTAACAATGTCTTCTTCTTTGTTTCCATTTTAGTCTCGATTGTTTCCTGGATCTGTTTGGCCGTTGTTTGTGCGGATAATGTCAAAGAGAATGTCATAACTTTTTCTTCCATTTCTTTGAGAGTGTTCATTACAATTGTTGTCTTTCCGCCACCACTTGGACCGGTGATCATCGTGTGCATCTTGTTTTCAACGCATAACTTGAGGAGATTCGAGAAACAAACTGTATCTTCTGTAGCAACAAATTCTTCATTTGGTTCTGCTGCTTCTGCTCTTTGTGACCACATGTTGAATGTTGTCAAATCATCTTCAAGGTAATAATCAAAGATCAATCGCTTTTGAGGGTATTGGAACTTGTTTCCGATTGCTTCTCTCAACAAAGTATCGAAATCAATCTTGTTCTTTGGATTCAAAGAACCTCCAAATGCCCAGGCAAAGCACCATCCGAAAACTGTTTTGATCTTTTTCTCGTACAAATCATCATTATCTGTTGCAAGTTTTTCTTTGTGTCTCTCTAAGAAAGACTCAAAGAATGTCTTGCAAGTGTTGAAACCATTGGCCAATGTGCAGCGGAATTGGAATCCAGTGAAAACTTCCATTGTGTGCTTGATCATGTCCATGATTACTTCCTTCAAAGCTGGCTTCATTTGTGTGACAGAGAACCAGTTATAAACGAAAGCAGTCCATGGAATGTCAATTGGTTCGTAGTAAACCATGCCACAACGAGAAACAGTAGCAGGAGAAGCTTGTGAAAGATCACCGACTTCGAAGATCATTTCCATTTCATCTGTCATCTTAAGACGCTGTGAGTTTGCAAGAGAAAGCATTTTGTTATCATCCAAAACAGTGTTCATGTTTTCAATCCACAAAGCATCGACAGGTCCATCGAAAATGATCCATTGTTTCTGATCAGTTTCTGCTGCAACAGATTCTCTGAACATTTTAGATACAATGCCATCGAACCATTCTCCTGTGTTCTCATTGAATGCACCGTACATCTTTGATAATTCGATGGATTTCGGATTCAATGTCATCATGTTTGCGTTGATGACTTCTCCCAACGAATGCAATGAAACAGTTTTACCGCCACCTGTTGGGCCAACCAACATTACACCGTGTCTGATACGCATTGTCTCCCATAACTGAACAGTCTTTACAATCAATGGTCGGACTGAACTGTCCAAATTGTGGGATTTGAGGTTTTCTTCGAGTTTTTGTATGAGTTTCGGATCTAAAACTGTCTCGAAAACGACATCTTGGAAGAGGTCATTAACCAGAGATTGGAACAATGTCTTATCGTTACCCAACAGCTTTGGAATGTTTGAGTTATTAATGGCTTGGATGAGGATTTCATCTTCAGGGTTATTTGGCATTTGGCGCTTAACTAAACCTGCCATGGAAAGGACAGATTTAAGAGCTCTCATACCGAAATCGTAGTGAGATTGTGGAGAAAGCATTTCTGATGACAGTTTGTACAACTGAGTGATTTTTTCTGCAAGGACACGAGCATTTTCGAAACCTTGTCCGTACAAGAAAATCTCAGCAATCAAAGCGTAATCAGGGACAGTCATAGCGATTGGTCTGAACAAAGCCTTGAGGTTATCAGGAAGCTCTGTACGGCCAGCGTAACCAGGGTTCATTGTGATGAAAACGCCGCACTTTGGATTGAGAGGAATGTTCTTTCCGCAGAACATGAAATTCGTTGCGTTCTCATTCAAAGCGTCCTGAATTGTTCTGACCTGCTCAGCAATGACAGAAAGAACACCAGGATCAATACGGTTGAACTCATCGAAGCAAGCCCAAGCACCTGTCTGTGAAAGACCGCTGAAGAAAGCCTGCATCTGGTTGGCAGTGACAGCTTCTGAACAGTTGAAAACGACGCAGAAGTTTGCAATTGCTTTCGCGAGGTCTTTAACTGTTTCTGTCTTACCTGTACCTGCAGGACCAGCTGGAGAACCGCCGAGATGATGTCTCAAAGCGCTTGTCAGTGTCAAATAGCATCTCTCTGTCAAAGGAGTGATGATAAGACGAGGTGTTGCACCAAGATATTCGTAACCGTATTCAATTGTTGAATCAGTTTGTCTGACCAATATCTTGTTGTCTTCAAAGAAGTATCTCAAACGCTTTGTCCATTCGAAATCAGTGACATCGGAAATTCCTGATTTCTGGATTTCTTCGATTATATCTCTGTTGTGGACTTCGATTGTAATCAAAGCAACCAAAGCTTCTCTGTAGACTTTGTTTAAGTCTGTTCTAACCAATCCTGCCAATTCTTTCAATCTCTGCTCGTAAACTTCAAGAGCTTTGTTCATAGAACCATTTAAGTTCGTTGAAACTAAGTGGCAGAAGAAGACTTGAGTGATTGCCAGAATTGTTTGTGCAGGGAATTGTGCTGTCCATTCTCCAAATGGTTTTGATTCATATGCATTAAATGCATCGGTAGAAATCAGTTGCAATGCTCTCCTCATGTTGGCTTCTAATGATTTAAGCCAGCCTTCAACAGGTCCACGAACAGCAACGGTTTGTATCGGAATCACTTCACCTTCCTTTGAAATTATTTGGTCGATTGAATGTCCTGAATCTATTAAGTGCAAACCGTAGATATTTTCGAACAATTTGTTGAGGTGCTTTTGGAGACCGACAGGGTTCTTTCCGAGAGAAAGGATTTCGATGAGGTCGTCGTTTGAAAGGAAGAAGAATCTTGGGAATTCTGTTCTCTTTGACATCAAGAAGACTTCGATTGCTTTTTGAATTGATTCGTATCTTTTATCCCATGATGCCAAGTTTCTTAATGGTTCATCACTTTGTGCAGCGATTGCGTAAACTCTTGGTTTATCTCTGATTGCGACAACCCAGTTCTTAAACTCTTTTTCAACTTCATGGAAGAGTTTGAATTCATTTGAAAGTTGTCTTTGAATATCAGAATCCTTGAAAATGTTTCTCAAGTACATCCATTGTTTCTGTACACTTGAAATCAATTCAATCATCTTCTGTACTTTGTTTAATACGCCAATTGTCTTGTCAACTCTTACTTTGATTGGTCCGACATATCTAGAAGATCTAATTGTTGAGCATTTGACGAATGAGTCATCGAGAATTTCAGTGATATCAGCCAATCCTCCCAATGTTTGTACATTTGTGTCAGCGTTGTTAATAATTTCGAATCTGACACCAGCCCATTCGATCAAAATGTCTTCAATCATCTTCAACAATGTCTGCTCGTTCTCAGCTTCAACAGCGATGACTGCGAATTCCTCTGAGTACTTCACAGCGCCTGCTTCAACAAGAGCGGAAACTTTTAAGTCGCCTGTTCTCAGACCTCTTACATCGACCATTTTTTCGATTCTTTCCCAGTGTCTGTCCTGAAGAGCTTTCGATCTTACTGTTGAAATGATTGGAGCAAGTTGGAAGAAATCTGTTACAGAGTCCTTTAGTGTTGCTGCCAATTGTGATGTTGGGAAGTTTCTCACTAAGAAATCTACTGTTCTCTTTGTCTTTTCTATGTTTGTTTGGAATTCAACAGCGTCGAGTTCTTTGAGGAATGTTTTGAGTATTTTCTCGCGTTGTTTCGACCACGAATCCGCTGTTGTATACAATGTCTTTTTGTTCTTAAGTTCAGTAAGAAAGATTTGCAAACCATCGATTTCTGTTTGCGGCTTTCCAATGAGCATTTGGATTTGGTTGTATCTTTCCAAATCGTGTTGGAACTTTTCTCCTTTTTCATCAATAGATTTAATGGCAACTAATGATTCATCAACATTCTCTGTGAGTTGTGCTAACTCTGTCTGTGCAGTAACGATGTTTTCTGATAGTTTTGATACATCGTTTTTGATGTGCTCGCTCCATTTCCTTATCAAAGCTTCCTTTGACTCTCCCATCTTCATGTACGCGCTTTCTAAAGCTGAGTATTTTGGATTCATTCCTTTCATGAGTTCTGTCAGTTCTTCTGTCATCGGGAAACCTTCTTTTCCTGCGAGATTGTACAGTTCGAATATTGCGTGGTACTGTTTCCTGTATTTGTCAATGTCTTCTGTCAATTTGTAGTACAACTCGAATTGGTCTCCGAAATCAAAAACATTGGAAACTTCTCTGGAAATCTTATCATATAAATCAGTGATTAATGCATCGAAATCTTTGGCTTTCTTGAATACTAAATCAGGTACATAGTTCCTGACTTTGTCAAGTGCTTGTCTTGGAATAGGAGTGAATGTAGCCTTCATTTTTCTTAACTCAATTCGAACTAATCTATGTTCTATTTCTTCTGGCATTCCATCGACTTTTTCTATGTCTGCTCTTAGTTTGTTGATGAGTTCTGAGAATGCATATGCACTGTCATCCTCAAACTCCATCTTCAGTTCCTTGGAAAAGTTGTAATCATCGATGTAAGGTTGTAAACTTTTTGTCAGTTCACTTAATTCATCGAATGTTTTTCTGATGTTCGGTTCGAGCTGTGCAATTGAGTCTCTGTACTGAGCATCCATGTTCAAGATGTCTTTGAACTTCTGTGTCAGTTCGATTTCTCTAACTTTGTCAAGCTTGGAAAGACTGTCATTTGTGTAAATGGCAAAATCACTCGAATACAAAAACCGCTCAAAGATATTTGCGGTGTTTGAGAGCTCTTCCCAGGCTCTGGACATCTTGTTGATGAATAAATCAGGGGCAGGATCAAAGTGGTCGACCTGGAAATCAACTGAAAGACACATTTGTTGTGGAGTTGATATCATGAAGTCAACAAATTGCTTGGCAGAGTTGTTGACGCACTCAAGAAGTGCTTGCATGAATTGTAAGTCGCATGATCGTATAAATTTGGTAATTCTACGGCACATTGACCTGATTGTGGCTAATCTTGTAAAATGTTGGGCATCGCCATCGGCAGATACGAACTCATCCTTTTGGTTCGTCTTGTAGTGCCTGTTCTTGTCCATTTTAGCTTGCTTGTTGTATTGGCCGATGAATTGTTCGAGTGAATAAGTTGCATTATCTGTATTTCCGATATCTCGAGAGGCAGAATGTGCTGCTTCGCATGCGGCAGATATAACTTCGTGGGCACGATTATGTACATCTTGGAATCTCTGCATTAATCCTTGAATATAAACACTTTGCTTTTCGAGAAATTGATTTAATGTATGAGGATAGGCGAATTTGAGGTCGACAAGTGGGATTTTCTGTATTTCGAGTGCAATTTTGCGAATTTCTTTTCCAATAACTTTGAAATGAGGAGAAGCCATCAAGAATTTCTTTTCGATCTTCTCGGCTGATATTGTGCTCTTGTTTGATATCGCTGACTTGAGTAATGAGCGAAAAGCGTAAAGGCTGAGGAAATTCTTGAAAAATGGAACTTCTCCAACACGGCGATAAAGGACAACCTCACGGACCCATTGGTTTATTGCAATGAATCTGCCATGTCCTTCAATAAATTCTGTAATACCATCGATAGATAATGTAAAGTAATGTTTTGGCAAAGTATCGAACGTAAATGGTACCAAACAATACATGTTTGGAACAGGTAATGGTGCATAGTCGAGATATATAAATTCATTTGTTAAATTGAGTAAAGTAAATTGCCAAATATACCAATATGGAAGATCGCGATTTTGCCATTCTTCGTCCGAAATGTAAGGACTGTAGAGTGGGTGCTTCTTCCATTCATCGAGATCTGTCAATGCTTGATGAAACCATGATGGAACTATTTTTGTATAAGCTCTAGCTGTTTGTGGAGCGGATTCATCATCAGTACGAGCTGATTTGCATGTTGGAATCTTCGAAAGTCGTGGATTTCTTTCAGTTCTCGCGGACTGAGGTGGTTGTGAGATTTCAGCTGGTTTATGTGAAAGAGATATTGGTGGAATTATTGTTTTTTTGCGTCCTTTACCAAGGTCTGGAATGACTGGTGTTTTCTTCTGTGAACAAATTAATCTATTTTGAAGTACATCAGACATTTCCGCAAAAAGATTCTAAATGTAATGAAAAAAAAAATTTTATAAACGGGATTGCTATCGTCGTGCCATCATCAGAGAAATATTGAATAAGATTTCATTTTAATAATATGACAATATAACTAAATCAATGAGTTATTTCATATGATGTTTATCTAAAGGTACATTCACTAGGCGATAACAGTAAAATGGGATGAAAATAGGATAAATAGCATCCCTATATAGTGCCTAACAATATTTATACGGGCCAAAAAAATTTGGCTAGAGATTTGGCGAGTTAGAAAACTTAGAAAATTGAAAGGGATTTTTATTTTTGAATTTTTTTTGGAAAGTTAAAATTGCGATTAAAAATCGATTTCCGGGAGAACTAAGCATCTCATCATATATTTAAATCGATAAAAATATTAAATAATAGTTGAATAGTATAACTACGTGAAATTATGGCTGAATATACAGAAAAAATGAACATATTTGACATTTTTGAAAATTCATACGTTAGATGGTGACAGACTCATAAACTATACTTTAGCTAAGATTGATATATGGTTTCAACAACACATGGTTAAAATCGTAAAAATATTTTAGATTTCAAAAAGATATATATGGTAATATAATGGAACAAAGTCAACAAATAGCATGTTAAATATGTTATAATTAACTTTTTATTAGATCCAATAGTAGATATCGAATGGTTTCCAACTTTATGGTTAAATATTTTCTTTTCGAGCTTCTCTTTAACTGTTGTATTAAGGTTGTAAATTTTTGATGCTAGAAACTATGGAATCTTCTTTGCTGCTGCATTTTTCTTGAGAGTTCTTGCAATTTCGAATATATCTGCGCATTGTATGAAATGGAGGCTTTAAAATATCTTGAAAACAGAATAGGACTGCTTTTCCAAAGGAATGCTTACTTGTAAATCAGAGAGTTTCAAAATTGACAGCAAGATTATCATCATAACTTTCGATTTTGCTGCGAAAAAGGAAGACAAGTAATTAACAAATCATTTACTGTTGTTCATCAAAAGAAGAAAACTTTGATAACAACTAATGATGATAAAATCAAGCTATCTTTTAATATTTTAAATTGATAAGACATTCAAAATATTTGAATGGTTTAAAATATTTTCTTTTAATTTCTATAAGATATTATCATGATTATATAATAAAATTTAAATTTTTATTCAAAAAGGCAATATTTCAAACTTTTAATTTCAAAAATCTTAATTCTGCAATAAGTGTATTTAATTGTAGCAAATTTAATGATCCTTCGTCATGCTTAGCAATTTGGAACTCATAAATTAATGATTTCTTCAAGTAAAATTCTGCATTATTTCAAAAGTCAATAATTCTCTAGTAACTTTTCTTCAAACCCTAACCATTATATTATATGTATAATGGAGAATAATTGCAAAGAAAGATAGCCGAATTTACTGGGTAGTTCTTGTGATGCGAAATAATTGCAAATTAACACCTAGTTTTAACAGCATCAATCTCTTTTTGCTCTCATTTAAATGCATTCGCACACTTTAATTTTGAAATATAAGAGTTTTGGAAATTATCAAATTTATCTGCTCAAATACTATAGATCTTCATAAGTGTTAATAGAATCATTAGCCTTACATATAGTGTTTAATATAATGATGCACATTATACTGGGATTCATTCCTTATTCATCTAGTTATTATAAGATTTACAACCCCATGAAAATTTAAAATTTTGTCAAAAATAGTGAATGTACCTTTGTTTATCTAAAATCATGACATTTGACACAGAAATTCAAAAAATCTAAATAATTTCAACAATTATTCAGATATCATCAAATCTAGCGAATGTTCTCCAGGATAAATATTTCTTTACTAATCATATTTTGCTAATATTTCAATTATTAAAAGATTTTATTTAAAAATTTAAGAAATATAATGTATTTAATAAAACATATCGATTTAAAACAGATATTTATGAGCAAAACAATGAGATATATAAAGAAATATCGCATAAAAATGATTAGAAATCGTCAACTGGTTGACCACGATGTAAATTCCTTGCTTTCTTCTTCTTTTGAAGGAATACGTATATTAATATAATAAACAATGCTGATGCTGAAGATGTGAACGCAAAAACGCCGGATCCTCTCATATTGCTTTGATAATGCGTGCAAAGTATTTTAGCGCAGCTTTTTGACTTGCTTTCTGTACATCTATCGTTAGGATTTTCTCCAATTTTGTTAAGACCGCAACATCTGAATTTATTTTCAACGTAGCGAAGTTTTGGTGAGTTAATCATGATACTCCATTGCGGGAGTAAGTTTGAAAAGAATGCCTTTGGATCTAATACCCAGTTAACTGCGTAATATCCGTTGATAAATGTCAAAACAATGCATAAGAAAACGTATGCGTCTGCAATTTGTTTATTTTCGGTAAAATATGCTAATTTGTGAAGTAATAATATTAAAGAGAATAAAACTAAATCGAATAATGGAAGATATTCTGGAAATCTTGTAAGGAAATAAATTCCTGACTCTAAAAGCCAGCTTTTAGTCATAACTATACATAATACATCAGCAACCATATTAAACATGGCAGCCAATGTAACTAAAACGTTTAAATCCATATAATTTCGAAAATTAAAAAATAAATTTTACACGTCAAATTTAAAGTTTATTTGTCAAAAAATCATAAATTTTTGTCAAAAAATGGATGATATTGTAGAATGTTATTGTGGGGACGATGAAGAAGATGGCTTAATGCTTTGTTGTGAACAATGCAAGAAATGGCAGCATGCTCAATGTGTTAACATCAATAAATTCACAGAACCACTTCATTACGTTTGCCCAACTTGTAAAGGTATCAAAATTGGATGTAAATGCGGATATGAAGCAGATTATCAAAAGTCACTCATTATGTGTGTAATTTGTCACAAATATTTCCATAAAAGACATGTAAATCTCGGATTCGGACCAAATCCATCAGTTTATGTATGTCCTGACTGCTCAAAAGGGGAATTCAGATACACAGAAGATGAAATCAATCCATTACCATCGTTTTTACCTCATTTAAACGCTCCAATTTACATTAAACCAATTTCTGAGATAAATCCACCAATTCCTAAAGGTCCATTATACGACAAACTATCAGAAATACCACAAATTTCATCCGTTGGAGCAATTTGTGCATATATTTATTCAAATTTCAGATCAATAATTTTCTTATCTCATCCAACAATCGAATTTTTTAAGATCAAAAAATACAAAATGTCCAAAAAAGCTCAAATCTCGTGGAATTTCGTATGTACAATGATTAGAGCAATAGAATTCATGACAATGACTCCAAAACAACAAATTATACAGATGCTTGACCATTTGATTTATTTAGACATCTACAAAGTCCCCACATCTGAACTGAACAGAATTCCTGTCAACAGATTCATTTCAGAATGCCCAGATTTAGATAATGCATATGATTACACCGAAAGAGCTGAAGATGACTTCCTTGATGAGAACCCAGAGTTCGAAGCCATCCAATTAAACTCATTTGGCTACAAACCATTGAGAATTGTCGCTGGAAATAACGGAATGAGAACTGTCATCACGGAAAAGGAAATAAAGGCTGGAGAATTAATCTTTCCTGTATATGGAAATCTTTATCTTATGGAAGAGATCGACAGAAGCTCCACAACTCCGAAATTAGAAATTTACAGAATTAGTCAAACAGAAATCGCACTTGATACGACAGAATTCACTCAGTTCAACATATTCCAACAGATACGACGTGGATTTGTCTCAAATTGTACGATTTTGCCCTTTGATATCGGAGATAACAGATATCTTGGTATTTTTGCGACCAAACCGATCCCAATGCCATTACTGAGCCTTAACAACACCGATGATACCTATGTTATTCCTCCTGGATCCGAATTAGTTTTGCCATTTGATATATCTCCAGTGAAACTGAATCTAAACGCAACCTGGACCACGGAATCAGTTGACTGTCCAACAATAGAGCCGTCAGTGCTTCTCCAGCCTCAAATTTCAAAAGTCAGAGAACTTCTCGACAAAGGCCAACAAAAGAAGCGACCAGAGCACAAAAAACAAGAAAGACCAAAAGATGTAAACACTTTGAAGTCGCTTTTCAAAGGTCCGTTTTATATCGACATAGAACTTGAGAGCGAAGACGAAAATATGGATGTTCCGAAGCTCTCTGAAGATCTCCCTGCGCAGCTATCACATTTTGCGCCACCAGGAAGAAAGTCTTGGTTGAGATGTGAAGAAATTCAACGGCCATCGATCAATATTTCCCATCTATGGTTCCAGAATACTGAAGCAACGAAGGTGGAGACACAAAATATTGTTCCAAAGAAAGCCGTTGCTTTGAAACCAAAACCAGCTGTTGCTTGGACTGTTCCTGAGGAAGGGTTCGTAGAAGTTTCTGATTACTGCTTACCTCCTGGTATATAATATTGTATTTTATGTATGTAATAAATATTCAAAATATATTATGAACTTTTAAATTTGATTTATATGATAAAATTCATATGTTTTTATCCTCATTCTGTATTCGTCAAGTTCGTTATATGGCTTTATTGCCTAAAAATTCACGAATCTTGACACAAAAAGCTTTTTGAGATTTTTATAGGATGTTCATTGTTTCGGTGATATTCTAGTCTACAATTGTTGTAGATTGTTTGGGGTTAAATCTCTGAATATTGAAGTTATTTAATTTATATTAAGAAAATTTAACAAGTTCCTGTAGATGTGTTGAATATTATTCAAAAAAAAAAGATTACTGTAGAATGCATTAAGTAAAGAATATGTTTATTTTAAAAAAAAATAATCTATTGTGGGGATTCAATGTACATCTGAATAAGGAGCAAGCAAATCCAAGTTCCTGCAACAAATGTTAATTCCTTGGATGGATAGAATAATGACCAAAAGCCAAATACTAAAAGTAATTCGCCTTTGTACATGCAATGATTGAGGCTAAATGGGAATGATGTTTCATGTTCCTTGCCTTCTAGAGTTCCTAATTGTTCACCAAAGAATGTTCTATCAATACCAATCTTTTTGGTCGAGTAAAATGTTAGATATGAGCCGATCGAAAGTAATGGGATTGCCATCCAGATACCATGTTTGTTGAAACCCTTTCTTGATCCAATGAGAATAAAGAAGAGCAAAGATATGAAATAACATGTAACAACGCAAGCAATGAGTTTCTGTTGATCGAACTGTTGATTAAATGATTCTGGGTTTGTGTATGCCCATGCTTGTGCTCCTGTTGCAATTAAAAGACATGGTATGATTAAAATACTCAACATCTTTATTTGTGAGGCGATTAATTCAGTAGTTGTAAATAGTCAATTGTGCATCTGACCGAAATTTTCATTCAAAAAAATCTTTTTCTTTGATCTTAAATTTGTTATTTTCATTCGATTTTTATTTTGAATTATTTTGCTATTTTTTGAAAATCAATTTCCGATAAAAACTTGACAATCATTTGAAAAAAACTGGGATATAATGTATTTTTCAATTTTCACATAATTTATTCATCATAACTAAAAAAAAAAAGGTAGTGGGGCCTCCAGGCACTTCGTGCCCTCTAGCCCTGAAGATGTTTAGTATAACTTTGTCCGGACAAGTAAGGGTCTATCGTCGCTACAGGAAAAGTTACAGGCGTTCCAAGGAAGTATACTTTGAGAAGCCTTTTCTCCATTTTAAAACAAGATAGGACCGTTATTTTACAAAACTGACAACACTTTGACCGAGTAGTTTTTTGTGCTGAACAAAAAGTGTCATATAAACATCTGTCAAAAACCGCTTTTTAACTTCACTTAAAATGCCACGTAAGCTACGTAAGAATATACGTAAGAGGAAGAGAGCATTGAAACATCCAATAGTAAAACTGACACCACAACAACAGTTGCAACAACAAATTATGAATGACCCCACTATGTTGCAACAAATGTCAAGCAACCCTATGCTTTTAAACCGAGTTATTGGTGCACAGAGTGGAGGTTTAAGAGCGGCACTTTTAGCGAAAATGGCAGGCTATGGTGGAGCTGCAGACGGAACAGCTTATAACCCTCAAAGTCAAATGAATTTGAGTTCACTCAAAAATCAAATAACAGATGTCAAAAAGTCAAACATAGACATACAGAAACAAATAAGTGAAAACGAAAAGAAACTAGAATATGACAGACACACAAAGAAACTCAATGAGTTAAACGTAGAGAAAAAGAAGAAAGAAGAACAACTGAAAGAACTAAGTACAGAGGAATATGCGAAAAAAGTGTCAGAAAAAGCAGCAGAAGTAGCAAAAATGGAACAAGATGTTATAAATTTGAAAAACCATACTACTCAATATAAAGTACTGAAAGATGAAGAGATAAAACAAAAAGCCATGAAGACATATATGGATAGCGATGAGTATAAAAAAGAAGTTGAAGCAAATGTAAAGGCAGAAAAACTTTTACAGTTGCAAAACCAAACCGTACAGTATGAAAACTTAGCACAAGAAAGTAAAAATAACGACGCAGCCATGCAAAAGGCAATGAAAAGCGCAGAATATATAAAAGCTAATAATGACTGGTTAGATGCCCAAGCCAACGCTAAAGCAGCCCAACTTATAGGGTCAATAAGGACAAAAATACAAGCGGATGAAGACAGTTCAAATGAAGCTTTAATGAATGCTGACTTTAAGAACGCCTTCGAAGCTCTTCATAGTAAGGTGAAACTAGTGAACGACTTCTCATCTGGAAAGAAACTGAAGTCTGAAGGTTTCGACAAAGAGTTAAGAGAAGTAGCACAAAATATGACGAAAATAACAGATGCAGCAACGAGACAGGCAGTTCAAAGTGCCTATGACGCCGTTAGAGCAACTGTTGTGGAAAGTCAAGAAAAAGAGTTACAACAGACCAAAACAGACCTAGTAAATGCTTTCTTAAAAACGAAAAGTCAGGTAGGACATTATGCTGCAGATGGAACATATGTGCCAGCTGGTGGAACTTATATACCAGCTGGTGGAACTTATATACTAGCCAGTGGAACTTATATACCACCAAACCCTCCAAGAGAAGCACCTGCACCAGGACTACCTAAAACATTTACATCGTCACATGGACACAGACACAGGCATGCACCAAAACCAACACAACAACCAACAGTTCAAAATCCAGCACAACAACCAACAGTTCAAAATCCAGCACAACAACCAACAGTTCAAAACACTGCACCACAACCAACAGTTCAAAACACTGCACCACAACCAACAGTTCAAAACACTGCACAGCAACAACCACAAACAGAGCAAGGACATAAAAGAAGTAGAGAACAAGGAAACCAATAATTCTTAAAAATGCTTAAGGAAGACTATGGTTACCCAGATACTCTTGACTTTAGTGACAGATATAAAGAAGCTATTAGAAAGTTCAAGGAAGGAAATACTGACCCGAACCTATTTAGCTTTATGGTTCAGCACCAAATGGGATATAATTTCAAACCTGGAAAATACAAGCTCGCTAAGGGATATGATTTAATAGCATATCATCCAAATGACATGACTGAATTTACTCCGAGATATTTGGTGTCAGAGCTAAATGATAATTCAACTCTCTTCATGAAACGCGTAAAAAATAGAGACGGAACGAAAGAAGAAAGGTTTATGAGTCCGGATGACTTAGATAGGGAACTTTTTAAAAACGGTCTCGGAATATATGAAATGCCAGCAGATGAGGTACAAGAAACTCCACAGGAAGAAGTTCAGATACAACCAGACATGGAAGAAATAGTTCAGCAACAACAGCTAGAAGAGCCTGAAGGAAACAAACAAGTCCCTCCTTTGGAAACTAACTTCACAGAACTAGATGAAGATTTGGAACAGCCGAAAAATCTTGACCCTCAACAAGTGTATGCGGGGAATATGGAATCTTTCCAAGAGTCTAAGAAAAATTCGGCTGACATAGTAGAAGAATATCGAAAAATGTTCGCCGACATACAAAAGACTCCAACATCAGATGAAAATATTCAACATAGAATGGAAGAACTGAAAGAAAGTGTACGCAAATACAACAATCCTTTTTACTTACGACCATATAACGTTCAATCTTTGGCTGAACTCGGTGAAAATAAAAGGTTAAATTTCAAGAAAACATATAGAAATGAAACATTGTTTAAAGTTCATTCAGAACCTAACCAATATGGAAACAAACCTACTTTTGTTTCTGCAGACTATGGAACTACAATGAGATGGGGTCATAAAGCTAATCCGGATAGGTGGTTCATAAACTTACAACCTCAATTCCAAGAAGTTGTAGACGCAATGGAAGTGAATGGTGAACCAGATATAGCTGGTATTTTCAGCGCAGCTTTAATGCCATTGAAAGATATGAAACATGCAGATATTTTGGACCAGTATGAAATGAACATGGCTGATGGAAATATAACACCTGACGTTCTAGAACATTTATCTCAAAGAACTACACAGAACCATAGAGATGGTATATTTGGTGAAGAGTTTAGAAAGAAAGTTAGGGAGAGAGAAGGAAGAGAACCTATTGTACATGACCTTGCAAACGAAAGTTTGCAAAATGTCATAAAAACTTACTTTGCAGACAATGAACTGAGAAGGGATGAATATTTAAGAAAACTCAAATGGACAGTACCAAATGAAATGTTAGTATTGAAAAACATGTTCCTTGACAAAATAAAACCAACTACAGAAATAAATGACGCAAGACTGAAACATTGGGTAAAAGCTTTCCCATTCACAAAAGATATTATTGGTAACATGGAAAGAAAACCAGAATGGCTACAAAAACATATATTTGGAAACGAGCTTATTCCATATGGACAAGCTCTGTTTGAAGAGCTTGAACCGGAAACTCAGGAAAGAGTCATGCAAACAATACGCGAAGACTCAAATACAAACTATGACAAAATCTTTCTAGGATATAGGTTACCTGAGATGGGCGACCAGAGCCCAAAGGCAAAAAGGACATGGGAAATTTACAACATACTAGGTGAACATGAGGCAAAGATGCAACAACTTGAAGCAGAGGGCAAGTTACCAAAGCGACACCAAAGAAGAAGAGTAGAACAAAGTGAAAGTAGTGAAGAAGTAACTTCATCTAGTGAAAGTAGTGGCAATGAAGGAAAAAGAAGAGTTAAAAACTCAGTCAGGAAGAAAGTAAAGCTTGGTACGAAACAATTATGACAAATAAATCCAACTATTCTATATTTTTACCCATATGAAATGTACGCCGCTCAGAATATAACGCCAACAGTTTTGGATGCCATGAACGGAAATGTTTCCGAATGGTATAACGAATGCGACAATGCCATTAGAAGGTCAGAAATAGTTCCTGGAACTTACGAATATACAACTGCTGTTTCTTATGGAAACGTAGGTGAGTTTGGAGAAGGTTCTTCAACAACAGTAGATATTGCTTGCGACAGGTTTCATATTATTTCTATTGACAACTCATTCTTATACGTGGAACAAGACATTGAAATAAAACCTTCTGCCAAGTTGTCTGACAAGAAAGGTTGCAATGGAATTTTCTATGTCGGATACCAATATGCTCCAGAAGTTTTCATGGGATATAAGATATATTCTAACTCTGACTTAGTTCAAACAGTAACATGGGCAAACTATGAATGGTTCGCTTTGAGAAACTCAGTACAACCACAAGCTAGAGAACAAACAGACCAGTATGCAACTATTGAGAAAATAAGAAGACTTGACCCTAACGTTCCAGGAGTTTATGTTAACCTTTCTGGTTCAGATGGAACTGCTGCCACTAAAGTAAAACTGAAACTTAGAGTTCCTTTGTCATCTTTCCTCATCTTCAGGTTTTTAAGATACTTGCCAAACTGGGCAGGAAAAATTTCTATCGAACTTACTCCAAGTAAAAATAACTTAGTCATTGCACCAACACAAGACCCATTCACTATTACAGACGTAAAGGGAACAAATCAAACGTCATTCGCCGAATTTTGCAAAGACAAAGTTGACTTAGACTTTGGTTTCTCAAACTTCAACAATGAAGTAAACTATTATTTCAATGCTGCTGGAACTGCTTGGGACCCAGTTAAGTTCACATGCGAAAAGTTTGAATGCAAGAGAATAGAAAGCAGACTTGCAGTCTATATGTTGGACCCAGATATTTCAAATGCTTTAGCTGCCAAATATATTGCAGTTCCACTTATGTTCCCTATACACCAAATATCTGTCAAAGACTTTGCAGGTGAAGTTGGAAACCAAAGTGCTGACCCAGGTGCAAGAACAGATATTGCTTTAACAACTGCAATGAAACATGCAGATACTATGTTTGTACTGTTCAGACGAACTATAAATGACTATTCTTGTTTCTACAACCCTGGTATTAAATATCATATAAACATAGATGGCAAATATTATCCAAGAGAAGAATATTCTACAGTTGAGGATATGAGGTCATACAACTTGACATTAGATGCTATGAACTTTAACAACAACTTCACAACAATCATTAACCCTGAAATGCAAAGTTCTATTATGCCATATGTGAAAGTATGGACTCATACAGGAGGTCAAAAAACTCAATATACAAATGGAGACCGTTCAAACTTTTGGCTTGGCATTCCATTTGCTGACTCAGAAGACTTTATGGGTGGTATTTCAACTGTTGGTACAGTTCAAATACAATATACTGGTGACAGAGACGGTCCAGATGAACTGAGAGCAAAGAAGTTTACAAAACCAATAGCACTTTTCACGGAAGATGCTCTTTTGAAGATTCGTTCGATGAAACCTGCTGGGGCTCCTCAGATTGGCATAACGACAGCTTCCATCGAGCAGATTTTGGCAGCAGGTCAGTAAGTTGTTCTTGAACTGACTTCTCTCCGTCAAATATTGACAGTACGCCAGTTTTGACATAATATTGTATTATAAACTTTCCTTTAGAAATATCTGTAAGTTTTGTTGTTATATTTTTGTCAACGTCAAGAACTTTCACCATTTCAGTTATACCAACTTTCTTTGCTTTATGGAAATATTTTGGTTCAGCAAATATTGCTATTCTATAACATTTACCATTGTTTGTATAAAGAACTATTCTGTCAATGTATTTGTATTGTTTGTGTGTGTAAACTTTGTTCTGCTTCAATTCGAAGAGATACTCGAATACGTCCATCTTTTTATTCTAAGTAAAATGTCATTTCCGAAAAATAGAAGCGTGAGTGTTTCAAAAGGTTTAATGGCGGTGGCAGATGTGAAGTTAAATTCACCAACTCAAACAAACAGTCAAAGTGTTATTGTCAATGTCAAAGACAGAGATGTTGAAGTGGGAAACCATACGAGGACGAAGATGGTATAACAATTGTTCCTGTAAAAGAACAACCAACATATCCTGAAGTTAGCAGAGACTTAAGTTCTGTTGCAGATATTCGAAACGACTACCAACAACTGAAAGACAAACTTCAAACTCAGGAGAAGATTTGTCAAGCTTTAAGTATAATGTTAAACTTGGTCGAACACAACCCTGTAAAAGTGAACTCATATGTCATTGCACCTCATGAAGTTTTGAAAGAACTATTGAAACTTTTGACAGAGGCAGACGATATAAACATCAAAGAAATAGAACCCGACATTAGTTGCTGTGGTGTTCATATAATGTCATTGACAAGATATACGTTATGAAAGGAGGTGAAACGTTGAACTTAAAGTATAGTTTCCCAGACGTCATAAAAATATTTGACGACCACAACATTTCATTAAAATTTATTTGCTAAGTAAAAATGTCAAAACTTCTTGAAAGATGTTTGAAGAAAAATAATATAGACTTTATTTCATGTAAAGGACTTTACACACTTTTGAACGATATGAAAGACCCTGTTTTGTTTGTTCGTGTAGACAAAGGAAAGTTCTATGTCTTTACAAAATATTTGAACTTCTTAGACAGAGAACTTCAAGAAACGCCATGTGAAAGTTTAGATGAAGTTCTTCTCCACTTTCAGAAAAACTTTTAAATATATATAAATGGCAGAAGATATAATGGTTTATACTATTACGACTAAAAACCCTGAGTCATATAATTCTATAACAACAAACTTACAAAGTCCTCAAGGACGGTATTGTAAACTAACTTTAAACACAATGACGACTAAAGCCTGTTTTGCTCTTTTGACACCAGAAGACTTTATTGTTGTGAATGGTAAAAAATACTCCTTTGAAGATACTTACTCAGATATACCACCAACAGGTTTTGTTGACTTATTTAATACTTTAAGTACGGGTGTAACATGTGCTGCAACTAGAGCAGGTTTCATTATGTTTGGATGTCCGACTGAGTTTACTATAAACAATATGAGCTATAATACAAAACTTATTTCTGGTTTTTACTACCAACAGTTTCCTATAACAGGAAAAGGTGTCATACAAGGAATGTCTATTCCATTGACATTAAGCACACCAATCTTATATATTGTTTCAAACTTAGGTTCAAAGTGTTATTCGAATGTCGACAGAAACTATTTGACAAAAGATACTTATGCGTATAAACAATACTTTCTCTGCTGGTTTGCCTATTGTTCATTCGAATGCAGAATTTTCAACCTTAGTGAACTCAAACACTTTGGCAAGTATAACGTTGACATTAGTTGACGCAAACTTTGTTCCTGTAAAACTTTTATGTCCTATGTATTTGTCAATGACGGCAGAAAGTTTCGAATTGGAAGATGCAACTGGTGAAAGTATTGTATTACAAGAACAACTTCAACAACAAATAGCTCAAGAACAACAAATGCAACAAATGCAACAAATGCAACAAATGCAACAACAAAGTCAAGAATAAAAAAAATATTTTTTTTATTTTTATAAAAATGTACAGAATAGATGTTTCAGATTTTTATGACTTCCAAGCATTCAGAAATATGTGTCCATTTAGAGACTATAACAAAGCAGTCGAGAATTTGAAACGTTTAGTCATTTATGTCGACTCTGCCCCAGAATGTTATGTTATGAAAGAATGGGATGTAGTCTTTAACAAACCAAGAGCAACAATAGTTTCAGAACAAGAATGTAGACTGAAACTTAAGAAAATAAAAGTCGTACAAGTTGGCATGAAGATGTTAGATGCTTGGGATATCTTATTGTCAAAGTTAGAAGATTTTTCAGTTCGTGGTATAAAGTTTTATACACCTTCTCCAAACTTCTATTCTATCTTCACTGGATATAAATACGAACAAGTAGAATGGAAAGAAAATATTATAGAAGCTTGGTTAGACCATGTCAAAGAAATTATATGCAATGGAAACGAAAGAGTCTATGAGTATATCTTATGTTGGTTTGCAAACATCTTACAACATCCAAGTGCTAAAAATGAAACTGCTCTCATTATATAAGGAAAACAAGGAACTGGTAAGAACACATTCTTACAGATATTTTGTGCAAACTGTTAGAGGGCTATTCGAACCCTAATATGACAAACTTAGAAACATCTGTGGCAGTTTAACTCCTCAATAGAGAATATGAAACTTATAGTTTGCAATGAACTTCAAAGTATAGATACAACAAAAGTTTGAACTCAGATGCTTTGAGAGTCTTATAACAGACAAAGTTGGAGTTGTTGAAAGAAAATATAAAGACCAAAGAGTTTGTGAAAATGTTGCAAACTTCATTATGGTTTTCAAACAATGCTGTTCCGATGATTAGAAAGTTCTGACAGAAGATATGTAGTTGTCAGAACGTCAGATTCTCATATGCAAGATACAGAATATTTTGACGACTTAGCAGAATGTTTGACATCTGACTTTTACAACCACTTGTTCTCATATTTATGACATTAGATATTTCAAAGTTCAATCCAAGACAAATTCCACATACCGAAGAGAGACAAACATTGTTAGAAGCAAACAGAGTGTATATGAACTGTTCATAGATGAAACTGACTTTGTGTCATTAGATGAAAGGTCATTGTACGATTCGTATAAACAATATTGTCAAGAAATTGGTTATATGACAGCGTCTAAACGAACATTCTTGGCAACTGTCAAAAGTCTTTTAGACGTACAGAATGGTGTATATACAAAGAAAATTTTTTCTGAGTAAATTTAAAAAAAAATATTTTTTATCCGATAGAAAAGATGACAAAAATTCATCTCAGTAAACAAGTACATGTCAGGACTTAAAGAAGAACTAGACCCATTCACATATTTGAATGTTTACTTCTACCATTTTGAAAAGTCTTCATTCAGCAAAGTTTGGAACATCGACACCAGTTAAGTTTGCTATGTGACTAAAAACGGTGCGAAATTTGAAGACTTATACATAGAAGGTTTGTTAGCAGTCAAAGAAAGTTTTGACAGAAGGTTTTCAAACCTTAAAGAAGGCAAAGCATACAAACTTGTTATACCTTATGAACCAAAGAAAGCAGACGACTATGAATATTATGAGTCTAAGTTGTAGAAGTTCAAGGTAAATTGGGTAAAAGATTTTTAGAGTCTAAGCAGTGTTTTACTCCTAAAGAGGAAGAGAACATTGACATTGACCCAGAAATGTTCTAAAAATAAAATTTTATTTTACATGTCAAATTTCTTTTTCTCTGGAACTGGTTCAGGTTCTTTCTCTCTTCTTCTACTTTCTTTTCTTTCTTTTCTTTCTTCTTCTTTTCTGGTGGAGTTATGTCAAATTTCTCCGAACCATATTTATGTAAAAGTTCTTTGTCCTTTAATAGCTCATCTATTCTGTTTTCTATTTTCATCTTCAAGAACAGCGCATGTGTCTTCTTTGCATTCTAAGAACTTTTGTTGGACTTCATCTTTCCAATCGGCGTCATCTCTGTCAACAAGTCTGTCATTGACAAATTTTAAGACTGCTCTGCTTAATGTTTTATGGTTCTTGTCATTTTCCAGAAACAGAACTTTAGAACAAATTCACCTTTCTTGTTTACACTATGTAAGATTTTATGGTCGACAGATGTTTTGCTGTCGAAAAAGTTTGTCTCGAATATAGATAGCGAAATCGCTAGACATTTTCTAAAAGATAAACAATTTTAATTTTTCTAAAAATATGTTAGAAAAAAAGTTTGCTGACATTGACAAGAAATTTGAGAATGTTTTAAACAAGAACAAGAGGAAGTTAGAAAATGCTCAGATAAACCTATACATGACAAGTTCTTATTTGCTCAGAATGGTATAACAGGTCTAATTGCACCACCTGGGTCGGGTAAGACTTTCACTTATCTTAAAATGGCTGCACAACAACAAAACTAGATGAGAAGAACCCATTTTATGAGTTAGTTGTCATTTGTAGTACTTCTGGTCAATTTGACCAAACCGTCAATTCGTTCAAAGATATTATAAAGAAGTCTAAGTTAGTATGTATAAAGGATACTGAGTTGTTAGATTGGCAATAAAGAAGTACCAAAGAAGAGTTTTGAAGTATAATGCTATAAATGAGTATATAAATTCGAAGTTTAAAGACCCAAATGAGGAAATGCAGAGAATATTAGAGAAGAAACACTTCAGAAACAAACAGAAAGAGATAGAATACATTTCGAAGAAATTGCAATCTTACGATTGGAAGACTTACCCTCATAGATGTCTTCTTATTTTAGATGACTTTGCTTCTCATCCTTTGTTAAAGAACAGAGAACAAGACATGTGTCGAATTCTTAAGAAACTTAGGCACTTTAACATTTCAGTCGTAATATGTGTACAGACAGCAAAGAGTTTAAGTAAGGATGTTAAAAGAATACTTACTGACATTATACTTTTCCCCGGATTGTCCGAAGACGATTTCATGGAACTTATGAAAGAGTCCATGGCAGGTAAGTTTGACAGACATGAACTCTGAGAGAAGTACAAAGTCATACAAGACCCTCATACTTCTTTCAGAATTCATATCTACGCAAACAAAGTTCAAATTGTAAAAAGTCAAGCTTGAAAATAAAGAGTTCATTTACTCTGCTTGTTTGAAGTTGTCAAAATACTCTGTTATTTTTTCCTTTAACAATGACAAATTTTTGAATGTAAGAATTGTACAACCTTTAATATCATAGTGTGTTTGAGGTAACGTATCTTGAACTATTTGTTTCACATCTTCATTTGGGGTCATTGAAATCGGTAAGTTTTCGCGATAGAACCAATTTCTGTCAGATTTGTAAATCTTAGCAAGGTCGTAAAAGCTTTTGTTGTTTCTTCTGACTAAATGCAACATAACCATGTCACTGTCTTCTTCATTTTCCATCTCTTCAGTATAAATCACTATACTTATAGTTCTTTTCCTTACCTTTTGGTACCGAACGTGGTATTCTTTTCTGAATGTTTTTGTCTTTTGCTTCAATGACTTCATCTTTTGCATGAAGTTTCTTTTCCTCTCTTCACGTTCTTGTCTATGAATTTCGTCAAGAAGTCTGTAAACATTGCCATGCATAACGAGGAGAAGCCCACATTGCAACTGCATTTACTAAAAGTCTATGTACATAATATCCTCTTAAATTTATTGGCAAATTTTTACGATTTTCATGTGTTTTATGCATGGCCGAAAAAAGTCGGTCTAGAGAAATTTCACTCAAAAGTTCTTGTGTGCTTTGGTTTTTGAACCAGTCGTCTGCGTGTTTAGTGTCTGGAGCAAAACATGCTGTCAAAATACTTTGCATTTGGTACATATCGTCTTTGACCGAACGAATGAGACGGAGTTGTTTGTTAAACTGAACCCACTCGTATTCTTCATTTATGGCTTCATGAACGATAGCAGTTGTTGTGTTCTCTGATGTTGACATATCTGTCCTTACATACAAAAGAATAAAAATAAAAAAAATAAAATAAAACTAACTTTATTTTTTCTATCTTAAGGAAATTCACTGTTTTCATAGAGTTTTAGGCGACCCCGAAGGAAGTCGGTCTCGCTGTTCTTCACTGTTTTCATAGAGTTTTGGCGACTAAGGTTTCTTACCTACTCGCTGTTCTTCACTGTTTTCGTACGGAATCTCTTCTCTCAGTTTTCCGAGGGAAGCAAGCATATGCCATTTTACTCAGATTTTTGGTCATTTTTCAGTAAAAATAATGTTTATGTTAGCATGTTAGATCTAACACGTTTTCTAACACGTTTTCTAACATGGTCTAAAACACACAAAACTCATGAATTTTCATGATTTCATCGTACATGTTTTGTCAAGACTTTGTCATATGATTGCTTCTCTCGGTTTTCCGAGGGAAGAGATTCCATGTTTTGTCAAGACTTCATTGTAAATGACCAAAAATATATTTTATGTTAGCATGTTAGATCTAACACGTTTTCTAACACGTTTTCTAACATGGTCTAAAACACACAAAACTCATGAAATTTCATACGGAATTCAGCAAAAATAAAGTTTATGTTAGCATGTTAGATCTAACACGTTTTCTCACCTGTTTTCTAACATAACTATTTACAAGCGTTTTACATGGTATATGTTGCGATGGTTCATGACTCTAAACAGTTTTGTAGCTTCTATTTCTTCGCTGAGGATATCGAATGTTTTAACTATGCCGAAGGTTTCTTTATACTTCTTCTTGACGTCAGATAGAAGGAAATCTTCTGCAGTTGGATAGTTTTTGTTCAGAAATGTCAACATGTCCATTTTATCTTCTGCTGGTTTCTCTGCTTCTTTCTTTAAGTCAGCATAGTCGTTTCTCATACGTTCTATCTCTTTGACGGAGTAGTTATATTTCCTAATTGCCGCTTTACATTTAGAACATTGCGGGTTCATTTTTGCGTTATATTCTGAAACCTTACCTGCTAAAACAACCAAGGCGTCAATTGCTCTCTTCATCTCAAACATAGCGGGTCTTATTTGTTTGTTCCATACTTTACATCTTCTATCTTTATCTCTTATCTGCCAAACACATTCAGCAACTAACGAAACAAAGTTGTCGTAGGTCTTAAATTCTTCAGATTTATATATGTCAGAAACATTCTTATATACCATGTCGCAATCTTTGTCCATAACCTTATGGTTGCAATGAAATCCTAGAAACTCATAGTTTACCTTACGAATGAACTTCTTTATTTCTACTGAGTCAGTTGCTTTGACTTCTATTTCATCGAATTCAGGAATGGTTAGTTTTTGTTGCTGAATTTCAGGTAGTTTAGGCAAATGGTCAATAATGTCCTCCATTTCATAAAGATATTCTTCATTTTCTTCATCTTTCGCACTACAGTCTAAATTACTTGTTAAAAGTTCCTGCTTTATCTTCTGGATTTCTGTTTCGAAAGTATATGAAGAAGGAATGAAGCTTTTCATTTCTACTAACATTGACGTAGGATTCATGACTAAAGAGTTTGGTGCTGTTGTTTGAATTGTTGTTGTGCCGATTGTTGAAATCATGTCTTTTATACAAAATAAAAAAATAAAAAAAAATAAAACTAACTTTATTTTTTATTTCGGGAAAATTCATGAAAATTCAAGAGGTTAGAAAACGTGTTAGAAAACGTGTTAGATCTAACATGCTAACATAAACATTATTTTTTGGTGTAAATTTCCTAAACTGACTGACTGACTGACGGCACAAAGTGGCATAACGAAAACATTTACGAAGAAGTCTTGACAAAGCATGTACGTTCATGTTTGACAAAGCATGTACGATGAAATCATGAAAATTCAAGAGGTTAGAAAACGTGTTAGATCTCACCTCTTCACCTAAATTATATTTTTGTCTGATTTACGCTCATTACGAAGAAGTCTTGACAAAACATTTACGAAGAAGTCTTGACAAATTCAAGAGGTTAGAAAACGTGTTAGAAAACGTGTTAGATCTAACATGCTAACATAAACTTTATTTTTGGTGTAAATTTCATGATTTTCGAGAGTTTTAGACCATGTTAGAAAACGTGTTAGAAAACGTGTTAGATCTAACATTCTAACATAAACTTTATTTTTGGGTCCTTTACACTCATTACGAAGAAGTTTTGACAAAACATTTACGAAGAAGTCTTGACAAAACATTTACGTTCATGTTTGACAAAACATTTACGTTCATGTTTGACAAAACATTTACGAAGAAGTCTTGACAAAACATTTACGAAGAAGTCATGACAAAACATTTACGAAGAAGTCTTGACAAATTCAAGAGGTTAGAAAACAGGTGAAAAAACAGGTGAGATCTAACATTCTACCCTAAATTATATTTTTGGTCCGGGAACAAAATGAACGAGGTCAGGATGTATGTAAATACATTTGAATTCATTCATAACACCCTTTGTAAGCTCATAAAATGCTTGTTTTGAGGTCGAGCCACTTTTGGCTCCACCGTATTCTTTCAACCAAAACTCAAGAATTTCCTGCATGAATTTTATATAAAAACCAACCGTCTGAATTCCGACGGTTGCTATATTCTTCACAAAACATTTACGAAGAAGTCATGACAAAACATTTACGAAGAAGTCTTGACAAAACATTTACGAAGAAGTCTTGACAAAACATTTACGAAGAAGTCTTGACAAAACATTTACGAAGAAGTCTTGACAAAACATTTACGAAGAAGTCTTGACAAAACATTTACGAAGAAGTCTTGACAAAACATTTACGAAGAAGTCTTGACAAAACATTTACGAAGAAGTCTTGACAAAACATTTACGAAGAAGTCTTGACAAAACATTTACGAAGAAGTCTTGACAAAACATTTACGAAGAAGTCTTGACAAAACATTTACGAAGAAGTCTTGACAAATTCAAGAGGGTAGAAAACGTGTTAGAAAACGTGTTAGATCTAACCATCTACCCTAAACATTCTCGTCAAATACAAAAAAATACAAAAAATGACACTTTTTCATTATATAACTGTTATTTTTTGACGAAGTGAAGAGTAACACTTCGTCAAAAAAATCCCTGAAATCATATCTAACATACAAAAAAATATAAAAAAATGACACTTTTTCATTAGATAACTGTTATTTTTTGACGAAGTGAAGAGTAACACTTCGTCAAAAAAATCCCTGAAATCATATCTAACATACAAAAAAATGAAAAAAATGACACTTTTTCATTAGATAACTGTTATTTTTTGACGAAGTGAAGAGTAACACTTCGTCAAAAAAATCCCTGAAATCATATCTAACATACAAAAAAATGAAAAAAATGACACTTTTTCATTAGATAACTGTTATTTTTTGACGAAGTGAAGAGTAACACTTCGTCAAAAAAATCCCTGAAATCATATCTTTTATACAAAAAAATATAAAATAAAACTAACTTTATTTTTTCTATCTTAAGGAAATTCATGAAAATTCATGAGGTTAGAAAACGTGTTAGAAAACGTGTTAGATCTAACATTCTAACATAAACTTTATTTTTGGGTCCTTTACACTCATTACGATGAAGTCATGACAAAACATTTACGAAGAAGTCTTGACAAAACATTTACGAAGAAGTCATGAAAATTCAAGAGGTGAAAAAAGAGGTGAAAAAACAGGTGAGATCTAACCTCTTCACCTAAATTATATTTTTTGGTCCGGGAACAACTTTCTCTCAATAGGGGCTGTGGCATAATCTTTGCGTAAACGGTTCAGACCTTCTTCGAACTCTTGGTCTCTCTTCGATTTGGATTGAGATTGGAATTGCTGGGGTGGAGCTTGCTGGAACATCCAAGGGTTGGGGCAGTAAGGCATAGGCTGAGGAGGGTAGTTCGGGAAGCCTTGTGGTGGGTAGTAACCTTGAGGTGGAAATTGGTAGTAAATCGGAGGTACTTGCTGGAACTGAGGTGCAGGGGCTGGTGCTTTAGGTTCCTCTGGTTTGGGAATGGACTCGGTTGGTGGGACGTGGGACATTCGTTTGTGTCCTGTCGGAAGGAAAAACCTTTCCTGTTGTCCGGAAAATTTTTTCCTGTTGTCCGGAAAAACTTTTCCTGTTGTCCGGAAAAACTTTTCCTGTTGTCCGGAAAAACTTTTCCTGTTGTCCGGAAAAACTTTTCCTGTTGTCCGGAAAAATTTTTCCTGTTGTCCGGAAAAACTTTTCCTGTTGTCCGGAAAAACTTTTCCTGTTGTCCGGAAAAACTTTTCCTGTTGTCCGGAAAAATTTTTCCTGTCGGAAGGAAAAATTTTTTCTGTCGGAAGGAAAAATTTTTCCTGAAGTTCGACCAAAAAGTTCTCAATTTTCGAAAATTTGAATGGTTTACGGACAGACAACTGGAAAATTTTTTCCTGTCGGAAGGAAAAATTTTTTCTGTCGGAAGGAAATTTTTTTCCAGTTGTCGGGAAAATTTTTTCCTGTTGTCGGGAAAATTTTTTCCTGTTGTCGGGAAAAATTTTTTCTGTCGGATGGAAGGACTCGGAATGCCAGAAGGATTTGACGAGGCAGTTTACCTAATTGAAATTAACAACTGCGTAAAAGACTACTTGCGCAAGGTCATGAAGCCCAAGGTCAAGTTCACCGCTATTTCTGGAAGGTCTACACTTCAGCTCGAGACTTCGACTGGAATTCCAATTCAAATACCAGAAAACACTCCTTTCGACGACATAAAGCAAGCAAAGAAAGAAGCTCTTCTCAAGTTCTTTGCCAAGCGTCCTTGGATAAAAATACCAAACAGAGAGAGTCCAATTCCACGAATTATACAAATTCTCAGAGCACTGTTCCACTTCTCGGGTCAGCCATTCTACATAACCTGTGAAGGCGACATCCAACCAGTTCAGTAAACCTTAACGTTTAACTTCACTTTTTTATGTTTTTTGTGAAAGTTTTAAAATAAATTGTTTTCATGAGTTTTCTACGATGTTAGAAAAAATGTTAGAAAACGTGTTAGATCTAACATGCTAACATAAACATTATTTTTCAATACTTTTTCAGCACTTTTCCGTAGTTATATATGAAAGACAATTCGAGATAAAAGTCATAGTACAATGGAATAATATGTTGCACACCATTTGTTGTGAACCAAACTTGAAAGTCAGAGAAACTGTTACTAGGTGGTTCGTAGAATTTAGAAGCAAAGTCATAAAAGTCCTTACCAATACATAGAAAACTATTGTTGCTTGAACTGAAACTTGCATGACACATAACATTTTGAGGGTCAAACACGTTTCTATAAACTGTCAAATCTGCTGGTGGAAGTATAAATTGAAATGGACCATCTGGTGGTAATGGTTCGTTCTGGTTTAGTAACCGAAGAAATTGTGCCCAAGAACGTTTGTCTACTTTCCAAAATAAAAACTCTGTATCTCTTGGAGGGTTAATTTCAATCTTTTGAAATGAAACGGTGGAGTTCATCTTGTCATATTCTAGTTTCAGATAGTATGTTCCATTTAGTAAAGAGTCGTATTTTTCTTGAAATTCCCAATAATATTTGTTCATTTGAGTTTGAAAGTCATTTAGAGTTTTCTCAAGACTTTCGTCTGAACGAACTGTAAAGATCCTCATTTCGTCAAATTTGTCTATTAGACCACCAGAACCTTTATACTGCCCATGAAAATATACTGCGAACATAAATGCGTTAGTTCTATTTGAAAACAAAACTCTTCTAAATCCTATTGCCTTTGCATCTGAAGGACTTTGAAGCCAACGAATTGGATAGTCAAACCTGTATATTCGGGATGAAATTTCTTCATCTGAAATAGTCCTACCAGCATTTGTAAAGATATAGTCTAACGGTTTTGTATCTGCTACTTTTGTTCTTTGTTTTTCAACCTGAAGCATTTAATATATGTAAAAATATATTGTTTTAAAATAGTATGCCATTTCATATTTCTCATCTAACAAACAAGTTTCCCAACGGTCTTCTCCAACAAACTCAGCGTACATTTCAAATAAAATTAAAAAATGTCACTTTTTAAAAAATAAATTTTTATTTCATGCAATGTTTTATTTCTGTGCCGTCTTCAAGTATGCCCCAGTACTTACGCTTGGAGAGGACATGAACTTCAGAAAATACCTTATCTAGCTTAAAACAGCCCATCTTTTCACTGACCATTCCCATTTCAATGAGTTTGTTGTATCCTTCTTCGTTCGTCATGAGTGCGTCAATGTTCTCATAGTAAACCACAACTTTCGATTTGACTTCGGAGAAGAATTTGTTGTAGTTGTCAAGGACTGCCTTTGCGAACTGAGGGTAAGACCAATGTTCGACAATAGGTTTTAATGTGGTTACTAAGCCACTTTGACCTTGAGTGAATTCGTACTTCAAAACAAAAGGAGAAAACCTTTCAACAAAGTTGTCGACCTTCTCATAATGTTTACTCTTCATCTCTTGAGGTTTCTTAATGGAATATCCCCATGTCGAATTCATAAGCAATTTGAGTGTCATTGCAAGTTTGGGGTTTGAAGCTTTCCTAATATCATACAGTTGTTGTATGACTTTTCCAACTGTATAGTTCCTTCCCGGGAACTCACCATCTTCGTTTGGAATTCCAGTCGGAATATATTGGACAAACCTCATGTATGCAGCGTTAAGGTCGACATAGTATATCTTTTCGTTTGAGTCGAACTTGTCGCAACCAATTGGTCCAGTTTGTGGAAATTCAAGTGAGTCTCTTATCTTCTGAGAAACTTCTCCTGTTATCTCATAAACATCGTCGAAGCAACCTGTTTCATATAAAACCTTCTGACCTAACTCAGATGCTCTCCAATACAATTTGACGTCAATTGGATGTCTCAATGGAAGTTTGTTTATAGCATCTTGAAGTTCTTGCAACCTCATTGGAAGTTCTTCTGGTTCAGGTTGGTATCCGAACAATCCAACTCCTTGTGGAATTGTGTACTTCTTTTGTACTAGAACTTTGTCTGGAACAACTTTTGGTCTTGCTAACAGTGAAAAGTTTGTTTCGTCTTTTGGTACAAAAGTTTCTGTCAGCTTGTCATCTGGAATTGGTTCCAACAAACCTTTCTCGAAAAGAATGTTTACAGCTCTGACAATGTTGCACTTGCCTTTTCCGAACAATGGGTTTGTAAGACTTTCGTTCAACATGAAGTGGTTGTGGACAATTACAATCTTCAACCATGGTAAATTGAACTCAACAACATAGTCGTCATGTGAAGAACCTTTAGCTGTAGGTATGTTGACTCGGATATTGACATTTGCCAACGGTGCAATTTTTGCCAATTGACCTCTGAGAATGTACCTTGTCTTCACACATGACTCAAGGTACTTCATCTTCTCTTCTGTAACAAGACCAGAGTTCCTGAGACATGTAAGAATACAAGGTTCATTGACAATTGTTTCAATTGAATTGTAAATTCCATACCTTGTCAAGTCAATGTCAGACTTATTTATGAACGGGAAGTATCCAGCATGTTGTCTGACTGCTTGAGGGTTAGGTTGGTACCATTCGAACTTGACACTTGCAATTCCTTCAATTGCATTCAAAATGTCTGAGTCGGAGTCAACCATTTGTTCTCTCTTTGTAGTCTTGAAAGCGTCAAGAAGTTTTGCAGCTGTTTGTTCATTGCCATTTGCATAGTAAATGTGACCATCCAAATCTGTTATGGTCAATCTGAGATTGTGTCCTTTCTTATTTCCGTCTTGAATTGCAGCAAGTACACCCATGAAGCCTTCTTTGTTCTTTCCTTCGTCAAAGTTTACTGTAAAGGTTCGACCAGATGTAATTTGACTTCTAACTTCACGATACTTTTCATATGCATATCTTGTTCTTTCCATGGGAGCATGACCATCCTCTGCACTACCTTTTTTCCTTCTCAAAGGATGCAATTGTTCGTCATGTTTCCAGTAGAATCTGGCAAAGCCGTCGTGTCCTTCAACTTGAGGTTCACTAACATCGAAAGGCATGTCCATAAGACGTTCTTCTTCTAACCTCTCTAGTCTGTTTGGATAATTTGCACGTGCTGTTTCCAAATCCATTTCGTAGGTCAGACCAGCCATTTGTCATAGACTTTTATGGGTCTTCCCTTCCTATATTTAAAATTCTTCGAAACTCTCCAACCATATCTTTGCAACTCTGCTTTTATTCTAGCAGATTTTCTATCCATTCTATATGGGGGCATTTTTAAAAAGAAAAAAAAATATTTTTCTTTACTTTACATAACCGCCTGCTGCCATAAGTCTTTGACGCCAACCCATACCAGCTAATGAAGGTTGACTTGGTTTAGTTTCCAAACTAAACTTTGGTTTTGGTTTATCTTCAGTTTTTGGTTTTTCTTCTTCTATCGGTTTTTCGTCACTTTTCGGTTCTCTGACTTTACTTCACTTGCAGGAACAGTTGTGTCGTCAACATCTTCATAAATATCATATGCCATTTGTTTTTGTTTTCCTTTCAACTTTTTGTGTTTGTTGTAAAGTTTAGAATATTTCGACTCTAAGTCAATGAGATGTTCTATAATGAACTGTTGGTCAGTGAAGTAAACTTTTCCATCTGTTGTCTCGAAAGCTCCTTCAGACTTCAATATTTTATTTGTGAGAGTCTGTTTCTTTTTTGAGATACTAGCCGTTCCATTTTATGAAAAGTGACTTTGTAGTTGGGTTTGTATTTCCAGACCTGGCACTTTCTATTATTGAATTTTTCTCTTCATCTGTAAGTTCTTTGACAGGTTTTGACAATGGTTCTGAACTTTTTGTTTGTGGTGTCAAATCTACCGTTTCAACTTCTTCGGTCATTTCATCTCAGTAAAAAATTTTAGTTTGGTTTGTTTTCAACTGGTTGTGTTGTTTTTTAAGTCGGTCTAAAACTTCCTGAGGTATAGGAAGAACTTGACAAACACGTTGTGTAACTGCTGGAAGCCGACAAATCCATCTTGAACCCATTTGTCTCAATGCTGTATTGTTCATTTCATCTCAGTAAAAAACTTTACATTCCCCACGTTTTGAGGCGGTTGAGGTTGTTATTGTTTACCCATTGTTGTGCATGGTTATATCCTCTGTTAAAGAATCTTTCACCTTGGTCCATATAGTGTCCTGCTTGGTTATAGTAGTCATTTGCTTTGTTATAATAGTTTCCTGCTTGTCTTCCTACATTGTCCATCCATCCTTGAACTTTTCCTCTTGTTTCAGGATTTGGAATAAGATTTGTTGCATCTCGTGCTACATCCCAACCTTTCTGTACAGTTTGTATAATAGGTTGTGCTTTCTCTTTAAGTATACCTAATGTACTCAAAATCTTCCTTCCAACTCCAAATACACCTCTGGCTATTGTTCCCACTGCGGGCAAAAATCTGGATGCAACTCCTGCTAATGCGCCAAATAAACCCATTTCTTATAGGATAAAAAATGACGAATCCGAACAAGGACCCCTATGTTTCTAAAGCAACAAAGAAAGCACTCATGATAAAAATCTTTAGTTCAACACCAAATGCTTGGTTTATGGATATCTTGGAAAACATTCCGAGGTATAGAGAAGATGGACCACCATACTGGCTAATATTTGTCGGTCAAAACACAAGATACTGTGAAGCCATACCATTATGGTCCAAAAATATTTTAGATGTGAAAACTGCTTTGACAATATTCGTTGACAAATACCATCCAACAAAACTGACATCTGACTGTGAAAGTTCTTTCAAATCAGATGATGTAAAAAACTATCTGCGTTCAAAAAATGTAAACCAATATTTCATTGTCGACCAAAACCATTCTGCTCTTGGTGTCATTGACGGTTGTATAAAAATGTTAAGAGACTTAAACCAACCACAAGGTGGTGAAGCAAATGAAATGTCATATGACGACAAATATAGACACTTCTCCATGGCAAAGATGAGACAAGTTTTAAATATTTACAATAGCCGTAAACAAAAAGGTTTGGGAAACCACTCCCCCGAAGAAATGAAAAACAACCCTGACTTAGAGAAAGACTATATATTTAATAATTTAGTCAAAAGAGACAAACAAGAAAGAATGCCGGGCTTCAAACTTCAGAAAGGTGACAAAGTAAAAATAGAAATACCTAAACGCGACCCATATGAAAATACTATTGACTATGACAACAATGGGAACCCGACAGGTACTCACATTCGTGTTCGTAAAAATAGAAGAAAGTATACAAGAGAATATTATGAAGTTTTAGGCAAACATGGCAAAATGTACACACTGCAAGCAGAAGATAAAACTACTATTGTCAGACCTCGTTTCAAACTTGTCAAAGTTCAAGGTGGTATACTTTCAAAGACAGTTCCTAACAAATATAAGACAACTCCTGACGAATATGCTAAAGAAGTTGAAAATGACGACTAAGCATTTCTATACCATGCGTAAACTGTCATGTAAGGTGGCATGTAGTCTTTACTTTGTCCCGTTGTTTGCGTATATCCCGAAACGCGATGTGTATGGTTTCCTCCTCCCTCAGTGTTACTCCAGTAACAATTTATAGCAAACTTAACGTTGTCTTTAACATCATATCCTTTACCTTTTGTCATTGCTGACCAATCCCAATATCTATGCTTATGCCAACCTGCTTGAGATGTACTTAAATCTATGTAGTGACTGTGTGCAGGTAAATTTTCACCTGAAATCGTTTTACTTCCACCTGTTTCCTTTGAAGAGTTTGCACAATACAAAAACCTGTCGACTATTTGAGTCCAAGTTCCAAAACCAAGTACTACTTCTGGTCTGGTAGAGTTCATTGACGTATAAATAGAGCCTATAGGATATAATGTTTGAAGTATTTCTGTCTTTAATGTTTGAAGCTCTGTTTTGTCTGCTTTCTTGTCATATAAATCTTGAGCAGTGAATTTAATATTATGTTCATCCTTCATGACATAAACATCTTTACATCTAATGTTTTCATCGTCGTTATGTCGTCATCCGATGTTAAACCTTGTGGAAAGTTAGGAGGTTTACAATATAATGCATCCCCACCAGTTTCTTCAACCGTTCCTTCAATACTTTCTATAGCAACAGTTGTAAAACTTGTATGTGTATGAGTCTTATTTGCTTCTTCTCTAACTCATCGTTAACATAAGTTTTATCTGCTTTAAGGTCTAAACATCCTGAAACCCATCCTGTATCAGCTTTAGTTTTTAAAATCTTCGATGTCCATTCATGATACCATTCAGCCCTTTCTATAATTTCTTTATCTTTTTCATCCACATATTCCTTATCTGCTTTCTTCTCTAACGCACTAGCCACACATTCCTTATCCGCTTTCTTTTCAAGGCTAACGTTTAAGTCTGTTATTTCAGATATAGAATGTATATGAGTCTTTTTAGAATATTCGTTTTCAGCTCTTGTCACTTCACTTGACATTTTATTGTCAACATATGTTTTGTCTGCTAGTTCAGGATGAGTATGTTCTTTTGTTGCATAAGCATTGTTAGCTCTTTCTTCTTCTTTTGCTATTGCATCGTCTACATATTCTTTGTCAGCTTTGTTGTCAACATCTGCTTTCAAAAGAAGTTCATTTATAGGTTTCTCGTTTAAAGTTCCTTTTGTTGGATTTATACAGACAGTATTGGTTCTTCTTGTCTTGAAATAGAAACTCATCTGTCATTGGGTTTAATGTCAGTTTTAAGTTTCCTTCTTTCAATGACTCAGATATCTTAGAATAGTTTGAAAAGTTTGTTGTGTTCTTATTTAGAGCTTGCATAATGAGTTGTCGGTTGTGTTGTATTTCTCTTATGGAAGCAATATCTTTCGACATTTTTATTCTAGATAAAATATGCTTTCAATAGAAAAAGAAAATTCAAGAGTTGCTACAACTAAACCATTAGATGAACTTTTTACTAATGTCGGTCAAAAGTTTGAGACAGAGACCGTAAAGCATGAAGGCTATCGTTTTGACTACCCATTAAGATGGTTAAGAGACCCATCCGTCACAAAAGCTATTGGCTTTCGTAGAATGAAGTTCATTTCAGAAGCCATACATGGTTTCCCATTTACGGTCGGTTTTGAAGTTCGATACTATAACAAAGAAAAACGTATGTATGAGAAATTTGAACAGGGAAAACTTTTACAAGTTAGTTTGCTTGTAAACTTAGAAACAACTCTTCAAGCTTTTCAAGAAAAAATAAACGATATCTATA